TTTAAGTGCAATTTTTTAAGCATGTTATTTTCGAATCAAAATTAGAATAATTTTACCAGAATAATCCACAGAAACTTTAAATGTAAACTTTTTATTATAACAAAACTTTAATTTTGATTGAGAACAAATTAAAAATACTTAAATATTGGACCTAAATTTTATCTTATAAACACGTTACCAGCTTAAAGAAAGTAACCATTGTTTCTACACAGGTGTTGAGGGATGGAAAATGGAGTGAGCAAGAAGCAGAAATGTTGGTGCCAGGAGATTTGATCAGCATTAAGTTGGGAGATATTGTGCCCGCAGATGCCCGTCTCTTGGAAGGAGATCCCCTCAAGATTGACCAAGCTGCCCTTACTGGTGAGTCCTTGCCAGTTACTAAGCACCCTGGTGATGAGGTTTTCTCTGGTTCCACCTGTAAACAAGGAGAGATAGAAGCTGTTGTCATTGCCACTGGTGTCCATACCTTCTTTGGCAAGGCTGCACATCTTGTGGACAGCACAAACAATGTTGGTCATTTCCAAAAGGTATGTGTCTTTCTTAAGCTATTTCTACTAGTAAGTGCTTCTTAATTGAGACAACTTTGGATTAATATTGGATGTTTGATTGGCTTCTATTAGGTGTTGACATCCATTGGAAACTTCTGTATTTGTTCAATTGCTGTGGGAATGTTGATTGAGATTATTGTGATGTACCCTATCCAACGAAGGGCTTATAGAGACGGTATTGACAATTTGTTGGTCCTTCTCATTGGAGGTATCCCAATTGCCATGCCAACAGTCTTGTCTGTGACCATGGCTATTGGCTCTCATCGCTTGTCTGAGCAAGGAGCCATCACAAAGAGGATGACAGCCATTGAAGAAATGGCTGGCATGGATGTTCTCTGCAGTGACAAGACTGGAACTCTTACCCTTAACAAGCTTACTGTGGACAAGAGCTTGATTGAGGTGAGTGACCAATATAAATGATTTTATTTGACCTAAATATGATGATGAATCAATATCTTTCAGTTTTACGTACATATATGGTAGATGCCATGCATAGATATATTCAAGATTTTATGTTTGGTAATGGTATAATAACTTTGGCATCTAGGCAAGTATGATGTGATGCCCCCATCAATTAGGAACCATATATTTACAATGGAATTTATTAAAATAACCTTGTTTTTTCTTACTTAAATTAATTTTATATTAATTTAGTCTAGGCATACAAGATCACTAAACAAGAATGAAGACGCCTTTGCGCCAAAGCTTTCGTTTTGTTTTGATCAAGATTGTCCGTGAATGCAGGTTTTCCCTAGTGGCATGGACAAGGACACCCTTGTCTTGTATGCTGCCAGGGCTTCTAGAACTGAAAATCAGGATGCCATTGATGCTTCAATTGTTGGGATGTTGGGCGACCCCAAGGAGGTATTAAATTTCAAACTGATAATCTTTTATGAACCATATTCTTGTTTTGTGTTAACATAAAGCATGCAAAATGGCCTAAACTTTGTCATCTGGGCTCTATTGTGACATCTTAGGCAAGAGCAGGAATCACTGAGGTGCATTTCTTACCCTTCAATCCTGTGGATAAGCGCACAGCTATTACTTACATTGATGACAAAAGCAACTGGCACAGAAGTAGCAAGGGTGCCCCTGAGCAAGTAACGCATTTATCATTATCAATATGTATATCAAATTATTAATATAACATCATAATCACAATGAAAAAACTATTATTAAAATACATAAATGATATGTAACTTTTGATATTTGACTACCCATTTTATATATCAGATTATTGATCTGTGTGAGCTCAAGGGAGAGGCTTTGAAAAAGTCCCATAAAATCATTGATGACTTTGCTAACCGTGGTCTGCGTTCATTGGGTGTTGCACGCCAGGTGAATAAAGTATTTAATATAAGAGTGTCAATTTATTGATATAAATCAAAATGAGGGAATTCACTTACAAACATTTGCACCTTGTTAACAGACTGTTTCAGAAAAGACCAAGGAAAGCGCAGGAGACTCATGGGAATTTTTGGGCCTTCTACCTCTCTTCGACCCTCCAAGGCATGATAGTGCAGAGACTATTCGCAGAGCTCTTGACCTTGGTGTCAATGTTAAGATGATCACTGGTGATCAACTTGCCATTGGCAAAGAAACCGCTCGCAGGCTTGGAATGGGTACCAACATGTACCCTTCATCCTCTCTTCTTGGTGATAGCAAGGATCCTAGCATTGCAACAATCCCAGTTGATGAACTCATTGAAAAGGCTGATGGATTTGCTGGAGTCTTCCCTGGTAATGAGATGAATATAATTCATGATACACTTTTCTAAGGATACTTATGCCGTTACTTTCTAATTAGAATCAAAATTTCACTTCTTAAAATGTTTGCATTTATGTTATCATATATGACCGAGACGAAAATCTTATTCTAATTAGAAAACAACAATAAATCTTCCTCAGAAATTGCACCTAAATTTTGTCCTAAAGTAAATTTCATAAGAAAAAAATAATATTGCATAAGATCAACTCACGCTGATTTATCATTACATGTGCTATGCAGAACACAAGTATGAGATTGTGAAGAGGTTGCAGGATAGAAATCACATCTGTGGAATGACTGGAGATGGTGTGAATGATGCCCCGGCATTGAAGAAGGCAGACATTGGCATTGCTGTGGCTGATGCAACTGATGCTGCCAGAAGTGCCTCAGACATTGTTTTGACTGAGCCTGGACTTAGTGTGATTGTGAGTGCCGTGTTGACCAGCAGGGCCATATTCCAAAGGATGAAGAACTACACCATTTATGCTGTTTCCATCACTATTCGTATTGTGTTTGGGTTCTTGCTCGTTGCTCTAATATGGAAGTTTGACTTCTCACCTTTCATGGTCCTGATCATTGCCATTTTGAACGATGGAACCATCATGACCATCTCCAAGGATAGGGTGAAGCCTTCTCCTGTGCCTGACTCATGGAAGCTTAAAGAAATCTTTGCTACTGGAGTTGTTCTTGGAGTTTACATGGCCATCATCACTACTATCTTCTTCTATTTGATTCATGATACTGATTTCTTCCCCGTAAGTAATTCAAGCTAAGATTATATCTATCAGTTGAGTTGAATATACAGTCATCACAGAATTGTTGCATGACATGTAATTATATTTTCTCTCTTTCTTTTAGAGTCATTTTGGTGTCAAGGCAATTTCAGACAGTGAGGAGCAACTTAACTCAGCTCTTTACCTTCAAGTGAGTATTATTAGTCAAGCACTCATCTTTGTGACAAGATCTAGGAGCTGGTCTTACGTTGAACGCCCTGGCATTTTGCTTATTACAGCCTTCCTTGCTGCACAATTGGTAAGTGATTTTTTCAAACCATGTTCCTTAACAAACCATGAATGCAAATAAAAATGTCTAGTTTTAACTTGGTAAAGTACTATCATTAAACTTAGGTGGCCACTATCATTGCCGTGTATGCACACTGGGACTTTGCCAGAATCCATGGAGTTGGATGGGGATGGGCAGCAATAATCTGGGTCTTTAGCATTATTACCTACATTCCTCTTGACGTTCTCAAGTTCCTCATCCGTTTTGGATTGTCAGGCAGAGCTTGGGACAACATGCTTGAGAACAAGGTTTAGAAACATTCTCAAATCACCAAACTTTCATCTTAAAAACTTTGTTGTTCTAACTCACTTCAATGTGATCATTTTGTAGACTGCTTTCACAACAAAGAAGGACTATGGAAAGGGAGAAAGGGAAGCTCAGTGGGCAGTGGCTCAGCGCACACTTCATGGTCTCCAAGTTCAAGAAACCCCTAAGACCAACCACCATGAACAATCTGAAATTGCTGAGCAAGCTAAGAGACGTGCTGAGGCTGCCAGGTTCAATTGCCACACTTAAACCTTTATATATAAGCATGCATGAATGATATATGATGTGATAATTATAGATTAGCGGAAAAAGGTGTTTGGTGAATTTCAATATAGTATATTATATGTATATATACTTATTTTGGTGTGTCAAATTTTGCAGGCTAAGAGAGCTCCACACCCTCAAGGGACATGTTGAATCTGTGGTTAAGTTGAAGGGTATTGACATTGATACCATCCAACAACACTACACACTCTAAAAGAATTTTAAGGAATAGGAATTATTCATGGGCTTTCAAAGAACATGGGATCAAAGCTTAATGGAGCAGAGAAAACGATACATCTTTGGCTTTTCCTATGAATAGAGGCGGCACAATAATGTCATGCCAGAAGGCATACGTTGTAACTAGTTTTTATCATATACCAATGAATAAAGAAAAAATAATATTATATTGGAAAAAAAGAATATTGGTCTCCAGCATGACTATGCTCTCTTCTTGTTTTTTTTTTTTTTCTTTTACCAATTTTTCTTATTCTTTTTTTGTATTAATATTTGATCATTTAACTAAAATTAATTATATATGACTTAATTTGTTTTAGCCTTTAACAGAAAAACTAAAATAAGAATGTGCGATAGCGTTTTAGATAAAACTATTTTAAAATGGTAAATTTAAAATGAACTGTCTACTTGCTTTTCCATTAAAAAGCCAATAATTGATTCTGCATAGAACATATTTGTAAATCATGAAAATTAAAATATTGTTTAAAAATAATAATAAATCAATTTTTTTAACGTGTTTAAAATTATATTATAAAAAATAACAAATAATAAAATTTTATTACAAATTTTGTTATTTAATTTTGTTAATATATTAAATTTAGTGATATAATATAATTTTTAATAAGAATTTATTATATATAAATTCTTATTATATACTTTAATCACACGTTAGAAAAATATAATAAATTTATATTTTTCACTAAATTGATCTTGGCAGATAATAATTTACCTATAATTATACTTAATTTGAAGACTAATAATTATAGTTAAATATATATTATTTAGTTTCCCGCCATCGCGAGTTCCCGCGTAAAGTTCCTTCTTATTCGCATTCACAATAACATACAGTGATTCGAAACCAAATCCCTAATTTCTCTCTCTTCAATGGCGCCTCAGAAACTGACGGAGTACGAACGCAAGCGACTCGACAACATTCGCCGCAACCATGAAATGATCGCTGCCCTCAAAATCCATTCCAAAGCCACTCAACTTTCCAAGCGTTCGTCAAGGTATCCCTTCTCTCTCATTTCACTTTTCTATTGTAGAAACTTTCCGTAATTTAACATTGGTGTTGTTGTTGATGGCATTGGGAATTAATAATTATTGTGTTGTCAGTGTCGCAAACAAATCATACTCACTGAAATCAGAAAAGAAGGCCAAAATTGAAACCCCAATCGTGATTAGGCGTTCCCTGCGAACAAGGGGCATTCCACCCGATTCCAAAGCCCTTCACTCAGATACTGTCACTCTCACTCACTCATCCCCAACCAAAACCCTAACTTTGGGTCCTCTTTCCATGGTTGATGCTCAAGATGGTACTCACTGTCATCGCTCCTTCGTTGAATCACTTGTGAGTATGGCCCAAGAGGATACCTCTCCAGAACAATTGGTTAGTGGCAAGGGTGAAAAAAAAGGGAACAATGAGGCTTTCCTTGACTTGGAAAGGGAATCTTTGTCTTTGGATCCTGAGAATATAGCACGGGTTGTTCCTGGAAGGATAACGAATGTGCGATTTTTCCCTTCCAGTAGCGTGAAAATGATTATGGCGGGTAACAAGCTTGGGAATATTGGGTTTTGGAATGTTGGAGAAAGTGATGTTTATTTATACCGTCCCCACCGAGCTCCCATTTCTGGGATCTTGGTTCAATCACATTCCTTGTCCAAGGTTCTTGATTCTCAACCTTTACTGTCGATTTCTCAAGTTTATTATAATTTTTACCCATTATTATTTACCTTAAAAAAGTTAACTACATTATTACTTGGCAAATATTTTCTGGTGCTGGTTTGGCTGTAAATGCACTCTTTTGGTCTAATTATCATAGATAGATAATGCATATTAACAGTACATGTTTTTCTTCCTATTCTTTGGAGGGAGGGCACATTTGAGGTTAAAGTGGATGCAAAGGAGGAAAGTAAGCTTTATTTGATAGAAGCAGAATCACCTTTTGCTCCTCTCCCATCCTAATCACCGCACATGCTTTATGCCTTTTTTGATATATCATATATGTTCAGGAGCTCGTGGGTGAATGTAATTTTTGCAAAATTACAGTCAATTGTCACCTTCTCGAGCTTATAATTTTAATTGGGTTGAATATAATTATACGCTTATGATTTACCATTTACACCAGCCAGACATAACTCTGGTTGAATAATTTGTGCCCCCTGTTCATAGTGTATATAAATCAATCAGCATTCTCCCACTTTGTTTTATCTGATTTGCATTTATTCAGTTGCAGAATTGTATGATGCTATGATCAAACATTTTATATGCAGATATATACATCATGTTATGATGGGTTTGTTCGGCTAATGGATGCTGAGAAGGAAATCTTTGATCTTGTGCTTGATAGTGATGAAACTATATATTCTCTTTCTCAACCAACAAATGAGGCAAACTGCCTGTATTTTGGTGAAGGTGGTGGAGGTTTGACTGTTTGGGATAACAGGATTGGAAAACGTTCGTCCCAGTGGGTTTTGCATGAAAGTAGGATTAATACAATAGATTTCAACAGCAAAAACCCTCACATTGTCGCTACTAGTTCCTCTGATGGAACTGCCTGTACCTGGGACTTTAGATATATCGATGGGGATAAGCTCACAGCCTTGAGGACATTTACCCACAAAAGAGCTGTGCAATCTGCTTACTTCTCTCCATCTGGGTGTAGCCTGGCAACTACAAGGTGTGGAGTTTGTTCCATTTTTTAAAAGTACTATTTTCCAATACTGAAAATATGGTATGGTGTGGGTATGCTTACTTGGGACTCGCATAGTCTTTTACTTGTCATGATTCGCTAACTTCTGCAGTGCTTGTTAGCTTGATTCCAATTTTTTATCATTATTATCCAACTGTATTAAACCTGGTTTTACCTAATCGTGATTTTGACTGGATGGGATTAATATAATCTCTTGATGTAGCATGGACGATACAATTGGTATTTACAGTGGAGTTAACTTGGAGGATGCAGTCACTGTTGATCATAATAATCAGACTGGCAGATGGCTTTCTTCATTCAGGTATGGTTTCTGGGGAAGTATCTGAAGTTTTAAACTCTTCCGAATTTATTTTAAATTTTTTTCATAACAATTAAGCTTCCATTCTTCATAAGTAGATGAATTTATTTTAATCGGCATAAGCTGAAACTTGTGTAGTTAATACGAATTTGTGATGCACTGCAAACTTGTAATACATTATCAAGTGCCAACTTATTTTGAGAAAGCATTTGACTTTTGTGAACTTGGTTTTGTGGTAGCAGAGCAAAATGGGGTTGGGATGACTCATATCTCTTCGTCGGAAATATGAAAAGAGGAGTTGATGTTGTTTCGGCAGTTCGAAGGAGAATTGTTAAGACTCTACAAAGTCCACACATTTCTGCGATTCCGTGCAGATTCGATACACACTCTCATGAGCTTGGGATGCTAGCAGGAGCTACTAGTGGGGGCCAGGTCTATATTTGGACGTCGCGCTAGGATGTTAATTTAATATGCACTTCTGTTATGAAATGAAACTTCCGTAGTTTCTTCTCTTCCGAATTTTTTGTGTAAAGTATCATCAAGTTATCATTAGTCATGATTCGTGGATTGTCACTTGTACCCGTCATACTGATATACTATCTACATGCGGATCTAGAACTGAGCCCTTATGATTGCTGTTAGGATTTACGCATTGAAATTTAAGGACACGTCTTTAAGTTCTTTTAGCATTATACTTTACTTTAAATTAATAATTTTATTTTGGCAATTTTTGCCAATATTAAATATGATTTTTTTTATTATGCCAGTTACCGAAATAGTTTTATTTTTAATTAAAGAAACACTAAAAAAAAACATTTATAAGTTTCGTGCACATATATTTGGGTTATAATTTGGTTAGCGACAAAAATTTGGTCTCCGGGAGGGTTGTTAATCGCCTTTTTAACCCCACCTGTTTCTTGTATTTCTCCCCGTATATTTATTTATCCTGATACTGTAAATTAGTGAGAGACAATCTTTTAAACGACATATTGAACCGTCAAAAGAAAAATAAAAAGCAACGGAACAATTTGTTCAAATTTGGGTGTCCTTGTTCTGATCGTGATTATCTGTAGTATTTGACACAGCAAGTTCTCACCGTACTGCAATAATTTTACGCCTATATTCAATAGTAAGAGCTAAAGATCATATTTAAAAATAGCAGCACTTTTTAACATGAGTTAGCGTGTCTTCTCTGAATATATATTTGTTTTTCAATTAGACGCAATACTTTACTCTTATCTAAATTTTGCTAAATTTAAACGTATTTCTTCATAAAATTTACAAAAAAGTTAACTAATAATAAAATGAATTAATAACTGTTCACAGATATCTTTATAAATATTAAACTAAATAATCCTTGAATTAAATTATCTACCTAATTTTGTAGAGGGATTTTCTTGTGAGGTCATATGGTGTACAAATATTAAATATATTATATTAAATATTTTAAACAGTTAAAAATACTGAATGACTTTTATGGATTAATATAATATTTTTTAATTGTTTTTATTAACTTAGTATTATGTTTATGAATATATAATGGAAAATTCCTTTTAAAAATTATATTTCCTTTTTCTAAAATAAATATGAACTTAGTTATTCTAATGTAATTTTTTTTAATTTTTCATGGTTATGATTTTCAAACAGCTAGTTTTGAATATTGATTATTAAAATTTAAAGATGAAATGAGGATTGTGTGAAAACTAATTTAAAGTTTTATTTCATATTCTAAAGGATTAAATGAGTGTTCAAAGTTAATTATTGGTGATAATAAAAATTGTAGGGAAAAAAAAATGCTTGAGGCTAATTGATAAGTCACCACCATTAAAAATATTTCACATAAAAAAAATAGCAAAATATAGTTCATCTCAAAGAGAAAATGTAATTTTAAAATAAAAACTCGCCATCATATTGGTTAAGCACCTCAAAAATCAAAAGCAAGGTGATTATGACCTTTTTCTTATGTTTTTAAAAGGTAAAATACCCTCCAATTAGAAACCCAATCTGTAATGTTTTCTCGTCTTTTAAAAAAATAATTAGCTTAGAATTTATCGAAAAATGTTTTACCTAACTTTGCCTTATAATATTTCACTTCTTTACAACAAAATTATCAATTAATATTTATAATAAAAACTGTAGCAAATTAGTGTTTACTGTTTGATAAAAATTGTAAAAATATCATCCCAAGAAATATTTGATCCACAATTAGCGCGGCTTATCCCTGAAGTAAAAAATAACGATTTTTTTTTTTGCCAATAATAATATTCATAGACAATTTGCTTTGAAAAAATAACTCATTGAGTTTATGCAGTGTGCAAAATTAAAAAATGCTTATAAATTCATAAGGTTAACGTTAGATGGAGCGCACAATTGGAATGCACAGGATTTGCAATATAGAAGCAAAAAGCTAACATCGAAACTTACAGAGGAAAAACCTTGAGAAAGAAAAAATTACATGAACAGAACAATCAATAGCCCTTGTGTTGCCTAATAATCGATAAATTGATGTATCAAGCTTTCCTAAATATAACACGCCTTTCCCGCTTGTACTCTACTTCATCTCTCTGGTGCATGATTACAAGAGCTCGTCTCACCTGCCAAATGTATTATATGAATGAATCCCGACAATAAGAATATTACCTACTCTTGCTAACAAAGTCTGATAACAGACATTTGTCCCGAGTCAAAAAAAAAAAGAAAAAACGGAAGCCAAATGAGTTAATGACTGCTTCAGTTTGCAACCGAGTTTTAGCAGCTTTATGGTTCCTCCAAAAGACGCAAGTCAAATTTAGTCAATGGCACTTGCCAGTTGCAACTGTAAGAATGCGATTCAATGACAGTCTTGCTAAGATTTTGGTTGTTTGTGTGTGCTTGTGATGTAAACGACGCTAACAAGTTTCTAAAAGAGGCAACTCATTCTAGTCTAGCGTCACAGTTTGAACCGTACATCTTTTAAAAGTTTGACCCACAAGATTAATTACGAGTTTATGAGCTATGAGACTGTCTTTTCAGTTGGTGGCAATTTAATACTTACAATAGATTCGTTCATCCCCATTCTGCTGAGGTCATCAATCAACCTTCTTTCTGATATGTGGTTTCCAATCCCAATTCTTCTCTTTATCTGACTTTCTGCTTGCTGCTCATAATGCAAACAATTTATTCGTCAGGATATGAAACTAGATGGAAAAATACAAACGATATCAATGCAAGACAAACCTTTATCTCATTTGCCATATCAGGCGTAAGATTTATTTGTTGGTTTACTCCCGACCTAGCTGCATCCATTGTGGACACAGTGAAAAGCCTTATTGCTTCTTGCACATTCTCCTCAGTAGCAAGATGAGATCTAGTGCAGGAGTTAATCATCAAGGTACATTTCGTCAAAAGAAAGATGAATGGACCGTCAAAAGAATAAACAAAAAAGCTACTCCTAGAGGGAAAAACGAAGGGTGATAAATTTAACAAAATTTGCTAATTTTGGCTCGGAAAAGCATATTTAAGGAATTCACATGCAATGATGGAATACTGGAATTATCTTCCAACCCAAAATATAGGTCTGGAAGGCTTCACTCTGTTAGCCTGCCCATACTAAATTATTGAATTGCTACTGCCGGCCATGGATGAATAAAAACATTTTATTTCTCAAAATTGTATGCGTTGGTCACTTTAATCCTTAATTCTACAAAATCCTCACTTTTTAGTCCTTAAATTTGAATAAGCCGTTAGGTCCTTTTTCACTTAATTTTCCACTGTTGTCTAATATAAAAAAAAGAATTAAAGTGAATATTGTTTTGCAAAATCAAGAACTAAAAAGAGAATTTTGAGAAGTCATGGTCAGGTGATCAATGATTCAATTTGAACTAAAATAATTGTTTACACCTGGATATATTTTATGAGGTTTGTTTAGGTTGTTAGTAGTGCACTATAAGCCTCCCAATGATGGCATATTAAATACTTATGCTTACAGTTTCATCTTTGCAAGCGCCTCACTCAACCTAACAATAGCTTCCAGCTGCCTTACAGTAATTGGTATTGCTGCAGCTTCGCCCGTTTCATTTGCTTGCTGCCTCATATCCTGTGTTTTTTTTTAAATAAAGTAAATTATGTTTCTTAAAGTAGGTCCATTACATCGAATCAGCATTCAATGGGTCTCCAATGTCATTTTACACTTAATTCTAAACTAAAGGCCAATACAAAATTTGTATACTCTAATTGATAACACATTCATGAATACCTGTCTGATTTTCACATAATTATTCTGCAACAATGCTGCTGCAGATTCCGAAAGACGAGGGTGGCATTCAGTTCGACAATATTGTAAATACCTGTCAGATAACAACTTAAAGTTCATTCTATCAAATGATTGAAAGTACTGCATGAAAAGTCTATGGCTAAGTTGATAGATAATGCATACCTCTTCAACCAATTCTCTTCTTTAGATATCCTGCTCTCACCCATGGTTGCATTAGCTGATGCATGGACCTTGATGATATGACTGGCTATTATCTGTAAACATCAAACCGCCACAGATTTGAGGAATATTAAAAATCAAGCCTTATGTAAAACATTTCCGCATGGTCTGTAAAACTATATAACTGTTACCAAAAAAAAAAAAAAAAGATACAGCGTACAAATGTTAATGTCATATATAACACAGAGACAACAAATTTGACCTAGCAAGACTTCATAGGATGGACAAAGTGCACTCAAAGGAAGCAAAAGAAAGCACCATACACTCAACAGAAATACAGAACAGTCAAAGTTACCTTGTCTTGACTGTACATTCTGACGTCTTTCACTATGAAGATTAAATCAAACCTAGAAAGAATAGTTGTCTGCAAATCAATGTTATCCTGTGCCGTCTGCAGAAACATTTGTGGCTCCTGTTAGTCTCTTGTAAAGTTGTAATGAAAGTATTCTTTGTCAGAAACTGAAAGATGAAAGGATTATATGGCAGTTGACCTTAAGATCGTCATAACGTCCTGATGGAGGGTTAGCAGCAGCAAGAACTGAAGTCCTTGAATTAAGAACAGTTGTTATTCCGGCTTTGGCTATGGATATAGTTTGCTGTTCCATAGCCTCATGAATGGCAACCCTATGTCAGAGAAACCATGTGAATTTCACCATAAACCAACAATGTTGCAAAAAATGAAATACTAGACACTTTACAATACCTATCTTCAGGTCTCATCTTGTCAAACTCATCGATGCAAACAACACCTCCATCTGCTAAGACCATGGCCCCTCCTTCAAGATAAAACTCACGCTGAATTGCACAGAACAAGAATCAGAGACTTCTCTAATGATAGGTAGAGGTCTAGGTTATGATTGCATCTCAACAAGCAGAGGAAATAGAAATTCACTAATCACTATCTAACACAAACAACGTAGGTGGTGAAGAACTTACTGTGCTGCTATCTCTGATTACAGAAGCTGTGAGGCCAGCAGCTGATGAGCCTTTTCCAGAAGTATAAACAGCAACAGGAGCAGTCTTTTCAACAAACTTCAGAAACTGCCAAAGGTAACAATCAACTCATGTAATACAAGCTATAGTGTTAAGCGTGACCGAGTACTCCTTTGGTTGCTGTATGCAAAACTAACCATATTTCAAGTGGCAGTGGCACAGTGGTTTTTACTTTTTAACAACTCAACTGTCACAAAAACTAGAAAATAATCCGCATATAAAAATGCAACAACTAACCTGTGACTTTGCTGTAGATGGATCTCCTAGAAGCAATACATTGATATCACCTCTTAACTTGACTCCATCTGGCAAATTCTGCTTGCAAAAAAATTGACCATATAATCAGCTGTCTTGTATGGATTTTGTCATTCCCCAATAACCTAGATGATTACTCAAAGACATCGGTGTACCTTTCTTGATCCTCCAAACAGAAGACAGGCTACGGCCCTTTTCACATCGTCATGCCCAAATATAGATGGAGCAATCTTGGAGCATATATTTTTATAAGCGTCAGGTTCGGAAGCAAATTTTTTGAATTCTTCTATCTGCAAGCAATACAGTCATTTGTAGGGGACTATAATATTCAGTAGGAGTGAAAATTCAGTTTAGATTTTTAAAAACGGAAGCAGGAAAAGTAAGATACTGCCTATAAGAGAGCTGGGAAATAGATGGTATGCAGTATTTGGAGGGAAAAGCATTGACAGTTATTAAGTTTCATTTGAAATAAAATTTCACAGGAACCACAGAACGCTTGGAGGCAACTGACAAGGTATAAAGCAATGGAGAAGCAGTCAATTTATGATTTTTACAAGTTTCACTACTGACCTCTTCTGGTGTAAATGCAGCTGGACCTCGGGACTTGGCCTCGTTTGTTTCTTCTATTCCTACAACTCTAATATACGGCTGTCTAACTGCAACTGCTCCTTTGTTGCTGCATATAACACAGGATATTTGAAGATATAAGCATCAATTACAAATGTAAATGTGAATAATGAAGATATTTAAAGGTGAAAACCAAATGGTGATGAATCTCACGATGTAGAAGAGCTGGAGGCCTGGTAGATGCTATAGATTCCAATGATAGTCAATCTTGAGCCGGGTACTACTGTTTGAACAAGATGACGATCAACAGACAGAAGCAGATTTCTAGGAAGCTCTCCTGTTGGAACATCCTTCAATAGCCACATAAAAATGTCAGACATAATTATCATTCCAAGAGTCGTTTTCTTAATCAAACTCATATCGCTACCTCTGGATTTTCTTGCAGCTTCAATGTTTGTTGATCAACATACTTGCTCTTGTCAGGAACCACAAGCCATGGATCAATTGGGCAAGGTTCTTCTCCAGGCTACAAAAGCAACTTATCTTGTAAGAGATATTCCCAAAATAAAGAAAAAAACAGCAAAGCATGCCAAACCAAACAAACGCAAAATAATGAATATGAACTAAACCTGAGGAATATGATCACAAGATCGAGGAACAATCGCTCCCCCAAGTCCGGGCCGGCACGGAACTTGCTTCCCCTTCTTGCAATTTTTACATATCAAGTTTACATAAGTTGCCTTCGCCTTCGTCCTTGAAGCAGCAATAGTAATCCCAGCAATTTTAACAAGCTTTGATATGTACTGAGCCTGTGAAAAGAAGACACCACTATGAAATCCTAAGGCAACCATAAATATCCTAAATTAAACCACAATCACAGAAATCCAAACCATCACAATTGAACTCTGTATCAGTTCCACTTACCCCTAGCGATCTCATCGACACTGGATCCTCCTTAGAGGTAAGCAAAATCTGAACATCGCCAGTCACCGGATCCTCCATAACTCCGGTATCCCCAGCCACCTTCGTCTTCAAACTCACCAGAACCTGCGCCGCGGCGGTCTCGAACTACAAAAGCAAAAATAAATATGAAAATGAAGACAATAGCGGTAGAAGAGAGAGAGAGAGAAAACAAGAGAAAAGAGAAAGTACCAATGGCAAGAAATCGGCGGGGGAAGAACGGAGTTTAGCGGGAAGGTCGGGGTCAAAGGCATCGAGATCTTCCATGTCGATGAGGAGGAACTTAGGGTTGTGAAGGAGGCTCTCTCTGTAAGGGAAGACATTGTTATCGGTCTCGAAGTTTCGGATGAATTCCTTGAACTTTTGGAGGAGAGAGTGGTTGGAGGCGGTGGCGGCATCCACAGCGGTGCCGTCGTCCAAGGAGTGCGTTTGGTCACTGTAATAGACGGCTCCTTCGTCCCAACCTGACATCTTCACCGATTCTCAGAGAAAGGTTAGGGTTTCGGGTTTTTGGATCGACGGAAGGGACTAAGAAGAAGGAGGATGCTTTTGGCGGGAAAGCTATGGCGGGAAAATATAGCGCGGATGCCACTGTTGCCGTGCCACGTGTCTTGACGGAGTAGAAAGACATTTCTTTCAAAAACAAAGGTGAGTTATAAAAATAAATTTTTCGTTTTAAAATGACTTGTTTAAGTTTTAATATCTTAAAATTTAAATTATTATTTTGTGATTGTTTTTCATGTAATCTTTTTTAATATTATAAAATGTTTTATTTAGTCTCTCTCTCTATATCACTTTTTTTTTTATTTAATACTTACAAAATATTATAAATTTTTATTTGATCACCGTAAAATGAAGGATTAGATAAAAAAAATACATTATATTTAAAAGTGTTAAATGAGAAAAACAAACAAAAAGACTAATTTATATAAAACATATTATAGAATACTCATTTAAAAATTATTTAAAATGATGGATCAAAATAAAAAATTACAATTTTTTAAGAACAAATATTATAATTTAACCTTTTAAAATTTTCATTTTACGTAGAACAGTAGTTTTGATAATTAGCGATTTATTTAGGTTGGTTTTTTTTTAAAAAAAATATCTTGCTATTCGAACCTGTGAAAATTATAAGATTGATTTTTTATTAAAAAAATTATTTCCTATTTTTATTTGTGGTGCTTTTCCTTCTTGGTTCACACCTTTCTCTTTTTGGATTAATTTTTTAATATGATATTTAGAAATATATATAAAATATGATATTTTTAAAATTTAGAGATAAAAGAACAACAAATTATAAAGTATATAAATTTTTTTTAAGACAAATTATAATAAAATGTTTTTAAAATATCAAAAGTACGTTATTAATGTTTTTTTGTCAAAACTCGCCATTAAACTTGTTTTCATATTTATGGAATTTTAAAAAAATCATATTTTTGTAATTTCAAAATAAAAAAAAACCATAAAGTGTCTGACTTTCGGTCAAACTCCAGTAGTACTCTAAACTCAAGTTTATTTCTCATTTGAAAAAATAAAACATTAGCACTTTGCTTCGATAAAAGAAATTTAAAAAAATACAAAAAAAGAAGAAGAAAGAAGTGAAACTATTTAATTGTTTGAATTAGTATAAAATGAAAAAAAAATATAATTTACAATCTTTAATTTGGTTTTAAAAAATAGAGAATGAAAACGAATAAATTTGCCCCTTTCTTTTACGTACACGGGCATTAGCACTCAGGCTACAACAATTTGACCCAATACGAAACGTGCTTCATTGCCAAATTGTATTCAATTAGTTCGTACTTACAATATAACACTTCTCTTAGCCGAAAGCTCATCTCACAAATACAACATGCAGAACACCAAATTGACTCATTTCATACACGCTCACTGAGGATGCAAGGTACATTCGAAATTATATTTTAATGCATTTATTCAAAACTTGCACTAAATATATTTAATTAAATTATCTGAATCGTTTGTTTATATTTTTATAAAATAAATTTTAATAAGAAACTTAAAACAAAATAAAATTAACTAATCAAAACAAATTAAATTACTTTACGTAAAAAAAATTAAGTAATTTTTTTAAAAATCAATCTAGGGCACGCTTCTGAATTGACCCTTTTTTCCTTCGATGAATTAACAAAAAAGTTTATTTCAAAGCATTGAAGTAATCTCACTCTAATAGTGTTTCTCCACATTTATTTTAGCTTGACACCATAGCTTGGTTTCACCTATTGGTGATGGTGGGGGGAAGAGAATTGTTAGGTGATTTGGTCGTTTGATTTTAGTCACTAATATTGCACCATTTGAATATATTTTATACTTTATAAAAGGAAAAAAATGCATCACTACATAACTGGCCAAGATTATATGATTTCAGATCATCTAAAAATTATTCATTGGGGAGTTCTTCCTTCACTGTGCAATTTAGGGTTTATTACGTTGTAAAAATGTATAAGAACCAATGAAAACAACTTTTTGTTAGGTGAACTGAACACAAAATGAAAAGATGAAATTTTTTTAATTAAAAGTAAAAATTGACAATTAAAAAAAAAAGTGCCATGAGCAAATACAATGTTTCAGGAGCATTATTTACATTTTAAAGTTGAAGGACATTACACATACAGTGATAGGTGTAACTTAGACACAACGTAAATCATATTTTACAACAGATTAACATTTGGGGACCCCTGGGTTTTACTAAACCTGTATTATTTTACCTTCTAGATTATATGATTACCTATAACAATGAGGAGCATTCAGAAATTTGAAATGACACCCTCAATAATTAATACATTTTACCTTCTAGATTTATGTCACATGATAGTTGTTCAGCAGCATGTCAATTACCACTCAGCATGTAACCTTCCTGTTGCAGGTACCAAAACGCACCCTCAGCAGCACTCTCTGATGCATCTTTCTTCTTTGACTTTGGTTCTCCAATGAACTCAAAAATCATATCTGGGTTCTCTTCCATCTCCAAGGTCACCTTGCAAGTGAATCTAAAAATGGAACAATGAACAAAACAAATATATTCAACATTCAACATAGAATCCTTAATGTCGTGTTAAAAAGAAAACAAAATAAGGAAGGCACTGAAAGTTACACGTAAACTAAAGTGAACTTGAGAGTTGTTGTATAGTAAAGGTCAACGATAAAGATTAAGAATTTCAACTATAAATTATCATCATCCATTCATCACAAGCGTAGGGATGTTTAAAACTTCACTTAATTTTTTGAAGTTCTAAACTATAATAGGGTATTCAATATTAGTTATTGGTAACACTGAAAGTTGTAGAGAAAGGGAAAATGTTATTGGAAGGCTTATTCATTGTTTACCTCAGGAGTTTTGTTTGCATTAAAATGGACTAAAGTGAACAACATTTCATCCCTAAGGAGAGAGTGTATTAAAATAAGTGGAAGACGGAAGTGTAATTTCAACATATATCAAGGGAGGAAAGTATAATTTACCCAAAACAGAAATGTCATTCACTATGCCAGTCACATCACAGGCTAAATTGCTTAATGCAGGAATAGCAAAGCTTAAAAAAATAATAAAATCTGGGTGAAGATACATATTTTAATACAGATTAAATTTAAAAAAAAAAAAAAAGGGACTCACATTTTCAGGTGATCTGGTCCCTCTTCCTTGCAGCATTCAAATGTAGGAGGTTTCCAGCAAAAAGCAGCACATAATTCATACAATCGTGATCTTGCTGTTCCTTGGTGCAAAAAATGTGAAACAATATTGAGGTTTAACATAGACAAACCGGCTCAATGAAATTACTATAATTTTTATTTTACCTGTCCTTGATGAGTCACTTCCACCATCATGATTTTCAATTGTTAGACTAAGCTTTCCCTCAGCAGAAGATTGAAGCTGTAGGCCAAAAGGTTTCACACATGGGGAGCATATATCGACTTCTGGGCTAAACTTGTTGCACATGTCTGCATTGACCATTATCTGCCTGACAGAACTGGTATCTGTTACATTAATGGGTGTTTCATCATAGCCAATAAGTTTTGGTTCAGTTTTAGAAGTTGATTCCAGAACTTCTTTCAAAGTTTTTGACTTCAGTTTCCAGCCTTGAGCCTGCACATCCAAACCCAAGACTGTTAAATTCAAACAAAATAGCTCATAGAGACTAGACTTGTAGTCAAAGGAAGAAAATGTGCATCTCTGTAAATGTTTTTTATATCACAACAGCAGTCCAGGACTGGTGTTTTGTAACCCTCATTAGTAGTTAGCTATGAAGACTAGATACGTGAAAACACTCAAAGTACCCGTGTCGGACACATATCCGATACCCATACGTGTACGATATGTCTAGATACGTATCCCAAAAGTATGCGTAATTTAATTTATTATTAAAAATTAATTTCAAACAGGATACAGCTTAGATACGGCTGAGATACGGCTTTAAATCATCTAATACGGCTCCGATACGGTCGGCTTAAAATAGTAATGGCTTAGTAAATTTATTATTGAAACAGGGCATTTTAATCTTTCTTCTCCCATTTCCCCATTTCTTTCATTCTTAACAAGATAGGAATGCCCCAACCAGAACCTCACCCAAAATCAAAACTCAACTAGGACTTCTTCAAGTCAGGATTCTCTTGAGAAAATGAAAACTATTGCAAAAACAAGGTGATTCAGAGTGTTTTGAGAGGTCGATTCTGGTTGAGCAAGTTCATGAGATGTCGATTCTCCAATTTGTGATAGTGGGTGACTGATTTCTGTTTTGACGGCAATAGTGGGTGTGTTCAATGGCAGTCAAAGCAACGTTGGCAACCTCAAGCACCGTCTTCGTCACTCTTAAGGCTTCATTGCAACAACAGTTCAGAACTTTGTTCCTCTTCTTTAGACTTCAGCAACAATTTTAAACGTTGTTACTCTATTGCAGTTGCGGTAAAATCTCACAAACTTTCTCTTTTCTAGTCTTCTCTTTTCTATTCATTTTAGAACAATAAAGTAAAAATGTTATTCTTGTATTTTTCAACAGCTGTGTTTATTGACAAAAAATGAGTTATGATACTAAATCTAATTTTAGAATTCCAAGTAACTTTGTTTCAATAAAACTTCAAGATTATCATGCTCTACTTTGGCATTTGTCACTATAAAGGATAAGCTAAAAGATGGAGGAGGCAATAGGATATGGAGTTGTAATTTTTGTGAGAAAGTGGTCAAAAGTTCATACTCAAGAGTGAAAGCACATTTAATTAGAATACCCGGTACTGGTGTTGCTCTTTGTCCTAAGGTCATTGCTGAGTACTTGACTGATTTGAAAAGAATTTGTGAAGAAGCTGAGAATAAAATTAAGCCTAATACTATTCCACTACCTTTAGCTCCAGCAACCTTATCCTAGAAAAGAAGAAAAATAGGAAGTAATACACTAGAAAGGGCTTTCAATGTTGATGAAAGGAATCAACTTAGAGCAGAATAGCAAGAATGTTTTAATCAGCTAACTTATCATTTTATCTTGCTAGAAATCCTTATTATGTTAGTTCTTATTCATTTGCTGTCAATCATAACCTTAGTGATTTCCTTCCTCATAGTTATAATGTTTTAAGAACTAGTCTTTTACAATAAGATCTCATATTAAAAGGTTGCTCTAACATATAAAATTTTTATGGCTTATAAAAAGAGTTACATTAGCTTCTGATGGATGGACAGACCTTCAAAGAAGGCCCATAAATTACATGGCTGTAAGTGAAGGAGGGCCAATATTTAGAAAGACTATTGATGGTTCTAAGGAGTATAAGAACAAACACTACATGGCCAGCATAATAAATGATGTAATTAATGAAGTAGGGCCAAAAAATGATGTTCAAATCATAAGTTCATAACTGATAATGCTCTTATTTGTAAGGTAGTTGGGATGTTAATTGATACTTAGTTTTATCATGTGTTTTGGACTCCTTGTGTCGAAAACATTACCTAGAAGCTAGCATTGAAAAGCATATGTGCAGCTAGAAATATTGATGGAAATGAAAATATTTTCAATGAGTGTCATTGGATTACTCTCCTAGTTGATGATGCATCTTTTATCAAGACTTTTATAATGACTCACTCTATAAGATTGACTATTTTTAATGAGTTTTCATCTCTTAAAATTATTTTTTGTTGCTGAAACTCATTTTGCATCAATGGTTGTCATGCTAAAAAAAGATTGAAGTTGTTGAAACATGCTTTGCAAAATATAGTCATTAGTGACTAATGGAATAGTTATAGAGAAGATGATGTTGGTAAAGCTGCCCATGTGAAAGAACTTGTTTTAAATGATATATGGTGGGATAAATTAAACTATATTCTTTCTTTCACAAATCCTATATATAGCATGCTTAGAAAATGTGACACAAATGCTTCCACTCTTTATTCGGTCTATGAAATGTGGGATTACATGATCGAAAAAGTGAAGACAATCAATCATATATAGGCATGAGGAAAAGGAAGCAAATGAGGTTTCTAATTTTTTTGATGTGGTCCATAATATACTAAATTTTAGGTGGAGCAAGCAATGTTAAAATTGCAATTAAAATCGTGAGATCATACAATTTTACAATCTTAAACCCCTTGCACGATCTTAATTGGATTTGGGATCACTAATATGAAAGATCGGATGAGATTCCGATCTTTTCCTTCAGGATCGCAGGATAGGCGATCTAATCCGATCACAGGCGCAAGTTTTTTGGGTCGATTTCTGGGTTGGGTTACAGGGTCAGGTTTTTTTGACCCGATTTTAAAAAACTTATTTAGTTTATTTTTTTCCAAATTTTTTCCACTCTCTCTTATCTTGTCTTTGCGCAACCCAATCTCTCTTCCGCGACACCCATCCTTCCATTTTGTTTACATTTAACTGTGTCACCATTGGAGAACTTCTCGACACCCAACCTCTCATCTTCTCTCTATTTAGGTTCTGATTTTGTAACATCAACATTCTCTAGGCATTGTGTTCGCGTTCCTTGGGCATAGGTATTCTCTTCGAGAGTGGTTCGCATTTTCTGTTTTGGTGTTTCTTGATCTGCTGTTTGCCTGTTTCAATTGGTGGTTCATGTTTTTTCTTTCGTGAGCTACTTTTTCAGTTTTGTTTTGCATTTGGTAGTAGAGATGAAGTTTTATGTCTTGTTATAAATACACCTTTCAATATAAATCTGTAAGTGAGGTTAATTTAAATAAACATTTTAATAGTGTTATTACCCAAAAATACTTTTATTAAAATTAATTTTCAACTTATTAATAATATATTATATATTAAAATAAAATAGTGTGATAAGACATTAACTTATATGTAAAATGTTATAAAATTAATTTTTTTAATAATTTTTTAAAAATTAATGAATATCATATTTTATAAAAAAAACCTATTGAATATTATAAACATCTAAGTTTCACCTATTTAACTATAAATCCAAACACTGTTAAATAGAGTTAATATTTTCGTATTATTTATTGCAAAGTACTATAAGTTAGATAACTTGTTGATCTTTTTAATTTTTCAAAAATATTCTTCTATTTATTTTCTATTATGTGTTCTCTCACCTCAGCATGGATAGTTTAACTAATTATGTGTTATATTGAATCTTAAATCTAAGATTTTTAAGTTTATATTTAACTAAATTAGGTAATTTAGATATTAATTTTTTATCTATGTAATTTTCCTTGTTTATATATATGTTTAAAGTATAATTTTACACATTCAGAAGGATTTTACGATTTCACGATTTACGATTTTTTACCTCTCTTCCAATTTTAGGTAAGATCCCGATCTTAACAACATTGAGAGCAAGAATTGTACTCCACTTTATTGTTTGACACATTTATTGAACTCAAGGTAAATTTTATTTTAGTTACTGTCTCTTGAGAAATAAAAGTCATACTATAACAAATCTTTTAATCTTATATAGGTATTATAGTGAAAAATGGCTTAGGGAAGCTCCAAATAGAGTTCTTCCACATTAAGATGATGAAGTTTCGAGAGAAAAGAACAAATGTTTGAAGAGATATTTTCCTAATGCTGAGATAAGAAAAAATGTTTTTCTTGAATTCTCAAATTTCTCATCTTGTACAGGTAATTTTGCTTCTTTTGATTCCATTGAAGATAGGTGGACATTGGACCCAAAATCTTGGTGGGTAATGCATGGATCTTCTACCCCTTTACTTCAAAAACTTGCCTTAAAGGCTTCTTGTACAGTCTTATTCCTCGTCTTGCTATGAGAGGAATTTGAGTACATACTCGTTCATTCATTTTTTGAAGAGAAACAAAATGGATCCAAAAAGAGCTGAGAATTTAGTTTATGTGCATTTCAACCGTCATCTTTTGTCTAAAAAAGTATATTAAAGGAGAGACAAGGATGTGAAATATTAGTGGAGATGTACATGATCCACTTGATAATGGTGTTGAATTTCTTTAATTGGCTGAATTATCTCTAAATGGACTAGACTTAGAAGTTATGCTTTTTATAGATGATAGGGATAGAGGAAATGAGTGTGACAACTTTAGAATCAAATATTATAAAGACAAGACATTTTTTTTGTGATAGTTCTATATTTCTTTTGAATAGAACTACCAATTCTTGTGTAGAATTCTAACTTAAAAGTATGTAATTTTTTTATGTGTTCAAAGTAGAAGAAACAATTTGACTTAATTACTCAGACAAGGAAAAGATATGATCGCATGTATTTTTTTGATAAAATGTGATCATTGATATATAAATGGAACACATTAATATAAATTAATTATTAATATCTATTTATAAATATTTTATGTATGTATAAAGTATGTTATTTCTTTAAATTCATATTAAAATAACTATGCCGTATCGTATCTTAAATTTTAAATTTTTTCCGTCTCCTTATTGTATCCATGTCGTACTAAGTATCTAGGCTTCATTGGTAGGTAGTTACAACATATCAGTTAGTTAGCCTGAATTAGTTAGTTGGCTAGTGGGAATTGTTAAAAAACTTGGGTCTAATTCACTCTCAAAATCTAGCTTATAGGAGAAGAATTATTAAACATATGCAAGGATGATCCAATAGGACTGGACATCTGTGGGCAATCCGAAATTTAAACTAGATAAGCTCTGATATCATGTTAAAAAACTTGAACTTAACTCATTCCTAAAAGCTAGTTCATAAGAGGAGGATTATTAGAAGAAACAAAACATGCTACCGTTAAGTAAGAGGAGACTGAGAGAGTGATCTATCTGTCATTTCGGAAAGGGCTTGTACTGAGGAGGGAGAGAACAAGGTCTCTTGAATATCTTGAATATTCAATAAAATTCATTTCTTTCAGTAAGGAAAAAAAAAATAAAAAAAATAATGTATTTCAAGTTTCTGATCAACTAGGCATATGGAATTTGCATTCAACCTATTGCAAGTCGAAGAAGAAATTCACCAAGTTAAGGAATGTTGAGATATTACATTAGTGCTTCGGTTCTGTCATAATTATTTTTGTCTACAGCTATACTTGTAATTCTGAATTGTATTGAGTCAATATACATTATAATTTACATGTATATATAGGAGTCTAATCCTAATATTTGCATGAGATAATATTCTAGATTATCTTCTAATAATCTTAGAAATAAAGACAAATAATTACAAATATAATGACAACAGTAAATCATAATAATTAGGAGGGATTCTTCTCAACAGCTATTATTATACATCTTCACTAATTGTATTCTGACAGATAGTTGCACTATTCTTCCTTTTATATTAGCAAGACCTCTCCGTGTAGTGCTAGCCACTGACACACCATATACGGATTTCTCTCTACAAGAAGTTTGTCAATGACAAAAGGAAGAATCAGATATGGCGATGATTTTCAATAATATGCTGATGCGGGTAAATCTGAACCGCCCTAGTCCCTCTTATTTGCTTATTTTCTTCTAGAAAGCTACAAAAAAATGGTTGTTGAAAAACTGAAAAACAACTACAATTGTGTTTAGGCACAAGAATGGGCTTTGAGGATACTGTTTTCCATTATCCCAGACTAATTTATCTAAAGGGCAAAGCTTCACAACGAAAGCAAACAAATACACCAGCTGACTAACAGAGAATATAAAGGAAAAAGAATTTAGAACGATGCTTGTCCATGGTCCACTGGAATACTTAAGTGACACAATCTATCTGGTATAGCAATTCAATTTAAAAGAACTACAGTCTGCAGTACAAAATTTAAGACGTTACTAACCCATGCTCAAGTCCGTTTCTCAGTTCTGGCAAAAGAGGTACTATTCCACTATTCTGAACTTGATCATGAAAAAGTGATATGCAAGATGAGAGTCTTAAGCTCCAAATGAAGAAACAAAGAATAACATAGACTTGAACACTGTTTTATTTGTATCTCATACATCAACAAACGACTAGAACAATTGAAATTTTAAAGAAGATGAGCACAATAAATTTCAACACATCAGCAGAAAAGTTAAAAATTTAACTATCCTTGTTTACTTGAACTACAAAGTAATATATTCACCTGTGGTGCCACTGTGCAGTAAAGAAATACAAATTCTAACGCAGAAAATAAAACTAAGCACACTTTTTTTTACCTTTAAGTTTGAAAAAAGTCGCTGTGAAGCAATTCTAGAAGCCTCCTTTTTATTTTGGCCAGTTCCCTGAGCTCTTTCACATACACCATTTCCAGTCACTTTGGCTTCAACTGAAAATGTTTTAGTCAGCTTTGATTCCAGAAACTGCAACTTCAAACCATGAGATTGGCGAAGTTCTTGCAAATCCCTAATAGGACTGAGCTGCAAGTTTGATGAGAACTTTATGATTGGGTCCAAGAATGAAGTCATAACCGTCCAAACCTTGTTCAAATTGAACCCTGAATCAAGAAGAACAGCACCAACACAAGATTCTACTAAATCACCCAGGGCCTGAAGAAACAAATGGTGTAAGTTTAGACCTCATATACCTTTTGATGCAAAATTACAAAGAATTAGAAACCTGTGAAAAACTTATGAGCTATTTGGATCAGACAATGAAAAGGCTCCTAATATTTCTATAAGAGCTACTCATGTCGATAACCCAAAGCATGGAGCAGAAGACACAAATAAATTTGTCATCTCATCTCAATAAAGTAATAAAATCTGTTCACTTGACTGTGACACATCATCCTCCTTGGCTTTTCTTTCCCACCCAATATGTCATGGATATTTTGCAAAAACACTGGCATTCATTTGGATGGTCTTTCTTTTTTCTTCTTCTGTCTTCCCATGCAAAGCCTGTCCTTGGGTGCTCTTCCCATATTCCATTAGTTTGCTCTTATGGTTTCCAAGTAATAGAATGATATTTGGTACACATCTTGTGGGACAGTAGGTGCACATGATGTGAGGTGACATGTGTGCAAATGTTAGTAGCATTATTACTAGTCAAATACACAAATCAAACTTTGAAAAGGATACAGACATAATACATTAGGACCTTCATCTTAGATCGTTAAATGTATTTAAAATATAGTAATAGTAGTAAATGCATCTAGGTATATTGCATCATCATAAAAAGGTCATAATATATACCTTAGGACATGTTGGCCCTTCGTTAGTGCCACTACCTGATACAGGTCTTCTAATGTAGTCCCCATACTTTTTTATTGCGTCAGACAGGCTACTTGAATCACATAAAAGAAATTTGTCAAAACTACGGTCTAGTGCTACACAAGCAAATGCCTTATTGTTAACAGACAATGATCTCAAATCTGTCAATTGACCAGGCTTCAGTTTGGGATAAGCTGAGTATAGATATGAAGTAATCAAATAATCCAAGACAGCATCTCCAAGAAACTCCAATCGCTGCAAATAATAATCAGGTTTAAAAAATTAAAGATAAAATGTCTCACTCGAATTCCCGAGGCTTAAAATTAGAGAGACCAAAGCCAGAACATTGGAAGTGAAAAAATAAATAAAACTTACTTGATAACAGCCTCCCCCATGCTTATTGTAAGAGGGATGTACAAAAGCCTGGAGCAGCAGACCCTTATGAACAAAGTCATATCCTAACTTACCTTCAAGAGAAGGAATGTCTACATCAGAAGAAAGGGGGAAATAGCCAGCACTTCCTGTGCAAATATTAACCACCTGTGATGCTTCAAAATCAACTTGTATGCCAATCCATTTAAGAAAGGAAATTGCAGCTTTAAAACCACTGTCAACTAGGAATGCTCCAACCAGAGCTTCAACCACATCAGCAATTGTTTTCCTATGTAACCAATGGTGATTTTTATTACATCGGGTTTCAGTTGCTCTTCTTTGCTCCTTAACAGAACTTAAACAGAAGTGTATACTGTCTTCAGTTTCCTTGCTACAAACTCTTGGGCAACAGCGGCCTAATGCATAGAACTGGACAGGATCAAATGCCTGATCACATATATAGACCTGGAAGGGAGAGCAGGCAGATAGTGATATGACTTGAGTCAGTAAATAAAAAGATGCATTCTATGAAAGTGGAGAGAAAAGTTTTTCTATTGATAAAAAATGAAAGAGTACAAGACAGCATATATTTACATCATGGCCCATGGACCTAATGGGCCAGACAAGAATAAAATAATATGACATATATATATATGTATATACACATTCTAAAACATAACAGCAAGATAGAAAACCTTTATCAAGGTTATTAGCCTTACTAAGTTATTGTTCAGTTAATTTCAATATTTCAGTGCTAGGAGTACTTCAGTATCTTCCACCCTCAGTTCTGTATGATTTATGTTATCCATGTGTTATTTGTTATTGCCTAGAGGTTTAAGAATTCCTTATTGGGTAATTAGTAGGAATCCTACATCCTGCCTGAGATAATTTTTTTGTTTACAAAATATGCCAAAAGTAGTAAAATTTAATACAAAGTTGCTTTTGGATAGCCTTTGCTTTTTTTAGCTTGTATCCTTGTATGTCATGTCCATCTATATAAGCACGCAGTGCCATAACCAGATTGAGTTTCTGCCTTCCAAGTATAGTTTTCTTCTTATCTTCTGTAAGGGATCTAAAGACTGTCTTTCAAATTTAGTTCAAAATTAATATCCAAGTTTTATCTAGCAAGTTGCTTGTCTTTCTTATTGAATTCTAGCCATGAAGCTGAGGGGAATATTCTTCTTGTTGAGATTATCGTAAATAGGATAATAATGTAATTAGTATGAATTTAGATAATTGCAAATCATGCATTTGATTTACCTTATTATTATAAATAGAGCTTTATTGTGTATTCAAACACACAAATTCATCTTATGCCTTCTGGTTTTCACTTTTCACCTCTTTCAGCATTGTATTTAGAACCCGACAATAGGGCAATCCTAATCCATGCATTCCTGGTGACCTGCTCATTGGCATATTTTTTTTTTTCAAAAACAGTGTTTAGTTTCCAGTTTCTGGTTTCTTATCCAGTCATCTATCTTTTCTAGTTGGCATTGTTCACCATCGTCATCCACTTTTTTGGCAACTTATCCGATCACCAACCAGTAGATTAGGGTTGTCATTGCTTGCACAACTCAATGTCAGCCAACCCATCCTCATCAAAGCTTGGATACACACCAGTCTTTGACTTTCTTTGATGGTTGGTTTTCAAGTGGAATGGTTTTGACCTTGAAAGTTAAGTTTTTAGGCTTTTACCAGCCAAATCAGCCAAGACCTATTCTAATAGATTAGGCCTAGATTCCCCAACTCCTAAAAAAAAGAATTTTAATCAGAATCGCAATTTTGTTTGATTCAGCAGTAGTAGGAATGGTGTAACCAGCAGACAGTCTTTCATCAATAAGCAATCTGCTAGTCTTTGTTGGTGATGCCTATCTGGTGTTCGCCTGTGCCTCCATAGTGCCACTTCATTAGAGAGAAGATCTATTCTAAAAATATTGGTATTTGATTTGTGAATTGTAGGTAAATGTCTCTGCAAAGTCTTTGAGGGGTTCTCATATTACTCCAGCTTTAGGAGAAGTAATGAGATAAACTGTAAATAAAGTAATAGGGTGAGAATAAAATTAGTTTAATTTTAGATAACTTAAAATCATATATTTATTGTGCCTTATTATTATAAATAGAGAGTTCTGCTATGTATTCAAATATACATATTCATCCTATGCCTTTTCGCTTCCTTCTCTATCAACACTTCTCAAATAGTGTTTCTTGAATTGCAGAAATATAAAATTCTTACTTTTTAAAATTAAACCTCTCGTACATTCTTGTTTAATCTACCAAAAACCCATCAACCTTAAAGCAAGTGCTTGGATCCAAATCCAAATTGCTCTTCGGGATGATCTTGTCAATGTCAGCCTACTACCACCAATTTTCAGTCCTATCTTATGTCCAAATGCATAAAGTTAATTCATAAAATAGGATTTGGGAGAATCATTTTAGCTCAATGCTAGCAAATTGCAGTCCTTTGCCTATGCACAAGGTCCCTTTAATTACCCAACAATCCATCATTAATCCATCCAGGAAAGCCTCCGTCAAATGCATGAATTAACTTCATAAATAGGAGTTGGTTCCTCTCATTTTAGTTCTCAACATGATCACAATATTTTAGCAAGAAATGGGGGTCCCCCAGTACAAAGTCCTGTGTCTATCTCCTAAAATGATAATGTTGGGTTAGGAATTAAAGGCAGATTCAACTCATGCAAAATATGTTTTTCATTGCCAAGATAATTTTAGTATATATCTTATTTAATTATATCTAGTTATTGAAATAAGTTCCCATGAGTATCATTTAAATGTAATAAAAGACCAATGAATAAAAATTATACTTTCTTACTAAGGAAATGAAGATGGGATGTGTTGGTATAACTTTACCTGCAAATTACGCTTAATAGCCAACTTAAACAAATTGGAATTATTTACAACATTTGATCGCCTTTTTGTAAGGTCTCCTTCATGAAAGCTATCATGCATGAGAAAAAAATGACGCGCAACAGCAAACTTAAGGAAAGCATCACCAAGCACTTCAAGTCTTTCAAGGGAAAATCGTTCCTGACACTTTTCAGTGGTGAGAGCCTCAAGAACCTAGTATTTGTTCACAATTGTTAGTTGATATAAACTACAAAATTTATCTGTACCATATCATCATTGGCATGTTGTTAGATAAAAGAATACACTACTTATATATATAAAAAAATATATTGAATATAATAAGGGCTTACTCTAAGGGCACTAATTTCAGCTGCCTCTGGAAAGGAAGAGGATAGCACGTCCTTGAGTTCAATAGCCACCAAAAAGTTTCCCAGACGATGCATAATTGAGGGCAGCAAAGATATGGAACTACCGATATCCTTCGAAAATCCTATTATTTTCAGTTCACATACCTCAGGAGGCAAATAAATTAAGTATTCCTCCTGCTCATGTGGTTCTGTCATTGACAGTTAAAAGCTACAATCATTTCAAGAAGTGTCTGAAGTATTATCAGAATACAAGATAAATCCAAAATTAAGATACAAACTTGAAAATAGTCAATGCACTTTTTTCAAATTGCTAATGTCAAAGCATAAAGAAGTGTAGACGCTGTTAGATACACGTTTATGTTATTGTATCATGAATATATGGTAGAATCAATTAGAAGCAATTTTAAGAACCACTATTGGATTGAATATTGGTATATCATTGTAATTTATAATTAATACTAACATTATTATATATAGAGGCCGTGTTATTTCAAACACCCAATTTTATCCCTAATCAGGTTGTTCTTAGAATCCCTAAGTTGGTATGAAAGCAGAATCTGGTCCATTTCTCCCAAAAAAAAAAAAAAAAAACCCTAACTCCGCTGCATACACTGCAGCAGCAAATTCTTCCTCACTGTGCATCAATATCAGCAACCTGAACCTACCACGTCTCTTTTTGGCAAGTTTCTATCACCAACAATCACCCAACCTCTGAAGTTTGCTACTGTCTGCCTCTCCATGCACTACCTAAAGCCTGCCGCACCTGAGAACACCCCTTTATCGGTGCATGAGGGTGTGTAAGAGACATCCCAACCCTATTGGCTCCTATTTTGCTCATTTAAAGGATGATTCAGATCATGGGTCCCACACTTTGTGTTCCTCAGATTTTTATGACCTCCCAGCTCACCATATGATCTTAATAACATTAAACCAAAATGCTTAAACTATTTAGCAAGGATTTATAGCGTTATTTGTAACTCTTTGCACACCTTGAAACAACCTAACGGACCTAAAATGTGGAAAAAAGACAATGCATAGACATTCCACTAGCATAAAAAATTAGTCATAAGAACTAAATTTAAATGTCTTAGTCAATTTGACTCTAATGCTAAAAATAACATATCCCATGCAGTACCTGTATCCTCATGCTTTCGGTTGTGTAGCAGGTTGTGCAAATTGAATAGTCGTTTTGCATGCAGAAGTGGTTGTTCTGGGCATTTGAGGTGAATGGAAAAGCTGACATTGAAGCATGCATGTTTTTCGTCAAATATCGTAAATACATGATATTCCAACTTATATATACATACACATTCCCATTTTTTTGTCCAATCAGTTAATCAGCAATTTTAAAATGTCTCCAATGAATATGAATGGTTATATTATCAACTTAAAAAGAATTAGGGATGCAAAACCAAAATGAAACAAGGATAAATCTGAAATAATAAACAGATACCTACTTTTCGATGAAATGGTCCACATAGCTTGACCTTGAAGTGCCTGAATCCCTATAAGGACTAAATCCATTCTTTTTATTGACAATATCCGTGACAAAATAAAAGACCTTCTTATGAGGGGCATAAACTAAACTATTCTTGACATCTCTTACACTTTTGTAACCATTGGCAAGTTGCAGGTGAATATCCAAAGGGAAAACTTTTTTATCCGTAGGATCTGCTGGATGCCTAAAAATTGGTGAACAAAGGCATCTCTTCACTGTCTTCCAATCAACTTTCATGACATTTTCATTTTCTTGCAATTCAACTGGAAGCAAAAGGTAGAAGGTTGATGTGCTTGTGTGAGATTCAGCACCCTTACCTAAGTCTACAAACTCAGAAACAAATTCTGATCTATCCAGAATAATTTTGAGGAACATTTCTTGAAAATTCTCTGCCATCTTAATCTGCAGGTTAGAAAACTCCAAGCATTAATTTAAATTTTTCTCCCCCCCCCCCCCCACCTTCCCAAATAAAAAAAAAATACAGTTATTTACCTCATCTTTGTCAAATTCTACAACTCCAAATGGAACAAAACTTGTCATTACAGATCTACCACGAGCAAGATGGAGATCAAGTTCCAGGTTCTCAGCCTCCATTGGAAGAAAAGTCATGACAAATAGACCAAACTCTTTATAGACCCTATCCTTTGGACAGGGACAAAATTTTATGTAGTAAGAATTGAGACTGACGATTGTATCCTTGTTTATCCATGACTGTCTAATGGCAGAAGGAATTAGCATCTCATGTAATTCTCCTCTTGATATGGCATCTGCAAATAAAGAAAAGTGAATATAGTGCACACAACATTATGATATTGTTCTAGAAGCATAAATTGATAGTAATCAACACGATAGTTGTACTACAACTGAAAACAAATTAAAAGCTTCCCCGTGCAAGATTAGAAACACTGACAATAACTACTTGAGAGAGAAAAAAACTATTAATGATGTGGCAACACATGATTGGATGATGGTGCAGAAGTTTAAACACTGAGAGTGGATTAACACTAAACTGTCCATAGAAAGGTATGTTGCAATAATAATTACCAAAAAGGGATTATGTAGAGTTTTAAAAGCCTAAAAATGATCAGCATGGCGGCATGCTGAACTAGTCATTCTCCTTAATATGCTTATTGACAAATAAACATGCTCAACACTTGATTTCAAAATATAATTTATACAGTACATTTCTGGCAACCTAGTCAAAGGCAATGAAAGCAAGGCTTATCAAAGAGCAGCTGAAGTTTGACCTTCACATTCATCTTCATCACAAGATCCTGAAACCTGCTCCTCTGGCTCTACATCATTTGGCTTTGGCAAGAGACAATCACTTAAAGCACTTAATTTATACAGTTCTTCTATTGCTTTCAAGCTAGCATCTCTTTTGGAAGCCTCCATAGACAACTGTGGTGCACCAACAATTTGGTGTATAGGTGCATTGGAAGGCAATGTTATGTGGCAGACAATTCCCCCTAAATCATTGAAGTAAGAAAAAATTGGCTTGGGATCAAAGTACCTGAAAGGAGAGATAACATTTTAAAACACAAGATTTGTACTTTATTTCCATGAAACTCCATGGTTGAGCATATAATTTGGATCAAACAAAAGTCAAGGTTTAAATAAACTCATACTCATCATGTGGAAGCTTTGAACAATACTGGTGAAGCAATGAGATACTATATCCAGAACTGACAGAAGCACCAGATGAATCAACTCTGAATATCCTTTCCTCAGGGACGATGTATGTCTCATTGGATGTTCGAACACTAATTTGCATATTCATTCTGTATTCATCTTTCTCAAATCCATTGATTATGGCTAGTTCCTTCTTATTGCGACTGCAACAAGATTTCAAAAGAAAACAAATGGATGGGGATTTGCAAAATTAATTCTAAAATATATTAGAATGCAAGGATACCTGTCCACCAAAAATGCATATTCTGACTGAGGCATACGTGCACGGCCTCTTGACTGTATAAAGCTGGCAACAGTTTCCGGAAGATCAAATCGTATGACAAGGCAACATGTCTGAATGTCAAGTCCTTCTTCACCCACTTTGGTTGCAACCAATAGATTCAACTGTTACCAGCAAAAACATAGTCATATTACTAGCACTGAGCTTTTTAACCAGTTATGTATGTCATTCACCACCTTAAAATCTTACAATAATGGTTGAAAAAGCACATGCAGATCACAAAAATCCCCAGTAGCTCCCAGCTGTTTCAAAGTTTTACAGGGTAAAGGACATTTTACATTCTTTCAATACATTTAATGTCACATTAGTGCAATAATAGAAAATTAGAAAAATGACAGCCAGTTTACTGCATTTGGAAAGCTGCTAACATGAATGAAAAAAAAATAAATAAATAAATAAATTGTGTGCAGCCAACTAGTAAAGAGACTCAAAGAAAGGAAAGGAGCCATGAGAACAGGAGCTGATCCTGTTGCTTCCACCAGAGATAATCATTGTTTACATTGCCACTATAGCAATCAGTACCAGAGATAGAATATGGTGGGATCTCTGGATTCACCATAGATCAATGAAGTTGATGGTCTATCATCACTGCTTTAACTTGTTGCTTGCAAATTAGGAAAGTTCTTTTGATGATGCTACATGGGAGTGGAATGGGAAAAGATGACTGGAGCCCCTCCTTGGAGGTGAGAATAATCACCAGAGTTGTACAAACTCAGGCTCAATACCATGTTGTAAAGCTCAAGGGGAGAGTGTAAGAAAGAATCTGAAAACTGTTCTCTAAATGTTTTCATTCATGATGATTGGTTCAGCCAGGAACTAGTCCCTTTTCCGGTTCAGCTTGGACTCAGTCTCTCAAAAAGGTAATCTGAAAACCAGTCATTGAACTGTTAAAAACTGGGTATAAACTGTGAGAACCAACCAACACCAACTAGTCGTGGTTTTTTCATTTTAACAACACTGCTTGGGCAATCCTCCTCTCTTAAGCAGGTTTTTAGGGTTAAGTCCAACCCAAATTTAAGAACTTCATCTCCAGGTATTTAGGCTTAGTCTTCCTGCTGTTGTTCAGGCCTTCTGCAAATCATTTATATTGTTACATTTTAAATTGTATTTATGTCTTTATCTCTACAAGTATAAATTATATTTATTTATCAGTTCAATTGTTGTTGTTATGTCTTTTATTAAGCAAATGAATAATGAACCGTTGCCTTCATTGATTTAATGCTCACTCCAGTCCAGTTTCAATATAACAAGTTGATAATTAATGGATATATACATAGTCAATTCGTTCCCTAATTATTTTCCCAAAATGGAGTTTTTCAGTCTAGATTGGGGTTTTCTTCCCCTTAAATGAGTTGGGCAAGCAATCAGGATGGCAATGAGTAGTTTGAAACATTCAGCGCACTAATTTGAGTTTGACAATTTCTTTTACCAGAGATGTTTTCTACAGTTTGAATCATCTCCAGATCTTTTGCTCCATTGATGTTATGTTCTGAAATAAATGTATCTTTATCTCTTAAGTTAAGTTTGTCATGTACTATTAAGATAAAATCATAATTTCTTACAACATTTTTTTAAAAATTATATTATTGTACCAGTATCTTAGATTATTGAAAATTGTCAAATCTCATATCCATATTTGTACCATGTACAATATCCGTGTATCTGTATCCAACATCCGTGCATCATGGAATTTCATCAAACCTTGGAGGTCAACATAACTTGTCTAAAGAAGGATCCATGATCTCTATATGTGCCCAAGAATATACATACAACACACACACATGAAATAAATAAAAGCATAAGTCCAAATAAATTAAATAAAATAATATTATGCCAAAAGATAAATTAAATAAAATAAACATTAAAAAAGAAAGATATTAAAAGGACAAAACTGCAAGGTGAGGCAACCTAGGAGAAGGATACAAAACTTGGAAATAATATTGGAGAGCTACATTTCCAGATAAGTAAAAGCATAATTCCAAATAAATTTAACCATCAAGAACACCACCCATGAACTAAATGCAAAAAAATAAAAATAAAATTAGGCATAACTGATTTTCTGAATTCAAGCACTCTTCATCTATGTATAACATTCAATCCAAATATCCCCCAAACAAACACCCACACATGAAACACCAGAATCAGTATCAATATATAAGAATAAAACAATAGTCAAGACCTCCTCAGAACCATAAAAAACGAAAACTAGGTTGCCAATGTGTCCACTTCTATCAACAGTATCCAGGGCCAGCCATGATTTTATAGTGTGACCATCTCCAGAACAAGGGGCTAAAGTAAGGACAAAAACTGTTTTCTCATTATAAATAACAATCAACAAAATTCATAGAATCTTCTAGACTTCTATGACAATTAACAATTTATACATGCATACACACTGAAATTCAATAACATGTTTAAAAATTAACGATAGAAATCCAATAACAATATTTACCTCTCCAGAGCGAAACTTCTCAACAATGACGTTCATGGTCTTTCGTGACATACTCTTCAGTCCAGAATGGACTCCTACTAGAAAATCACTCTTCCATTGTCTTAGAAGCTTGAGCTTCTGTAGTATGTATGACAGGGATCTAGCAGTCACAATTCTATTCACAAAAATTATACATTTCATGTTTTTTTGCAACCTGGAATTGGAACATGTAATCAGAATTTGTCCAAATACATTAGTTTCATAACCAAATATAAATGAGACACATGATATATGAAAACACATGAAAGGAATGGTTTAAACAGCATAGTCTTGTCAGACTGAGATATGATTACCAACCTAAAGTTGGACAGTATCCCAACGAGGCGTAAAAGCTTGGTTGAAAAACAGGGCTCTTTTAATACTTCCACAGAAGACAGATCAGATACACAGTCACCTACAAAAGACCAGTATGGTTAGCTGCAATAAAAATGAAGCCTACATCTTGTGACAACTGAACTCTGTTTTCAAACATATCATAAAAATTCACAATAATGAAAATGACTAATTAATTGTTAGACTAATGCTAGCCTATCATGCACAATGGAAGCAAATGTGACAGTAAATGGATTTATAAATGAATTGTCAGAAGCAACAGTCAGAAAATCCAGTAACAGCAATGACAATATTAAAAGAACATCAAGCAATGTCAAAATACCTATCACACATTGTGAAGCAAAGAGTTCAGCTGCTTGAACAAGATATTTATCGCACAGAGAGTCATCACTTGAGTTTCCTTCTGCCTCCACTAATTCATGCCTTTCAGAATGATCACCACTCAGAAGAATACGACTAGCCTTGGAAGGTGAACACATATTTTAGAGAAGGGAAAAAATAAAAATTAAGATAGTGAAAGTGACAGCCTTTCTAACCTATAAAATCATTTCCCAATATCAACTAAACAGACGGAAAACCACAGGAATGGAAAAAGTAAAAAGCATATATATCCAGAGATCTATAACAAAAAGCAAAAAGTAGAAAATACACCAAAACCCAGGGAAAAATGTATAGAGAAGACTTATCAAAATGAATTCCAAAGAACATCCCTGTATCTTCAAATATCACATCTACAATCATTTTCAAACTGCATTGGTGCCTAAACATTGTCTTTAAGAAACAAAACATCATTTTACATCATCCATCTTCATGAATCAATGTAGAATCGGCTACTGTGTTTAACTTACTTAAGCTAAACATCATTGCTGAGAAACTCCACAGCCTACTCTAGGCATATTTTGCATCCTTGGTTTTTTCTTCTTTGATAGGGAGAGGGGCCAACAAAAAAGAACAAATTATGACAATTTTATTTCTTTGATGTATTATTATTTATAGATTCTTTTAGAGACTTACTAACTAAATAATCTAGTCAAATGATTCCAAGACTTATAATCCTTGACAAGAAAAAAAGACATAACCAAATACAAGAATCTTACTTGCAATGCTCCCCAAATGCCAAGATTCCCCAGACAGAAAAGCACATTATCATGCATCCGGTTCAGAAGTTTCTTCGTGTTCATTCGTTTCTGGTGATCTTCTATACTCTTACCAATGGTTGCTACACACTGTTAAAATAAAATAATGCAGTGGTCACTAAACCACCTTGTTTATCAAACTATCGAAAGATCTCACAGTAAAAAGTGCACCTGGCATTTAATCTCCTCAATTTTTGAGTACAAACTAGTTTCTGCATTTGCAGTTGAACCATAATGATATATGTTAATCATAGGAGTGGTCACAAAAGCTTGCAATTCCTTGTCTTCAACTGAGTATACCTTCAAAAGAGATCTAGAAGTTAAAGAGTAACCAAGCCCAGCATCTATCCAACACAAGTAGGTAATTATTCCCAAGAACCATACACTTTGCATATAAGGTAAGATGTTTCAAGTTAGCTAGAAATAGAGTCAAAATACTCCTTATAAGAGTTTGTGTTATCTTTCTCCATGAGCTAACTTTTAGGAGTGAATTAAGCCCAAATTGCTTAACATAGTTTAAAACTTATTCAGTTTAATTGTTAAGCTACTCACAGATGTCCAATCTTGTTGAGTCACCCGCAAATATTTAATCTTGCAAACTTCATGCACCAGATGCCCAGTCCTAGGCATGAGGGGAGGGTGTTAAAATGTCCTACATTGGCGAGGAATAGGACCAAAATACTCTTTATAAAGGTTAAAGTAGTCCTCCTCTTACAAGATAATTTTTAGAAGTGAGTTAAACCCAAATTTTTTAACAATAACTATAAGGAATTCAGAAGAATTCAGACATTTATAGAGTTCAAATGCTACATTTCCACAAACCATATCCCAGCAAACACAAGATCAATATATCAACTTCATCCATTGCATCAATAGGTTCATAGCCAATACTTAATAGAAAAAGCATTTTGTTTTCTTGGACAGGTAGGAAAGCAAAAGTTTGGCCCAAAATATTTTGCATAAGTAACAAATGCTGTTCACAAATTTAAGTATTTTGACATACAATACTAAACAAATCCTACCTTAGCATCAAGCAAACGTTCAAGACTATTGATGCTTTTCACTAGATTTGCTTCACTAGAAGCACCTGAAAATGAAAATAATCCAACAAGGTCAAAAATATGAAGAGGATTTTACATATTAGGAATAAACTACACTATAAGTATTCAGCAAATATCCTTATTGAAAGATGCATAAACAATAAGAAAAGAAAGAAAGGATAAATTACCAACAATGTAGGCAAACGTTAGGGTGTTAAACACCCTTGAAGAACTGACAAAAGATGGGACGTAAGAAAGGCAAAACATTTATATGATTATGATGGAACATCAACATCCCAGAAAATAAAGCACAGAACAGTTAGTCTTTTTCAAATATAAAATAAAAGTTATATACTATAAATAGAACATCAACCAGTATATTTAAAACTGCATATACATGTATATCATATAAATAGCACTTCATAGGATCATATGAACCTTGTCCTAGAAAAAAATATACACAAAGGTCCAAGTATTGAAAAGTAAAGTGACATGTTAAAGTCTACTTTAAAAAAAATCTTGTCAATACTTGAAAATTAATTTATATAGAATGTCAGTGACAATAGGATGTCCCCTTCCCTCACACAACTCTACCCCTCATCTCAAACTCAAGAAAATGGTCCTCTGCCTCATATAATTTCCTTTTCCTTAACACATTTTAACCTTTCAAAGTTAACCAATGGTTTCCAGTTCAACTATAAGCAGATAAGATCATCTACAGTCAATCTCTTTTCAGCCTCCTCGCAGAAATTTATGATCATTTTGAATGTACAGCAGGGACACATATATAGGTGTACCATATCCATATCATTTACACACTGTACATAGGCACATCAAATTGTGCCTTGCATAATATCACAACAAACAATATTTAAAAAATTTGCCTGTTGAATGTTGATGGCAGGGCAAATCTTTGGTGAACTTACCAAATTGACTTCTCAAGTCCAGATCTTCCTATGTGTGACAATTTCCCTTTTAAATAAAATAAAATCTTTCAATGTGTGCTGAATTAGTTCATTTTCAAGTTAAAAAAGATAAAATTACTGTGACTTTCCTAGAAAGCTTTTGAAAAATATAAGCATTATATTTTTCTCGAAAAACACTTTCACAAGCATCCACTTTAAAATCGATAGCATCAAATTCAGATATCTAGCACAATCCCTTAGAGACTTCACAAGACAGATATCACACGCCCTCTTTCCATAGCTAAAGCCTAAAGGACAAGTTCCTGCAAGTGTAGGTTGTTGGTTCAGATCTTACTAAATGTTAATGCAAGAAATAAGAAAGAAATAGGTAGATGAGTAAAGCTTGTACCAGTTAGAATATCTACATAATATGTAGAGAATGATGCCGAGTATAATAAAGTGGAAAAATTTTGCTACCTAAATTTTTACGTAAATGATCTGTTTAGGATTCCTATCTTATTCTCAGTGAATGTATCTGCATATTTAGTAAGCTTTTTGTTGCTTATTTGATTAGAGTTGGGACGTAGGAGCCTAGTACATAATCTAATTCCTAGTAGAAACAGAGGTATGTGCTTTGTACTTTGTATCACATTGCATCATAATCAATTCAATATCCAGAGTCTCTATTTTCTTTTTTACTCCTTTCACACCTAAACCCTATAATTTCAACAGTATTAATACGTAATTGAAACAGGAAAATATCTTGGCTCTCGTTAATACTCTATATTTTTAAGATAAGCTTTATTACTTTACCTTTTCCTACAATGGGGGAAGCAGTCATGCCAAATATACGGGGAACCTTTGTAGAATTATCTTTGTATTTGTAGAAGACCTAACAAATTGCCAAATTAAAAATTGTAAAAAATTAAAGCTATGGAAATGGAAAGATTTTATGCAGAAAATCATGTAGCAATTTCCATAATGAATGCCTGAAGTTCAGCATAAGTACAGCATACTTTCATGATTACTGCATAAGCATGGTTGCTTTTGACTTGAGCATGATGGCATTCATCAAATATCAGAAGTGCAATCATCTCCATCGTGATGAAACAATGGGATAAGTTGTGAAGCAATATTTGTGGGGTCATAACAAGCACCTGAAGGGAAAAGGACAAGAACACAATGTACTATTTTAGAAACAACAAGCTCCCCCGAATTAAAAATTTAACTATGTAGATTTTGAGATTCTAAAACAGCTGGAGCCAAAATGAATTTGAATTTTTTTTATTCTGCCTCTATAGAGTTTAATTGATTATCACCTTCTTTCAATAGCTTTTACTTAAAGTTGCCACAAAAGTAACACGTCTGAATATACAATAAAATAAATTAAAGAACATAATTAATTTCAACATGATTTAACTGGCATTAACACCTCATATTGTCTAATCTCCTGCTCCCAATCTTGATGACGTTTCAAGCGCTTGGAACTCCCGCAGTAAGTCCCAACCTTAAAATCAGTGGAGTCTTCTATAACCTTTGCTTGCTATGGATAAATATAAAATAGGCTTCAGAAAACACATAATGGAAATCACCAGCATGGTGAAAACAGTTAAACTAAGGTTCAGGGGGAGATTACCATATACAAAATCAATTCATAAGATTCACACAACAACCACGCTTAATTCACACAACAAGTAGATTGCTAAGAATTGTAATTCTAGCATTCAAGCAATGCTTTGTTAAAAAATATTGAAGAGGAATTGAGACTGTCCAAATCGCAATGATTACAACTAAAGATACAAAAGCCAGTTCTTATTGCACATGCAAGAATATGAGAGCAGCTCACCTGATGAACTAAAGCCACAGTAGGGGCAAGAAAGACACATACATTCTTCTGGGGTTTACGAATCAAATGACCCATCTCATGCATGAGAAGCACGGCAATGTGGGTCTTTCCACATCCTGTCCCCAAATACACAATTATATTTTCCTCCATAGCTTTTTTGCACAACTCCAACTGATACCTTCCAAAAGACCAAAACATTCATAAGATACTTGGTTCCTTCGAGTTTCAGAAAACAAGTGAGCAATAAGAAGAAAGATAACCACCGCCAACATCAGACTTCAACTTCTGATGATCACACATTAGCAACATTTTTCTGGAAACATTCACAGAAGCAAGAATCTACAATCTTGCATAAACTACAAGGCTTGCTGACACAATTCAATCCACCAGTTACATTTTCAGAAGAATTTTCAAAGGAAAAAAATACTCTTTACTGTACTCCATTTCTCACCAGCCAAACAAGGAACAACCCACCCACTAACAGTGAGCAGACACCACCAAGAAATGACCAAAACCCACATACCCACTTGAAAAATAAATGTAACTCAATGTAGAAAATGATGGGAGGCAACCGGGGGGGGGGGGGGGCAAAAGATTCTTACTTTCTTGCAATTTTATTGGGATCTTTCTTGACTGAGTCATCGTGATTATTGACTTCGGAAAGACTCAAAGAGAGACCCACGGTGAAAGATTCTCCGTCCGGCATTGCCGGAGACACACAAAGTGTGATCAAAACGTTTGCTGTCTTCTCGGTTGTAAACGAGAAAAGAGAAAGAGTGAGGGTTGTTTGTTTACTTTAGCTTCGATTGCGAAATTGCCGTATTTGGAGAGAGCATACAGAGAAGTGGAAATGAGGCACCTTAGTGAGCACGTTTACTGACTTCGATTACTTTTTTTTTTGTGACCCACATTGATTCGTTCATTCGTATAAAGTTACTGTTGTTATTTGTTTCCACGCACGTTCTTTCTCCACTCGCCTCTTCCGCGTCACTTCTTTTATAATTATACAAAATAAAATATATTTTTAAAAATAATATAATTATATAACTATCTATCTATGCCCTTTTCTTTTTTTATATATTTTTTTTAAATCTAGGAAACCATTAACTAAGAAAATTCAGCTTTAGAAAATATACTAAGGAAAGGGGCTTCTTAAACACATAGAATAGGTCACTTAAACCCAATTTTAACTTAGTTTGCCTTAAAACATAGTTGAACCTGATAAATTTAATTTCTTACAGTAACTTACTAATTTTACTAATAATAGAAAAGTATGAATAATTATAACTTTTGATCATTTTCTATATCTTTTCTTTAAGATAATTAATATTTAAAATTTTTTATAAATTCATAGGTTTTTTAGGACTTTTGATACTTAGGGATCATTTTAACTAATTTGGATTTAAAATATTATATGAATTGTTTCTCTAAATTGATAACAATTATAAAAATCTAAATTTATTTGAAGTTTTTTTATAAAAAAAAATTTATTATCTCGCCAACTCATATACGAGAGAGATGGTAGTTTATATATCTAAACTCAATTTTTGTCAGGTTGACGAAAATATTTTGTTAGTAATTGTTTTAATATTTAAAAATCTCTAAATATATCATAAAAATATTTTTAAATTTTATTAAAATGAGCTAATTAGTATGGTATTGAAGTTCTCTTCTCTGTTATTAATTTTTTTATCACAAAAAAAGAAGTATTTTTTTTACATAATTATTAATCAGTTTTTCAGATTTATGATTATGTAATCTAAAGTTAAATTTTATTATTATAGAATTTGACATTTAAAAAAATTAAATGATAACATCTTTAGTAGGATAGCTTAAACTATTTTTCTATTTAAGCTACGAGTGTTTGTAAAATACACAACATCAAAGACATTTAACACATAAGAGTAGATAATATTAAAGCTTTAATTAAATGTATTAATTTTGTTAGTATTATTGTTTTTAAATTGTTTCAATCAAATTGAAAGGACTGAAAAATAAATTGTTATATATATAACTATATATATATATATATATATATATATATATAATTATAAAAGTCGATAATAATATAATGTGTTAAATTAAAATAATTTGTCATTACTAATTTGTATACTTGATAATAATTTTCTTAACTGTCATAAAAGATCAGCTTACTAGTAATACTAATAACAATGAGGAAAAAATAAATAAAGGAACAGTGTTCTTTTAAATAAACTATACCAGCATGCGGAAAAGAATAGAATGAAAAAAAGAAGAAAAATAAAATTTATTGTCAATTATTTAAAAAATATATATAATAAAAATAAATAATTTATTATACAAAAAGATTTTTTTTTCTTTATGAGTAGTGAGACTTCTTTATTGTTGTTGATGTGCATCACATGCGATGTTTTTTTCTTTTCAAAGCAAAATAAAAAAAAAGTAATATTTTTCTGATTTGTTCACACATTTCACGCTGACGAAGGAAGGAATAATTGGCGAAACCTCCATAGAAATAATTAATGTAATCGACTCCATTCATTCAAACCAGTGAAGTTATTATTAGCTTATCTCTTAGATCACTACTTTCTATTTTAGATTTTTATTTTATTTTTTCAAATAAATATGGTGTAAACAGTTATGTGGGGCTAAAATGGCGCTTCATCAAACTTTTTTGTAGTAAAAGAATAAAAGTATTGTGTTGCTTTTTAACCAAAAAAGTTTAGCGCTAACTACATTATGCGGAAATTTATGTGATGGCACTAAAAAAAATAATCTCAATATGTACTTTCAAGATAATTTTATGAGATGGCAATATAGAATTATTAATTTTATTATAAAATTTTCAATAAAGTATCCCTAAGAAAAATAATTTTTTTAACGAGTAATGTGAATTATGTGATAAAAATAAAGAAAGAGATCAACCTTATTAAATATTTATTTTAAATGAACAAGATAGATAATAGCATTAAGAATTAAAAAATATCATACAATTAACATTGATGCCTATTATTTGCAAATAATAAAATCGAAATTCACATAATAAAAGTAAAAAAATTGATTTTAGAATTTTTGGAGAACATGAATTTAATAATAAAAGGTTATTTAAGAGAAAGTAAAGTATAAAATGAGTTATAAATAATAATTATAAAAAGTTAAACCTGACAAATGTGTTTTTAAATTATTTTTAAGAGATATCATTTGAAATTTATTCTATTTGATATAAAAAGTATATAATTAAAATTCTAAAATATTTTATACATATTTTCTCCTTAATATCTAAATTACATAATCTAATAATTTAGAATCCATAATAGATTCCACAAAAGTAATTTTGCACCTAAAATTTATACGGGTCTTCGTTTTGTTTTGTTTTTTTCATGAAAAAGGGAATACTACAATTCTTTCAATGCAAATGTTATACAACGTTTTTTCTCAACTAAAACAAATAATCTTTTCTTAGTTTTCATTTGTAAAACTAGTTATTTTTTTTAATTTCATCTTTATATATTTTAGTCTTTTGCATTATAAGTTTGTAATTTTTAAAATATTTTTGGTGAGCAACAACACGCTTACTTCTTTTTGTTTTTTGGTTTTTTTTTCCCACACGCTTGCTTCTCATCATTGGACCATTGGTCGTGGAGACTGTTTACATTATCCATGTGAGAACACTGTAAAAACGTAACTGCACAAGTTTTTATTGGTCTCTCGATGAAGAACTCTGAGACTTTTTTTTTTTCTTTTGTCAAAATTTCAAAAATTAAATTACAAAATTATATAAAATTATATTTCCGAAACATCAAGTATAATATTCTTGAAATACAATTTCCAACTCTAAATTCCAAAAAACAAAGAAAAATGTGGAAGCGATGTGTGAAAACCGATGTTGTTGCCCTTTCAAGGATTTTTGTCGTTTTCTGGAAGCTTTATTACAAGATCTGAAGGCGGGTGTTCTGGGTTTCTTGGAGTTGGACCTAATGGCCAACGTTTGTAAGAATCAAAGCCTCCGATTTCTAGTTGACTTTCTGCTCTCCTGAAATCACATGCAATATGGCTATTGTTCTATTCTTCTTGGTAATTGTTTAAATCAAAACTGCCAGCATCATCAAAATTCAAAATTTAGAATTTCATTGCCAGTAAATGATATTTGTGTCGAAGCCTACTATTCCAGGAGACGATTGAAGAATAAGAAGGATATTTTGGAATAACATTAGTGAAAATAGGGTGGTGTAATTAGTAAAAAGAGGCAGTGTTAAAAATAATAACCAGACTTGATCACCTTCAGTCCAACAGGTTCAACCACTTGTTACAAAATATTCAGGGATTCCTTTTTGCACCACCTATTTGTTACTACTTACACTACCTTTTTTTTTCTTTCAATTTTTTTTCAAAACTATATTTTAATATATTCTAGAAAATAATTTTTTTAAGTAAATTACAAATCACTAATAAAAATTAAATTCCGAAAGTAATTTTTAGGCCTTCCAGAAATTTATTGTTGCATTCACTTGCAAATCATTTGTAAAAATGATTTCTCGAAGTAATTTTATACTAGCTAGAAATTAAATTATGAAAGTGACAAATTATTAGTGCAAATAGCCCAAAAAAAAAGTGATATAAACAATAATTCAATTTTCGGTCGGTAGAAAAGCAGTTCAATTGAATCAAAGCCCATGCCAAAGAAAAGAAGAGGATCGAAGTCTAAACACATTTAGCAAGAGGTTTCCTGGTTGTCATAAATATAGTGAAGAGAAAGGTTTTTAGATGCTCAGCGACTTAAATATTGCATTTCATTTCTTCTAGAAGAAAGGAAGGCCTGTACAACCTTGTCACCTATTAAGGAACAATATCTGAGAAAGCTCATTCAGATTATTATTTTTTATTTGAATCCCAGGTGTAAATTTTAGTCATAACAATGGAACGGAACTAGGTGATGCAATATTATTGGCAGTTCTACTTTAAACCTCCAATGTTACAGCCGATTCAAGTTTCAAACGGTTTAATCGGACAGTTCCAAGAATGTACTCTGGCAGCTCCGCCTCTTCTTTTGCCTGCAAATATAGCATATCAGTAAATATCTTAGATACATGAGAATTGAGATGCACAAGTGATGACCTTTTCAATTTTTAGAAGTGAATGCACTGGCAGTCAATGTAAGAAAAAAATGTCGAGGAGTAGATTCCTTCGCTGTTCCTGATAAAAAGAAACTAGTAGACCTCAAAGTATTTTCCTTTAATTGCTTATTCTGTTTGAAAGTGATGTTAATATAATCAGCTCACCGCCTTCCTTCTATAGAAATATTCCGTTTTGCAAACCTCTCTGTCACTCATATGTGATTCATGTTATTGTAAACGGGGCTACGACATCTTTAGCATAAATCGTAGTAGTATGCCCGTGTGTATGTGAAATTGATAAAAGAAGACCATACTTTAGAAAGAGAGAAAATTTATTAGTGAGGATAAGAAATCCAACCTCTTCGCATGTTCTTAACTAAAATTTACTTTAAACAACATGAGCATCCCTCCCCAACCAAATACAACGGAGAATTGTATAAATAGCACAGTTCCATAAAATGATAGCCTTTTTATTCTGGCCAAATATCAAGCCTGCACCAAAAGGAATAAGGAAAGAAGGCGGCACAAACCTCTATCAAAATGGCAAGGTCAACTACTAGGCTTGTAACATATCCCAGGACAAGGCCAATGACACTCCTTGCTACAGAGGATGATCCAATGTCCACGTCAATCTGCATAATACAGAAAATTACCATGAAAATGTAATTTAATAGAAAATATGAAAATTACAATAGTGTTAGATGTAGAATGAAGCTCTATTTTATAACCAATGAACTTAATATTGCACAATTTCAACAACGTTGAATTAGGAATCTTCAATGACTATTAACTTCAAATTAAAAATTCAGAATGAATGTCAGGTTTCATAAGCAAGAGCCAGCAGTTGATGAGCAATGGGTCATTGAATTTACAGAACACCTAAAATTTACATTCGATGCTTCTCATTTTGGATTGATTGTATTCAGGGACTAGATAGGCTACAAAATCCTTAGATCTATAACAATACCCAAACCCATCCTCCCCCACACGTCCTATCAAAAGTTCGGGTTTTGAAAGAAAGAGTGAGTTGTGTTACTTTATATTTTTGTCGTCAAGGATTAACTTGGATCACAAAGATGAGAAAATATTAAGAAGTGAATGACTAGAAAGTAAGGGTATTAACAGGTTGGGTAAACCCGATCAACCTGACTAACTCAACCTAATCCAAACTAAAATTAACAGGTCAGGCAGGTATAATCTAGTCTTAAAGAGGCAAACCTGATCATTTGGTATTGGGTTAGCCTTTTTGAAACCCGATGAATCAGACAGACTCAACCTGATTACATATAAAATATTAAAATACTTCATAATATCCATATTTTAATATTTTGATGTGTTTTTTAAATGTGATTTTGGATTAAAAAGCACTATTATTCAAGCATAAATCAATAATTTTATATAAATATTGATAGATTATTTTAATTTAATTTGATAACTTTTTAATTTTATAGATTATAAAAATATTTTTATTTTTTATGTACCTGAGCCAAATGATCAGGTAGGATTGATTTGGGTTACATATCAAAAAATGTGAAAAATCAACCCAATCCAATCCATTATATTTTAATTGGGTCCAATATTTTTTGTCAAACCCGACCCAATTTAATCTCCTAGAAAGCAACCATTAATGTGAAACTGTTCGTGCCTATCTTCATACTTCAAAACAGTTAGCTTCCTAAGGTGAAAATCGGTATAAAGTAAGGAAGTGAAAGATGTACGCCCAGAGCATCATAATCCTTATATACAATATAATAAATTATTTGAAAGCAACAAAATTGGAAAATGAACTCTAAAAATTGAAGTGTAAAATTGCATATGAACATCATCAACAAACATGAACAAACAATAGGGAAGAAAATGCAATATTCTGAAACAATAATTAATAGAAGAGAACAGGTAATAGTACCAATGATCTTCTAGTTTACATAGAAATAAGGCAGAAACTTTACTTCAAAAATTTTTTCATTAAATTTGAGAACCAACATAAACAAGTTTTACTTCTTAACTTGACATTCCAAATTTCTAATTACACAACAAAATCAATTTATCATAATCTAACCCGAATAGCCAAACAGGGGCAAAAATGCTAAAGGTAGCATTACCTCCAAAAAATTATCTTGTCTAAAGTATTTACAAGTCACAGCTTTCCCTAAGAGGCAAGCTTTGGTTCCAACAGCTCTCTTGACCATCCAATATCCCTGTATCCAATGAAAACTATTAGCTGATTATCCAATGAAAACTATTAGCTGATTAATGCCACCGGCTATCAAACAGAGAATAAATACACAACATTTCATCGAGAATCACACACCTCAACTATACTTGGAATAAGTTTAAATCTAGAGTCCCGAAACGCATCACTTCCATCAACAAATTTAGCTAATAGAGAATTTTTATTTATCGGTCTGTCAGCTGCATAATATAGAACCAGACTATAGTTTGGTTTGGCAGGAACCTGAAATCAATGACATTAAAAAAGAACTTCATTGAGAAACTGAGCTACAGCATAAACAAATTCTCCAATGCAACTCGTAAATCAATGATGAAGATCTCTTGAAACAATGAATTTTGACATTGTGAATTCAGAGATAGACTAATTAAAAACAAAGAAGCGCATATTAAAGAATATTCATGATTTCAATTGAACTACTTTTCAGCTTTTAGCTTCACATTTATGCTTCCTTAAGTTAAACAAGAAACCCAGTGAAACCTTCAAATGTGTTCCTCAGTCAGAGTTGGGAACCTTGACACTGAAATCCTTTTGAAGTTACTCAACTCTTCATTCAATGTCAGAAGCAATAATATGCCTGCAGTAGACTCTCTCTAAATAGGTTTAACCAGAAAGAGTATGTGAAAGGCTGAAGAATCACTTGGTCTAGTGTTAAGCCATTAAGCAAGGACCAAACCGAAATTTATCTTTCTGATTGCTTTGGAGGGATTTCTTTCTTTTATATTTCTTTACTATCTCTTTTTGTGAACTCTTTTATTTGAAACTAAAAAATAAAACTGCTACATGACCGCTTATATTAAGGCTTAGGGAGCTTAAAATTTGCCAAACAATTACCTTAGACTCAACGCTTGAACAGAATTATCATTGTCATTTGTAAAATGGATAGTATAACAGTTGGCCAACCATGCTTTGTTACCATTTCAAAGAATCACTGAATAGTCAAGGAGGACCTGTGAATGGTTTTTAACTCTTCATACATTTAGTGTTTGTTTGGTTTAACTTACACATTCCAAAATCAATTTTCAAAACAAACAATGGTTACTTTATGATATCCTTTGAGTGGTAGAATATTTTTTCTCAAATAAAGCAGAATCAAACAGGCTCTTAATAACCTTAATTTTACCTATATGTGTGTGTCAAAAACAAGCAATAACATTTATACCTGGAGATTAATGACAAGGATAAATGGAAGCTTTTTCCCAGCCTCTGACTGAAATTAGAAGGAAGGGATTAGACAGTGTAATGATAAAGGAAATTAGCAATCTCAAATCTCCAGCTTATGGATTCCAGAATATAAACATAAAATACATAAATAATTTCAACAATGTAAGCTTTATTATACACTGGACTAAAAAACTTTAAGATCAACAACATTATCTAGAATTTGCAGAAAAGATACATCTTAGTGAATAAGAAGAAAATGATCCAGAACCAACTCAAATAGCAGGTGGGAAAGAAGTAGAATATATTCTGTGGTCAACAAAGAGTAGCAAAGGACAACAAAGAAGCACAAACATACAGGAGACACATGATATGTTACATAATTAGCAAAACCTGCCAAACTATACCAAAATAATCTTTGACCTGTGTCAACAAGTTTTATAAAAAACAATGGCAAACTGAACAATTAGGTATATATAAGAGCTCCATTGGAATAATGATTTATTTATTTTTGTATATCAGAGTCACTGATCTTGCACTTAATTTCCAAGAAATCAAATTTGTGCAGCAGCAGGAACATGCGAACTTAAAAGCTTGAGTTAATTGATGGTTTGGAACATTTTTTAATGAACTTGTCAAAAGCAGTCTGAGTATCTTTCCCCCCAACTCTACATTAATCGATATGAAAATTGAAAGATATAAAACCAAAGAAATTGAATGTTACCTGAACCAAACATCTAGGGTCCAGTGAAATTCTATCTATAGATTTATCAACTTTAAACCAATCAACTGCTACAAGCCTGAGAAGAGGATCTCCTCCAACTACCTGCATGACAAATTGTGTCCATGACATTCAGCCAGAACAAAAGAAAGAAACATATGCATCAAAACTACACAAAAGTAGATAAATATCTTTGTCCAAAAAATGTAATTCTAAAATTGAGAGATATTGACCATTGAATTTCACAAAAAAGGGTAGAGTTTGAATGACCAATACTCTAAAAACATGTAATATCCCTCCATTGCAAGGACAGATATAACAGGAAATTTGAAGCATATTGAAGCACATGCACACTACACTACAGCATTGCTCATAATTCAATTAAAGAAGAAAAGGTTTTTGTCCTTTTTTCTCAACCAAAGGATTTAATTATTTAAATGCTAAACTCACCTTAGAACTATCTTTAAGATAGTTCTTTCCTCTAATCATAAATCCTTTCCCGTTAGGAGAAGTCCAACAGTTTGTGTCATTATCGTCCTTTCCTTTGCACAAAGAACCATGTAAGTCACTAGGAATTGTGACAGGAGTTACATGAGGGTCCAATTCCTCACTTAGATCAGGAGCTGCATGCAATAACCAAGTATATTAGATTGAAATTCTGAATGAAATTGAGAATTAAGAAGCTACATGTAACTGTAACCAGTTACAGATAAATGAAAGAAAGCTGTATTCTTTTTTATCATTACCAGTTTTCTATTTTACCTATAGACTAGAGATAAGGATAGAGTATAAATATTACCAAGAACTAACACTCCAAAAAGCTTAAGCTGTAATGTGAAAGCCCATGAATAGTTTTATATCTAACTTTTAAGTAATTTGGGCCTAAATCACTCCTAAAAGCTAGCTCATAAGAGAAAAATTACCTTAGCTCTTATATGAAATATTCTATCTCTATTCTTAGAACCAATGTGGGACATCTTAAAACCCTCCCTCAAGCTCAAGATCAAGATTGGACATCTAGTGTGTTAAGTTTGTAGAACTGGATATTTGCACGAGTGGCTCAACAGGACTGTACATCTATATGCAGCCCAACATTTAAATTGAATAAACTTTAACACCATATTAAGAAATTTAGACCTAATTCACTCTCAAAAGATAGGTGATAGGAGAAGGACTATCCTATCCCTTATAAGCAATATTCTGGTTGTATTCCTAGATGTCAATGTGAGACATCTTAACACTAACAAATCCCCACACGCAAAGATCCCTTTATAGGCCGAATCCACTTAATGCTAAAATTTAACTTATAGAAGAGTGGAGGTAACAAGGATCAAACTCTAGACTACATGCATGGTTAGAGAGTCTTTGATATGCTGTCATAAACCAAATCACCCAAAAGTTTAAGCTGTTAAGGTAAAAGCATATGAATGATTTTATATCTGACAGGTATAAAATATAGAATATTTGAGTAAACTGTGAGGGTGCAGTCATATAGGAAACTTGAAAGGGCTCATAACTTCCTAAGGAATATAAAATTCAAGAGGATCAAGAATCCACAGAACTCAGACAACATATCAAAAAGAACAAAGGAATGGAAGTGCAAAAGAAAGTACATAAGATCGAAAGAGTAACCTAGTCCCTTTGCATCCTAGACAGATTTTTTTTTATGTGCACCTCCTCAATAATTTTGTCTTCATGTTCTAATTTGTTTCGGGTTCTTTATTTTTAAAATATAAAATAAGAGAGATGCTAATATATAATCTGTTAAGGAATATAATATACTACCATGTCTTACTTGTTATGCACCCAAATGAAAGGGCACTTTTGTTTTTATGCTTTCTCTACCTCACCTCTTCTCTGCTTTCATGGTATCTCTCCCTAAAGCACTATTAAAACATGGTATTAGAAACATATCCATTGGGAGGTGTCAATCATTTCCATTGTACAAGTTCACAACTTTCGATGGGACTCTTCTGAATGACATTGGCTCTGCTTTCACTTTGCTTATAAGTCAGAATTGGTTCTGTTTATAATTGTTAAAGGTTATTAGGGGCTGATCAATTTTTCTTGATCTGGTAGAGAAAAAATTTTCAGCCTTCCAAGATTATGTACTCATGCAAGGTTTCTTTTTCATATTTAAATTTCTTTATGAGATACAAATAAGAGAAAACTGTTAAATTAGGATTTATAGGAATAGTAACTGTGGAAGGAAATATTGAAAATTTGCCCCTCCTCAAGGTGTTATCGAGTCCATTCTTGGTGTTTGAAAAGTGATCCGTGTTCATGTTGAATAAGCAAATGTTCATTGTAGTCTATAAATACAGCTACAACAAAAATTATAATAACTTCGCCTCCTTTTCCCCTAGAATTTAACAAGCAACAAAGGAAAAGCTGACCTGCTGTTCGCGTCAGAGCTAAGGTTGTGATTGCCCATGAAATATTCTTTAGTCTGATTCTCGGCTCCTGATAAATTGAATAGGGTAATTAAACTATAGAAATTAACAAAAAAGAATACATTTTCTTCATTTCAAATCTGTCACACAAATATCATTTATTTCTATGTAGAATATTTTTGTAGTTGATAAGTAGAATCAAGAAAACCTTCAGATCAAGTTTCTCATCATCATCATCACTTTCTTCATCTGATGATGATGAATCAGCAGCAATTGCATCATAAAACTCATCCTTCATTTCATCCTCATATTCAGTACTGGAAATGGAAGCATCAGAGATTTTGGAATGAACAATTGTGGTGGTAGTTTCACAGTAGAGTACTGGATTGGCTGCAATGTATTCCTTCAGACCTGAACCATTATATAATAACATATATTAAATGCCTGGAGTTGCACTTTTACTGAGCGTTCAACATGACAATACACAGCATACCAAGAGTTTGTGACAAAAACCTTTATTTTCATGTTTTGAAATAGAAAAGAATATTTTATTAAAAGGGTAATTTCATGGCTTAGAAAGAGGATTTGAGAAATAAACAAAGTGAAAAACTATGGCTTCCAACAGTAAGCTAACTAAACTAATCAAACTTCCCTTAATTTTTCACAACATGAAAAAGAGAGATCCCTAGAAACATACCATAAGCTGAGAACCAAAGAGAAGAAAAATAAAATATGGTGAAAAAGACTCCCAGATTTTCAAAAAAACTAGAGTTCCACCCACATCCAGAATCCTGAGAAACTAAAGATCAACAGAAATAAGCAGTTTTACTATTTAAAGGATGATCAGATAACCTAATTTTTTTTGTATCGATTACACATGAATGAGAAGTATCTTGAAGTTCAAGATACCTTTCTTTACAGTGGCAGATAATTTAAGGGCAGAGAGGGCTACCAACTTTTTTTGTTTGTGCAGTAGTACCCTTCTAGATAAACTGATGCTTTGGCAGTTTGTTTATTGTTATTTTTATGTTTTTTATTCTGTTTTACTAAGAATAAAGTGTTTTTCTATGTAATAAGGGTCATGTAACAAGCATGTGACTTTTAAAATGAGATTTAGACTCAATATTATTTGGGCCAATAAAGTATTAAGTGGTCATGCGACTTGCATGTCTTTGGATTAACTTATGGAGATTACTTTTTGTGGATTGCTATTTGCATCACCCTTGTTATTGTGGCTAGAGAAATTTAATTTTCTGAGAGTGATTCAAAATAACTCCTAAAATTTAATTATCGAGAGTGATTTAAAATAATTTCTAAAATTAAATTTTTAGAAGGTATAAAATCACTTTCAAAAATTAAATTCCAAAAGTAATTGTAAAATGACTTCCAAAAAATAATTTCGGTGTATTAAACATACTTTTGAAAATTAAATTCCAAAAGTCACAATAAGGGTGTTGCAAAAAGCATAAAAGGGAGGTGAAAAAAATAATCTTCACCACTCATTTTTCCTTTTTGCACCACTAATTTTATTGTCACATCTGAAATTATATTTTCAGGTGTTTAATACTTTGCAAAATGAAATTTTAGTAGTCATTTACAAATCACTTCTTGAATAGTGCCTTCACTACCTTCCTCTCTGATGTGATTCCAAATTCATTAGCTAACTGATAAAATGGGATCAGATCTATTCCCAAACCAGAAGTGAATATCCCAGCATTTACTTTACTATGAATCCCATCCTGCACCACCAATAAGAAACTTTTTCTCCTCGCAATTTCTTTCACCTGTTTCCTAGTTCTCCCAAACCCAACCCCCTCTAACAAAAGGAATAGGCTTAATAGCATTTTTAGTATGTGTAATTTTGATCTCCCAAATTTTAATTGCTCAGATTTAGTTCTTCTAATTTTTCAAATGTTCAAATTAAGTACACCTCAAAATTAAGACTCTAATTAAATTGATAAATTTTATTTTATATTTTATTTAAATATTTTTATATATATTTTTATATGTATAAAGCAATAAAATGTTATGCTTTCATCATATTTTTATTAATTATTGGATAAAATTTTAGATTAGAGGACATGATTTAAGCATTTAAAAAATTAAATAGAATAAATGTAAGTAATTAAAACTAAAAGGACCAAAATTGTACATACATTAAAGTTAAGCTCCAAAAGTGCAATTAAGCCAAAGGAATAAATAAAGAAGGCAACTGGTGATTTTATGTCAGAATCATGTCGACCATAACTATGAATATGTCACAATTAACAGCACTACTTTTCTCACACCAAATGAGGAAGTTCTAGAAAGACTTCAGAACTGTATCAAAACTATGAGAGGCGAAGTTAAGATGCATAGATAACTAGAAGCAAGTAGTTTGGACCACATACTTTTGATGATCAGAACTGCCAGTGATTCTAGGCAAGTCAGCAAAATGTATAAGATAAGAATCCAAACACTTAACCTGCCACTTGGCACAATAATGCATAAGGAATGCTCCTCTCAAATTTTGAGCACTTGTTGTTCTTCCATCGATGCCAGGATGCTGGGTGTATCTCCAACGTGTGTGTTACTAGACATCTTGGGCTATTTGATGCCATAGGTGTATTCAAATTTCTAATCTCCCAAGTAGATGCTGCAGCCAAAATCCAACATATACGAGGCCAAATTAGTAAATGGTAAATGGCCAAAAATAACTAAGTTAGTGATCATATTTTTTTCTTTCCTAATAAGTTTCCTGAGAGTTCTAAATGTAAAGAAAGATTAAGAGACAGTTTATATCATAGAAGAATGCTAACAACACACTAACACTTTTTTCAATACGCTTTATGCCATCAGGTGAAATTAATGAGGATACCACTAAATAATAAATGGATATCATTAAATAGACGGTGGAATCCACATGAATTTCACCCAATGGTAGAGTGTGCCGAAAAGAGTGTAATTAGCATTTTTCTAATACCATAAGCAAACAACTTATAAAAATAAGCTGTTGAATTCAAGCAGGTAAACGACAAATTTTCAAGCCAAAACAATATGTCAGATTAATCAGTCGAGTTTCTTGAATAATTTGAAATACACAAAAAGGAAGAAATACATAGTTCTGATTAGGAGGCAGTAAGATGGAAAAGAAATATTGCGACTTCGAATAATACTTTAAAGGACAAGTAATGATATCTGAATGTGATGATATGAGATGCATTCCAATATAAAACACTAGCTAATAAGCAAGTTATCATTTAAATTAAATCCTACATCAAGTACTAGTGTACTACAACTAGTACAAACTTGGTCCAATAACTCGGGAGTCATAATAACATAATAAGGGTCCCTTTATTTTAAGATTTCTTTCTTTTTTCTGCACTTGTAATCACAAATATGCTATGTTGTTTTTACTTTATTTTATATTTTTAAAAGTTTACATAAGAAATAGAAAAAAAAAAAAAAAAACCTTTAAAAACAAGAAACAAGGTGAAAAAAAAATGATATTTTTGTAATTAAAGTTAAAAACAAAATAAAAACAAAATATTTTCTCAAACCAAACAACACCTAGGATTCCTTAAACAATATGAATCCTAATATTCTTACTCTTAGATTTGAGACTCAAACACAAAAGCTAGCTGGTAAAGTGATAACTATTTACCCTTTATAAATACTTATCTGGCCGTATCCATAGTTAATGTTGGACTTCAACATACCCTCTCATGCCAAAAATTGAACATTCAGCACGAGTATTATAGGACTGATTTTCTTTTTCTAATATTGCATTGGGAAAGTCATAGGACCAAGAAGGTTATGCTGAAAAAACCAAATGGTCAGGTTGATTGCACTTGAAAAATCAGTGGGATAAGTTTTTTTTTTTTTTCAGTCAAGGGTGATCCAATATCAGATCTATGATGGACTCTAAAAACATTTTAGATTTGAACTAAGACATTACTCAACTTCAAAAGTTAGTTCGTAAGGTGAGAATTATTTTAGTATTATAAGTTTTTATTTGGTCATATTTGTGGTTTGGTTGATATGGGACTTCAACACCAACAAATAATGTCAAGGCAAAGAAAAAGGTAGACCAGTGTACAAATAAGAAAAAGAACAAATATATGTTAATACCAACTACTCTATGTTGCTTTTGAAAAGGTTGAAACTTCATATTCATATAAATGACTTCAACTCCTGAAAGAAAATGCCATGCACCACTATTCTAGCCAATTCCTATTCCAAAGATTTGATGCAAATAATTGCTACTTACGATTAATTTTTGCACGTCGATATCCAGATCTCTGAAGCTTTTTCTTATGTATAGCTGGAAATTGCAAAATAGCTGCATGAATTAAATACATAGAATATTTTAGCATATATTGTCTGACTAAGTGGAAATACTGCATGATATTAACTAAAACAGAAAACAAATCCAAAAATCACTTCAGATGATCATATAAATCATGGTTACAACAAACACCATAATACCAAAATTCTGTAGTACAAAATTAAAACAAGTTTGCATAAAATTAAAAAATACGTATGTGATCCATACATAATAAGGAAAAGTTCATTTGTAGAGCATCATTGCAGTTTGATAAGTATTACGCAAGAACTTCAGTCTTTTGACAATTCAACAGGCAGATGAAATACATAATACCACTATACTAGCAATGAAAGTAAAAGAAATAATTCTTGACCATGACAGAAGCTCCAAGGACATGATCATAATAACCATATTCTTACTGTATGTTCCATCTTGCCCACGAAACCATTGCCTAGAGAAGACAAAATCCTGCTTTGAGTGCCACCTGGGTTAAGTTTAAAATGCAATTCAATGAACATTTTAAAAAGAAAAACATGATTAACAATATTTAGATGCAAAAAGAAAGTAATAAGGAGAGAAGATAGAGATGTCATGAAATTGTAGCTATTTGACAACTAAATTATCACCACTTATAACTATAGCACGGACTGCCAAATACAGACGCACATACACACACAAAAAGTTAGCACATGTCTAATGTGAAAAATTTTACAGAATGAAAACCGAAGTCAATATGAAAATCATATTAGTCAGAAATAAAAAACCTCTATCAATGAAAAAATCCACACAAATGAGAAATTATAGAATCATCAATAATGAATTTTACAGAACAGAGTATACCATTGCAACAATCCAGTTACAATAATATTTTAATTTTGGAAATTTGAACAGGTTAATATCAATAGATTACCGGGTTAGATACTTAGAATCATATGTCCCATAAACAACATCATAGTGTCCATCATAAGAATCTACTAACTCCAAGTCACACATCAACATATCCCACCTGCAAAAAAGAGATATAAAGATTAATTTCCCCAATATGTTATCAATACTCTCAAGCAAGTTTTAAAAGCAACTTACTCATATCTTTTTTGTTGTTCAGTGTTCAAAAGCACTTCAAAAACAGTATCTGCAGTAGCATCAATAACACCAACAGACTTTGCAAGGACACCCTTGCCATTCTACAAAGCACAAAAAGTGTTGAAGCCGAAATTAGACTCATTCATCTGTCCTATCATAATGAACCAGCATATGTAGAACCTCATTCCTTTAAATCCCTAAGGGAATAGCAAAATTTTCCTACAGTTTTAGCGATGAGGCCTGTTTGATTAACTAAATTGAGTTAAAAATATTGTTCTTGGCAATTAGCAATTATAACAACAAGCAACAGATGTGGGTAGAGGACATAATGATGTGTACAATTCATGTATTAGTTTTTGGCTTGTATTTCGACATAAATCATGCATAATCTTGCACTTAGATTGAGTTCCATTAGACATTTTATTTGTTTTACATGTTTTTCATGTAGGAGAGTGAATTTTGAAGATGAAATTTGGATAATCAGGAGATTGGAATGAAAAAAATGAAACTCAGTTTTGGAGCTAAAAATTGGAAGAAAAAGCCTTTCCGCCTGTGTTCCTATATGATATAAAGGAACTAGAAAAAGGGCATGGCAACAGTGAATACAACCAGAATGTGCTGCAAGACACAACTATCTTTGCAATGCTTACAGCAAATATTAAAAATTATTTCGGCTGTCTTTCTCTCCAAAAAGAGAAAAATTGAAGACTCGCTTATAAAAATCCTAAAAAAAGAAGAAAATGAGACAATTGTTGACAGAAGAGTAAAGACATTGAAATTACATGCTACGAGAGAAGTCGTCATTGAGAACCAAAAAGATTGAAGCAAAAGTAAAAACTTTTTGGAACAAGATTTTGTAAGGACTTTTATAGAATCTACAAGAACACACTTCTAAGGATAAAGATTAGAATTCCTCGTCTTTTTTAGTTTAATCTATTATTGTTTTGGCTTTTTCTCATTATGTTTAAATTTTTTTTCTTGGCTTGTAATCCAAACATGACTGGTTTTTTCATTTTAGGATTTAGAAATAATCCAAATTAGGATAATACAATATAATGAATATTTTATGATCTTTTGTCAACCTTGATTTCTTGATTTAATTTTTTATGTTCCTAAGTGAAGAACTGAATGGTGAATCTCAACCTTAGAAGCTCCAAAACTGAATTTAAAATTCTGAAATTTGAAAGTAAGCTAGGTTTTTTTGAAGAACTAATTATCTTAGAGTAATTAGCCTTCAAGATAAATTAAAAAATAAATATATAACTTAATTTGTTTAAGTTTGTCAATTCTAATTTGCGATGAAACAACTCCCTAGAAGATGGTAAGAATTTGAATTTATCTCCTTTTAAAATAATTTCCTTTTTTAATTCTTTGTCCTTCCTATTTTTTCTTTATTTTATAAATATTATTAATTGACTATATTTAGGTAGTTAAATTATATTTCTCCGATACATAACAATACAGTTCCTGTAAAGACAATAACTTTTTATACTACTTAACAATAACCTTGCACTTGTAGCTCTATCACATACATAGACCCACGCACCAAAAGAAACCTTTTAACCATTTTGGGACTATTACTGCTCTACTTGTTCTAAATGTTTTCTACTGTATTGTTAGCTCTGCAGTCTGAACTATTAGTTTTTCCAGTTAGCAAATAGTTCAGTTAGAGATGATAGCTGTCATCTCAAGTCTCAACTATATAGATGTATCAGAACCTTGTGATGTATTCAGTTCAGTTCGGTTGAATCAAAGCAAAAATTAAAAAGATGGTTGTGTGTCAAACATTGCCAAGTAACTTATGCTGCTCAATTATTACAAGCAAATACAACAACAACAACCAAGTCTTATCCCACTAGGTGAGGTGGTATTACAAGCAAATATCAACATAAAATCAAGTATTGTGTAATAAATGGATCAGCTCAGACAAGTATTATACTCTTATAACTCCTGTTAGAATAACAAACATGAACAGGGAGCTAACTAGTTTCCAAGAAATATGCTAATAATAAGTACTGCCTAGGACCTCCCCCACTCTAAGAAGTAAATTGTATGGTACCTTGTGATTAGAAACATCCTCAAAAATTCTAATACCTGAAACCACAAACCAAAAAACTAGAACAATAAGGATAGATCCAACTATAATATTTTCTTTCAAAACTATTATAAACAAGAATTACAAGAAAGACCACAAGTAAAAGCATTCTTGTTTGTGATAAAACAGCCTAACAGTCAAATCATGCAGAGAACAAAATGTACAACAGTACTCAAGAAGCCTTATCCCAATATAGTAATGATTTTTCTTGAATTTGAGATAGGCCAAACTCAACTCCACAAGTTAGCTCATAAAGTGAAGATTGCCTAAACTTTATAAGGTCTACTTTGGTCATATTTGTAGTCAATGTGGAATGTTAACACATTCCTTCAAATCCAAGATGCATGTGTGCGTGTGTGTGTATATATTGCACTAGTAAAGTTGTGAGACCAAATATATTACACTTGGAAAGCCCAAAAGCCAAGTTAATTGCACTAGAAAATCCATAGAGACAAGCTGGTTTTTAGTGGCCCAATATAGATTTATCATAGATTCTAATACCATCTTGAATTTGGAATAAACCTAATTCAATCCTAAAAATTAGCTTGCAAGATTCTTAAGCCTTTATAAGTTCCACTTGGTTTATATAGGATTTCAACAATTTTCTTCCTCTGTAGACTCATTTTACTTTTCTTTTTCTGATAAATGAAATTTTTGTGTACGGTAAAAGACTACAAGAGGGGAAGATTATACCCTCCAAAATTTTATCCCTCGATACACTCAGGAATGCATTACCATACAGTCCTATTATTTGTTCAGACTTCAGAGGACTCTGGCCTCCACATCATCATCTATTCAAACCTAAAAGTAGATGTAATCATTAAAGAAGGGCCTTTAGTTACATACTCAGTATACACAGCACTCAGAAAGAGGGTCTTTATTACAGTTTCTTGATCCTCCAAATTAAAAAGAAAATTAGCAACATAAAAAAAATCACTAAAACAAAAAAGAGTACTAGAGCAGAAAAACTCTGCCTTTTAATAGGCTGCAAAATTATGCATGTGACAGAAGAAAAATAAAGTACCAGCCATGGTAAGAACACATTTCCATTGATGTGCTTCAACTGCATCTCCACTGTCACCTTCAAACCCATCTGGCCTAGTGGCTGCCAACTTTGATGATTGCCGAATCAGCATCTCTGGGCCTTTCAGAGTGTAAAAGCAAAAGTTAACAAGAATATAAGATTGAAAATGCTAATGCAGCACCAACATAATCATAGAAACTAGAAAAGAAGCAGGGGATTCCTTGCAAAATGACAACCAACATTGATTCAAAATCAGGCTTTTACAACTATCACTCCACAACTTCTCATGCATATCAATGTTCTAAAATTTGTATTTACTTTTGAAATAGGAAACAAAATAGATACTCCTCTGCACTTTCCTAAGATGCTATGCATAACAGGTAAAATGTGTAGCCCGCCAATGTACAAATTATCAAATAAATTAAGCATGTTGATGCCTCAAAAGTACGCATGATGAGAATTACTATTGATCAATTTTTAATTTTACCTTGGCCAATTCTTATAAGCTTCCTCAACCCATGGGCATACCGTCTCACTCTAGGCCGATGTCCTTCAAGATTGATCCTTCCACAACATCAAGTGAAATGATATGTCAATTTATGATAAATTACCTAATAAAACAGCAGCTTGGGCAGAACACCTAATGACAATCCCAACAACTATGCACGGCTTTCATTAAGCATAACTGACAAATATAAGCTGAACAGTAATATCCAACAGTAAGCAATATTGTTTGAAAGTATTTCAAACTATCATTATTCATAGATTTTATAAGAAAAAAATAAAGGAAAAAAAGAAGAAAATGACAGATAATTGCAAGGATCAAAAACAATGGAACCTCCTGCTAAAATGTATGAAACAAAAAATCATTATTAATTATTTATTAATCAGTATGACCCACAAGATCATTTAAATAATGTTATTGTATCAGATATTATGCATTTCAGATGGGAGGGAAAAGCCATACTCGGCCTCCATGTTTAGTTTGTCTCTTGCACTACCTCCTCTTGACAGCTCATACTCAGCCTACAAAGAGCATATATCCAGTAAATTAAAATCATATGCAAATTATGTTAAATAACATATAGTTTTAAAACTCAATTATTTCAGAAGCAAAACAACTCCTATAATATTCTTTGCATAAATGGAAAACCTATATGATAGAAAGTTTCATAATAGGAACTACAATCCAAAACCCCTGCCCCAGAAATAAACTTTCAATCTCAATTAGGCTTGGGTTGTAACAAATAACAATCACTTAAATCAATAACAAATGCAATATAACTGCAACTTTCCAGTTATTTTCTCGTACCTGTTGCTTAGCATGATCAAATGCTTCCATCCATCCCCGAGCTTCCCCAGCTGTAGCACAAGCAATCTTGAAGAAATTGTACATGAAAAAAATTATTTTTATACTAAAAAGAGGGGAAAAAAAAAACTATAGCATACATGCCATGTAGGGGTTCATTATCCAATATAGACAAAGTTGCATGCTAGTGCATTGTTGAATCAAGAAACTATATAGAAACTGATAATTTACACTAAGTTTTATTTCCGGGAACTTGGTAAATCATTTCGATGACACTCCCCACAAGAAGTGAGGTAAGGCAATAAATAGAATGCCTACAATGAAATCAAGGAAGAATTCCAAATAAGAAACCCTAGTTGAAAATGTTTATTATGAAAGAAACATAATAACATGAAGTGGTTATTGATTAAAATTGTCTCAAAGAAACCCTCTAAGTAGCTATTGTTTCTTCATTGTAACTACTTTTATCAAGAGGTCCTGCTTAGGACTTCTACTGTGGGATATGGTACTTATTTTTTGGGTAAGACCACAGTGTAAAACTAATCCTTTCTCACTTAGGCATTGACATCCAATGAGCTCTGAACCCCTGTATAGTGCTTAGTAGGAAAATTCTAAGTTACAGAAGAATTTTAAGTTGGAGATGTACATTCTCATGTTAGCGATGAACATTTTAAAAAATGTTCCTAGGAAACCGACATTGCTAAGAATTTTTTTTAAACTATGTTTGCCAGCAAAATATTCTCAAAGAGGTGAGAATCTAAGGTTTCCATAAAGCTGGAAAAGTTTTACCATACTCATGAAAATACTTCCAAGAATTTTTTAAGCATACCAAACACATTTATAACACTCCCAAATATCATGATTCCTAGAAAACATAATTCTCAAGAGTGAAAAAAGATTTTATATACCAAACATCCCCACAGTTTGACAACTGAACAACTCCTCATGGTTTTGGGGGATTGGTAATTATTGTTTGTGGGGATATTAACGAATTACTACCCTAGGATTAAACCTGAAAAATGCAATGGGAGAGAAGTAATTTACAGCAATCTTAGTTAAAAATAGAAAAAAGAATTATTATGCATATAGCGCTTTGGAAGGGAATTGGTGTTTTTTTTTCTTTCTAATAATTTTTTTTAGTAACTAAAATCATATTTTCTTAAAATGTTATGATAGATTAGTATGCAATTTATGCGAGCTAAGAAGGATGGGAGTTTATGCTACTGTTTTATAATCAGTATTCAGTAGTGTAACAAGTTACAAGACCAATCCTGAATTCTTCCTAAGCTGTTATACAAAAGCATGCTGCTGCATGGCATGTAGCGTTCGATCAGTACCAATAATTATTAGAATAAGAAAATCAAAACTATAACTTACTTCTCCCTTTTTAGTCTCATCTAACCGATTGTAAAACCTTAAAACATAAAGATCCTGGAGAAAAAAAAAACAAAAAAATTCAGTTTCCACGAAATTTAGAATGTAATTAAACATGTACATAAATCACAAAAAATTGTTATGAGATGAATCTCAGAGAGAATATTCCATCAAAACTAAAGCACAATCAGTTTAAATTTGCAAATACAAATAGGATTTTACCCCATCGTTGACCTTTCGACGACCTAGCTCCTCCACCATAAGTGTGGGCCCCACAACTCCCTGCCTGATGGGTTTCTGCATAGAGGAAAGTTTTAACATTAAATATTTAACTAATATTAGAAAATGAAGAAAGGAGAAACAGAAAATTAGCAAGTGAAATGGCATCATGACCCACATTTGAAAAGTAAACAAATAAAAAAAAATAATTAACTTCAATTTGTTTAGGGATCATAGATCTAGAAAAGGAGCAGTGATACATAAAGACCAGCTACTGTTAGTTCGGCAGTATCTTCAGCACAAAGAAAACATAAAGGTGTTTGATTAATATTATGCAATTTGGAATTAAAGCATAAATACTTTCCGGTGATATTTAGGTAAACCCTGCATCGATCGATTATTCCTCGATCCTGCTTGTGATCTCTATTTCCAAATTCCAATGACTTCTTTCAAGTTTTAGCAGACTGGACGCAGCATAAGCCTCAATCATTTTTCATCGGGAGAATATAATCACCATTCATACACATGCATCTCCGTTCTCCCACCGACACCACAAACTAATTTATCAAACTGCGAAATCCCCAATTCTCCGTCCAAAAGAATTATCGATTTCAAATTAGTAGCAACATTCATCATAGTAAACTTATTGTATTTTACTTTATTTTCTTTTGAAAGTAAAAAGAGCATTAGGTCACATTAAGCACACAAATTCGAATCCAAATTCAAATAATTTCCGATTTCAAATGAGCATCAAAATTCACCATAACAAACTTAAATCAACTTCCTGTATTTCATCATAGTAAACTTATTGTATTTTACTTTATTTTCTTTTGAAAGTAAAAAGAGCATTAGGTCACATTAAGCACACAAATTCGAATCCAAATTCAAATAATTTCCGATTTCAAATGAGCATCAAAATTCACCATAACAAACTTAAATCAACTTCCTGTATTTCACTTAATTCTATTTTAAAGGTAAAAACAGCAATAAAAAAAATAAAGCGCGCAAAATTCCAAATCGGATTCGAATAGTAAGCGAAGTACAATTCCAGAAGGTTGCTGAGCTGAGCATTGAGCAACATCGAAAAGAAAAAAAGAGAGAAAAGAAGAAGAAACATACAACGGCAGGGTATTCGTGAGGATCACGCTTGTACATGGCGACATACTTTCCCCTAATAAAAAGGAAACGGAGATGACAGTACTCATGGCCAATGGAGTTGACTCCTAAGTGGTAAACCCAACCGAAGTACTCAAATATCCCTCTGCCGTTATCGTCGCTGCGCTCCGAACCTCCGCTTCCGGACTTGTTCAGCACCGAACCTGCTGCGACTGCGTCCATCACACGCTTTATGCTATGGAGCTGTCTGGCCTGCTACACTACACACCACACACGCTGATGTGAATGATCCTTCTCAATTGTCAGACTCTGCACCCTTATTTCATTATCATTTTGCCTTAATTTCTCCGGTTAAGTGCTAAGTAGTAATTAAATGATGGGATTAGGACACGTAGGCGAAGTTAGTTTGGTTGAACTGATTGGGTCCCACTGGCGTTGGGGAGAGTGAGGTTGGAACTGTTTGAGTTGAGTTGACCGTCAAAAATATTGTCATAATGCGACGCCAATGCGCTGGACCACTCATTTGCACCGTCCCGTCGCCAGTTGGACACTTCCCCCTCACCGGCTTTCTTTTTTTCAGTTCGTAATTAGAAATTGATCTCGTTTAAGAAAATAACCATAAATTCATCGTCGATTTTAAATTAATTAAGTTAATAAATAAGAGTAAATGTATAATTTGAAGTTCAAAAATAGTATTTTGTTTTTCTTTTTATTTTTAAAAGATTCGTTTTATGCAGCAGCTTAAGCTGTGTTTATATTGATTTTTAACTCTGGTTTTTTAAGTAAAAAATAATAAATTTGTTATATGTGTTTTGTAAAGCGTGTATAAATTATTTTAACCACAAATTTGCTTAGTAAAGTGCGCTCTGTTCGGCCAAGGAAAATCCAAAGAGACCCATAGTCTCTAAATTTCTTAATTTACATAAAATTTGGTCTTTTCTCAAAATATAGACAAAATGAAGGTAAAGTCAAACGAAATTAAAACCTGTATTATACCCACCGTTTACTGTGGTTCCTTTTCTTGGGCTAATCTAATTCCATAAAATAAATCCTCGTAAGAAAAGTTAAGAGAAAGCCCTTGGAGATGTTCTTTTAAGAAAACAAAAAAAGCTAGATTTGATAACCATGTTTTTATATTTATAATTTTACAACTCTTGTGAAGTGAAATAAATAACAAGTCATTTGATAATTGTAAAATGATGCTCGTATATAACCTTTTGTACATTATTGTTTTTATTGGCTAGTAATGCTTTTCTTTTTACAATGTATCTTACATGTATACATAACATAAGATAAATAATTTGTTGTCTTATAGATAAGTTTTTTTAAGGACATTTTTGTCAGTTACATCACTGAAAGAGTTTATGAGAAATTTTCATTGGTTTGCTTTCAACGATCATTTAATATACCATTAAATGTGTGATCAACGAGAAGATATCTCTTGTAAAATAATATACAGGCGAATAATTTTTAATTTTATTTTTTACATCTAAAAATTAATTATTAAATAAAAATATTAAATATATCTTATATTTCAAGATGATATATATATATATATATATTATTTATTTTTTATAAAAATTTAATTTAAGAATACTAATAATTTTAAAAAATACACTATCACTCATTTATAAATTTTCATTTCAGCAAAAAAAAAATTATAATAATTAATATAAAAATTATATTTATAATATATTCTAATTGTTGATAGTGTAAAAATATTTATACAAACAATGAAATTAATCTCGATTATAATTTAAAAAACATATTGTTAAAAAAATATAATAAAGCTTTGTATAAAAGGGACTTGAAAATATTTGAATCAATGGGTATTCCGATTTAAAAAAATGTTAAATAACTTATTTCCCAATATTTCTTCCTCGTCTATTTCTTTATGTACTTTTCACCTTTTAATATGCCATTTTAACTTATTCCCTTTCAGATCTAATTTGCATGATCATAAATTTTACCTCTTCCAAAAGTGTAATGTTTTTTTTTTAATAAATTTGTAGCTTTATGGCTGGGATGGCTATTTATTTTGACTGGTAAATATGACGACAGAGACATAAATTGAAGATAGATGATTCTAGAGTTTTTTTATCTTTTCTTTACTTCTTTTTTTTCGTATATTTCCTTGCTCTCTCATTTGATAAGTTGTTTTTGTGCAAAATAAAAAATTGAATCCACTTCATTGTCTATACAGGTCTCGTAATAAAAATAACTTAATCTTTGTTATGGGTTTTTTTAATAAAAAAATAAAAACTAATAATTTGCAAGATAGCAGAGTGCCAGAGTCTCTGCTCGATAAAAACCCTCTTTCTTACGAATTCGAAGTGCAATGGGAGCAAATTGTAAAGAGATATTAAAATAGTGTAAGTAATTTGGATGTTCAAAACAACTAGAGTATTAAGATTGTTTTTCTTATCCTGTCATTATAAGACAAAAACTTTTTTTTTACAACAATTGCAATACTATTGCATATTTTTCTCCCATGGTTCTCTGTTATTTAATCTAAGAATATAGTTGAAAAAAGTTTTGTTAGTCTCTTATATTCTATCCATGAATCATTTTCTTACACTTGGTATGAATATAGTACTTTTACATTCAATAATTATTATATATATAGTTAATAATTGAAGTAAACTTTGATAACAATCCTCTTAAAACAACAATATGTAACTCATTGTGTAAAACCTTTAAAAAAAAAGGTAACAATTGATTATTACACACAACTAATCAATCGTTGGCCCATAGTTAAGAAATAAAACCTTAAAAAAAAGAAAAAGCAAGCATCGTTGTAAAATACGAAAATAATGCACAAATATCGTTATTATTCATTAGTGTCATGATCATTTTCAATTTGGCAATTTGGGTTTTATCACGCTATTTGAATTTCATATCATAAAGTGTTCAAGAGAAATCAGTTTATATTGTTACAATTTAAAACTATTAGCACACCATTATTTGTAGTGAATTTTCAAAGTGCGTATATCATAAAGCTTTGGAGGCGACATTAAACAATTGATTAGGCAAAAAGATGTTAGAGATACTATTGAAGGTTGATTGAAGAAAAAGATTATGGCATTTTGTTAAGTACGTATGCAAAAAAAAAGTGTTTGTTAAACTATGCTTCAAATTATATAACCAAACAACATAAATTGAGATTGCGATGCAAGTAATGAAATAAAAAATAATTATAAATTATACTCTCATTAAATTATAAAATATTTGTTCTGTGAAAAATATTAATTTCTGCTTAATATAAAGTTTATATTTATGACGTATTTTAATTGATTAATAGTATAAAAAAATTTCTCCAACATTAAAATCAAACTCATAAAAATATCTGAACGCTTAAATAGGTAAATTTTTTTACAGATAAACAAAAAGGTGAAAATATGTTACATGGACTGACTAATAATGTTTTATTTGTATGATTGAGGTGTAGGTGAGATATAATTGGGTGATATGACCCAACCACTGCAACCATTCCTGATTGCCGTGTAAGATATGAGGAATCTTTGGGTGAAGGATTATTGGCATAACAAGTTAGAAGAATAATTGAGAATAATGTCATGATCAATGTGACTCAGGGCAGACCAACCCTACCAGACCGAAAGGGGTGCTTGCATCTTCATTCAAAAAGATAATTCAGACCAGATTATGAGTTGGGTGTGACTCATCGTTGGTGTATAACAATGTTCTTAATATGATTATTTTACTATTTCTGCCTATTTAATAACCAAGTAAATGACTTGATGAAATTATATTCTATCCAAAATTATTATTAAAGGATATAAAAAATATTACTGCAACAATGCGCAAGAATTCTTCTTTTCGAATTTTATATCTAAAGAAGTATTTATATTACACTAATAAAAGAAAATTTAAAATAATTTTACGATATTTTATAAATTAAAATAACATTTAATATTTTTTACGTGTAAAATAATTATCACTATTAATTTTAAATTATTAAATAATAAAATTAATAATTTATTTTAAAAATATAATTTTTAATAGAAAATTTATAATTATTAATTATAAAAAAATACCATGTCTCTTCAAATTTACAGTAAGCTCTTTAAATAAACTGTAATATAAAATATTAAAGATATAAGACAGGTCATAACTATAATGATCTATACAGTGTAAATATCCCTAATTTCAGCGTAAATTGGTATTTTAAGAACATTTGTTAATAAATTTAAAAACAATAAATTAATAAAAATTACATTATTCTAATGAGTGTTTTTTACATTTAGCATATTTTGTTAAAATATTTAATATTTAATCCAGTTTTAAATAATTAATAAAGTTTTTTAAAACGTCTATTTTATTTTTAACACAATACATTTTAATTTTATGAACATTACGTGTTATTTTTAAACAATTTAAAAATAGCAAAATACATACAATAAATAATTTTATGTCTAATTTTTTTATTCTTTAAAAAAAATTATAGATCCTAAATAAGTATACAACTTTTTATATTCCCTTAGCTCCTACTTTTATTTATTTAATCAATATCCTTTTTTTTTATAATTCCTATTTCCTCCTATCTAAGTACGTTTCCAATTGTCCTTGATAGCTCAGACGAAGGTAACGTTACTATCTTTGTTTTAAAGTATTATAATTTAATGTTTTTTTTAATTAGTACTTTCGTATTTGAATATTTAAAACAATAAATAATTTTTTATTAAAAGTTATATGACGAGTGCATTGTCGTAGTTTTAATAATTTTGGTTATTTGATCAGTGTCCACAAACTTCATACATAATAAATATGTTGTATAAAAATATTTATAAATTAATTAAACTCCATCTTTATTTTTATAACATTTAAAATTATTTTTTAGGATTTGTATTAATTTTAAGAAAACATTAATCTTATATTTTTATACATTTGATAATGTGCACTTTTTTTTTAAATATATAGTTTAACATCTTATACTTTTTAAAATATAAAAAAGCTATTTTTTTTATTCAAACATCAATTTTTTTTAAAAATATTCCTAAAAAATATTTATTATTACTAGAAAAAAAAAGAGATTAAAAAATAAAAGATATTTCTATTTAAAAACAAAAAACTAGACATCTAAGTAATCAAAGAATTTTTTGTATTTGTTATACAATTTCTAAAATACAGTGTTCCACATTCTTAAAACTCACGGATGTAAAGTGAATTTTTCTTTTAATTTTATTTTAATAAGCTAGAGTACTTAGAAGCCGACACCTGTAAATAATGCAAATATTTATATGCAGTCACAGCGGGGATCCCGTGCACCTTGAAAGGAGTTTTCTTACCGGAACCGCCTAACGATCCATCATTTAAGAAGGTCGACACGTGTCCGTGACAAGGGTGCCAATGTAATTTCGGTCTGAAAGGTACAAACTTGACCCTGTCAAATATCCAATCAGAGCCCGCTGGGGTAACCGAAAACCTAACCATCCGGTAAGGGCGGTTCGTGGTCACGTGACTCACAAAATAATTCAAATTCCTAATCTGACAGTTTCTTCTATAAATAACCAATCGTCCCTTCTTACATTCGCATTCAAGTGAAATAAAAAACTCTTTCTCTCTCTCTTCGTAAAACATTTCCGCATTTTCTCTCTCTAGAAATGGGAACAGCTGTTCTACGTTCCCACGATTGCCTTCAAGGCCGGTTCCTTCCAAACGATGCCTTAGCTATCGCCACGTCACACGCCCGATCTCGAAGAAATTCTTACCCGAACCCTAATTTCAATTCCTCGCCCTCCCATAACCGCCATCGAAAGCGGAGTCCGATCGCCGCCTTTCAGGCCAATTATCACGATCGCGATCGGAGACGGCCGGCCGATAGATCGGCTGTGAAAAGTCCGGCTGCCGCTAATCTTGTCATGGGACAAGTTAAGATCCTCAAGAGAGGCGAGAAATTGACCCTGGAGAATGACGACCAAGTGCTCGCTGTTCCCTCGGAGAATAGTAATCTTAGGGTTAATAGCGAGGTGGGCCTCGATCTGTTATTGGGCTCGACGGATCGGTTGGGCCCGGATCCGTTAACCTTGCAGAAACAGATTAGGGTTTCGGATTCAAAGGAAGGAATCTATGCCGGTTCGGCGTTCGTTGCGTCTCCGCATCCGAGTTCCGTTCCGGTTCCTGGATTTTTAGGGAGGAACGGCGCGGCCACCAGTGACTTGAGGCGGTTGCTGCGGCTTGATATGGAATGAACGATTTCGTTGTTTGGAGTCTGAGTACTTCTCTTACCTAGTAGATGATTAATGGGTTTGCTCGATTGGTCTCTGACGCGCTTCCTTTATTTTTTCAAGAGGATAGCCGTAGGGTACGAGCAATTGAAGAAATTACGAAGGCGAAGATTGTAGGGATGAAGATTTGGTATTCTGTTCCTGCAAGGGAGCAAACTTAGTTAGTTAGTTTAACTTTGTTGGAGACAAAAGGATTGGGATGGGAATGGATGTACTGTATATTTCCACAGTCTGATATACGTGAATCTGTCTAGGTGATGAATGGTTTAGATTGTGTAGGTGTTGTTTTCGCATAGTAGAAGCAAGTTTGATGTGTGTTGTGTCTTCTAGGCTGTGCTTGTACGCTGCTCGACTTCCTGTTATCGTAACCTTGTAGTAGTGAAATTTATTAGTATTACAATGAAGTTTCTAGTATTTGGTTCACTTTTTTTTGTGACTTAGTCATTTTGATTTTGATTTCTCTTCTGCGTCACGCGTTTTAGACATTTGATTTTCAGCCTTTGTTGTCCCTTTACTGCGTGGGTTGGTGTTTTTCTATTGAAATCCGTGGTTATGTCGTTTGCTGTTGATGTATTATTATCCTTTCATGGATCATATGTCAAATTGAAATGCATGTGAACTGCTTGAATATTTCCAGGGGGGTTTCAAATGCTGAATGCACTGATTTCTAGATATTAATCGCAAGGTATACTTATTTTGGTTACGTGTTTGATTCCGTGGAGTGATTAGTGAGTTTTAACTGTCTGGTGTTTTTGGAGTAGTCATAAGATCTCTTTCATGTTTAGTGTGGTGTTTTTATTTCCCAAATTGGCTTTTTAAATTGAATATGCTGGAGCAGAAGTACTTGACCTGTTCGCTAGGGGACTCCTCTACTCTACCTCCTGTGAACCTTTATCTATTTTGATCTCACAAGCAAAAAACAGTTTGGTTTCTCGTTTTATTATCCTCTATTGTTCTTTCTGTTTTAAATTCCTATTTGATCTTGTGCATTGAGGGAATTGAATTCTGTAACAGTTAATAGTTTTTAGAACTCCTGCTGTTTGTAGTTTTAGTTCCTTTCTGGAAACCGTAGTTGAAGTATCGAGGTATGCGTGTTTCTTCTTTCCTCTTCTCTGGCTATTTTACTTGGGTGTGGGTAATTTTGATTCCTAGTTAGAGCATGCATTGTTTTTCAATTGATCTTTTCAAGGAGGTAGGGGCATGGGAAACTAAATTGGCCATTAGCGGCCTGTTTAGTCTTTGACATACTCTATAACTTAATGCTAGCATTAGTCTTTGACATACTCTATAACTTAATACTCTATTGATTTACAAAAAAAAAAAAAAAAAAAAAAAAAAAAAAAGGCCATAGTTGTTCAGTGACTTTCTAAATGGGTTTGGCATTGATGCAAACTGAACTTGGGTTATTAGTGAAACTAAATTTAATAATATAATTTGGGTCCAATTTGTTGATCAACGGGTAAGAAAGAAACGTGAGTAGTCTGGACTCGGTGTGCCTGCCAAAAATCTTTCTGCAAAAGCTTTGAGATAGCTGTTCGTAAATTTTGTCTTCTCCCCAAATTTGATTCAAACATCTGCCATCCCAGTTGGAGCACAGCACAAGAGGTATCGAGTTGGGCCACAGCATCGTTATCATTTTAAATGACAGCTTTGTTGTATTTTTTTTTAATACTTTTTATTAATTTATTAAGTAAATATTCTCTTTGTTTATTTTTGCTTTAACTATTTTGTTTTGTTCATTTTTTATCGTTATTTTGTAAAATCAATGCATAATTAATACTTTCTTTTTTTAATGGAAACTTTATAACTTTTATAAACTTTGATTAAGTCTACAAATATAATTAAATTAACAAAATTATCTATATGAAATGTTAAATATAATTAAATTGACAATACTAAATGCAAGACTACTAGTACTAATAACTATTGATATAACTAACGAGACACGAATGCCAGAATTATTCAAATAGAAAGTTTCTTGAAATCACTTTTTATTGGCAATAATGTTTTCGGAGTTGGTGTTCGTACTTTTTTTTAACTTTTGTATATTCTGTAATCAAAGTCAATGGCGTAAATATAATTAATATAATAAATTATTAATGACGCGTGAAAAGAGTGTGACCATAAGTAATAATATTTAAAAAATATAGAAGATAGCATTATTCATTTGAGTTTATATTTGACACGTTTTTAAAGTAACTGTTTTTTCATCCGGCGGTAATATTAAGGTAAATTGTTTTAAATTTAAACTTGTTATGATAAGCAAACTTTTTAACGAGTTAGCTTTATATTATTGAACAATATTGTAAAAAAAGTTAACGTTCAGAATGCAGTAAAATTAAATCAGCTAATGGTAATTGATTATGGTGGGGTCAAAAACTTTTTAAGCCTAATCAATTTTGCTTATAAAGTTCGAAAGTGATAAATTCTACGATTCCTTATAAAATAAAGAAATATTCTATACTCTTGTATATATAGAATAATTATAACCGTTCATTTTAATAATAAAGTTAATAATTTATTTAAAAAATATGAATATTCTTTAATATTTTAGTATAATCTAAAGAGATTATTCAATGTGTCTCAAGTTTAAGATCACTCTAGCAAGCACTTAAAAATTTATGCAACTCGACAAGTCGTACCATGTGATGGAATAAACCTCTCAATAAAGTTCATATAATTCTCATTAAGGTGTAGAATACAGCTAGTTGCCCGTGATTGATTATATTTCTAAAATTTGAGTTAGAGTTTTTTTCCATCCACAGTAAGTATCTCATATGAGCTGGCCCAATAACCATTGATGCAGAACCGTTGTTGTGTGAAATACTGCCATTGTATAAAATGACTAGTGCATGAAATATATCTCTCTCTCTATCCTTCGGAGAGTAGTGGTATAACTGGTAAAGTAAAAAAATCAGTAAAATGTAAACCGATAGTAAGAATAAAATGAAATATGACATTGTAATTTTTGCATGCAAGGCCATGAAGGTCTGATTATCTGAATTACATCCCCCAACTGCTATAAACTTCAGAATTCCAACTTATCATGCAATTATATTAAAACTAACAATGAATTAAGCAAAACTGGATAAAATTATTTTGTTATAAAATGTACTATGTTCCTAGTAAAATGAACTGAAGTAAAGTAACATAAAAATTTAACATCTGCAAAGGGTCATCCTTATAAAAACTGTTTCTGTAGAGCTAAGATTTTACTCTGAAGTCTTCAATCCAACTTGACTGAAGAGAACAAGTAATACACGAACCAGAATGAAGAGAGGAACCCAATCGTGCCAGTGGTCAACATGATTGCTAGAACCATGAAGAGGGAATATCCCAAGTAAAGAGTTGCAGAAACAGGTCCACTCAGATTCTTGAGATCAAATACAAGATAGTTTATGGAGTACAAAAAGATGTATATAGCAACAGAACCGGAGGCAAAGAATGATTTCCACCACCATCTCCAGTCCTCCACACAAAGGTGCATGTAGGTTAGAACTAAAGATACCTCGGCGCACACCACCACAAGAAGGATCAAAACAATAAAGAGAAACCCAAATACATAGTAAACACGACCCATCCAAATACTGGACATGATAAAGAAGAGCTCAATAAACAGGGTACCAAATGGAAGGGTACCGGCACCAAGAACCAAAAGCCATGATGGGTACCGCTGCTGGGGGATTTCTCGAGGAATTTGATTGGTTCGAACAGGATACTCAATGTGAGGTGCCCTAGCCCCAAAGAACCCACCAACAAGGGTAAGGGGAACAGAAATGCAGAACCAAAGCAAAATGAGTATAACAAAGAGTGAAAATGGAATGGCTCCTGTGCTGTGGCTTCCCCACAATAGGAAGTTCAAGGTTGTGAGGATCAAAAAGGCAATACCAGGGAAGAAACAAGCAGCCTTCCACGCAACTGAAATCCATCCCTTCTGATCCCCATAGCCAATTGTCCTCCATAGCCGAACTGCTACATAACCAGCAGCAACACCAAGTATCATATAGAAAAACAGCATACCTGTGATGAGTGTTCCGCGGGAGGCCGGAGACATGAATCCAAGTGCAGCAAACAATATTGTCACAACAGCCATCCCAAGAATCTGGACTCCATCCCCAACCATTATACACAACAAAGCAGAATTCGTTGGGGCGCGGAAAACATCCCCCACAACAAGCTTCCAACCAGATAACTCTTCATTCATCTGTGCTTGAGCCTCCTTGTCAAGCTCCTCATAACGGGTCAGATCCCTCCTAACAGTTCTCAGGAAGATAACCAGAACAATACCAGCAAGAAAAGTGATCACCATAAGCGAATTGAGGATGGAGAACCAATGGACTTTGGCTCCCTCCATCTTCAAGTAGGCATCCCATCTAGATGGCCACTTGATATCACTCTCCTCAAAGGTGACCTCATAGGTAAATGCAATAGGCTGGCCTTCCTTAACAGGCATTGCAACAGTGGACGGATCACATTTGATAGGCGACGGGTATTTGTTATACATTTTCAAGCCTTTAGCCGACTCGGCATTATGCATAACACTGCAAGGAATCACCTCAAACCCAACAACCATGTATCCAAGCTTGTCAGATCCCTCCTTACCAATCGGTGGAATCATCTCAGCCGCATCACCGGTCCCCATAACACGAGCCACATTGGTCTCCTCATATTTATGGACAAGGACATTAAACCTGAGATGGTTAAACAAATAATACACATCCTGAATCTTGATACCAACAGGGTATCCAGTCCACCTTAGAAAGTACTCCTCTTTCTTAGTAAACCGAATGGCAGGTAAATTATCAAGTATGAGATTAACCTGATACATCTCATCAATTCTCTTGGTCAAGATCTTGAACTGATCTGCAGACAGCTTATCCACTTGACACAAGAATATCTCAGACTCATTGGTGTACATCTTGAACCTGTAAGGTGAGTTCTCGATCCGATCCCCCATGAGAAGCTCCCCAAGATTCTCAGCACTGTCCTTGACACCACCCTCAGGTTGGCAAAAGGGTAAACTATAATAGCTAAAGGGTATTTCTGTATCAATTGAAGTCAGAGAATTCACCTTCACCCACAACTCATCCCCAACCGCATACTTGTGAGGGTAACTACCAGGGAGGTAAAACCCATTTCCTGATTGAAACATTAAGCAGAAAACAACCAACACCCACATTCTAAATTGATGAAAAGACTCCATTTTTGAAAGGTTTTGCGTCAGATCTGAAAGACCCAGATAGGGAAAATGTGAAGGAAAAAAGAAGTACAAGGAAGGGGAAGCTCTAACTAGTTTCTCAGTTCAGGGACAATGCAGTTTAAAAATAAGAAAGGCACAACAGAAAACAACTGAGAAAGATGAAATGTAGCAACAGAAATGAAGAAACGATTCAAATGCACATGAATTACACTCACCTGAGGGTGGAGAAAGAAGATCTGCGTGAAAAATGAGTTTGAGGGCATAAAAAGGAACACTGGGAATCTAAAATTGATGGAAGCAAAAAGCGAAACGGTGGAACGAAGGCGTTGAAGCCGGGGAAATGCACATTTATAATTATGTGCTTCTTAGTTCTTTCTCCTTCTCTTCCCTTTCCCTTTCTAGTGCTTCTCTTTCACTACTTTCATCTCATCAGCATTCACGTTTTTTTTTTTTTTCTCAAATCACCATAATACCCTTCAATTTATTTATTAATTCATACCTTTTCTGATAGTATCGTACTATTCTCACTCAACTCGCACACTCAGTGGCAGAATCGTGAACAGCAATTCTTGCATTAAATAGTTAATAAAATGTTTATTATTTTTAAATTTTAAGTTGTTGTTCTAACGCGTTTTAGTTTTTCTTTTCTTGGTTAGACATGAATGCATTTTTCATAATAAATTGCTTAAAATGCGGTTTTTTTAATATATTAGATTTAAAAAATGTCATGTACTGAAATATAATTTTTTTAATTACAAACATGAAAACTCAACTTGCTACTGATAATTTTTAAATTCCATAAAATTGACTAATTTTATATAAAAATTGATGGGGATTTTTAAAATTACAAACTTCATTTTAAAATCGCTAGAGTTTTCTTAGTTTCGTAATTTTCTCAAAATTTCAGTATATTTCATTTTTAAATATTGTATAAAAAATGCATCTGAATTTACGGTTTTGCCATAAAAATTTATGTCGGTTATCACCGACATTTTGTATTTGTTGTTGTTCAATTGCAGTATTAGTAGCAAACATATACAATGGCCTTGTATTTAAGTTTGCATCTTTCCATGTTATATAAGTAACATGATTAATTGTTAAGTAGTAATATGATATAATTTTGTTTCAGAAAGAAAAATAAAAAATAAAAAATTATTAAATAAATATTTATCATAATTAATTCCAAGACTTATTAATTAAATTTAATAATCTATAGCCTTTTTTAATTTAAAATAATTCAAATCTCTTATATTTTGTCACAAAGTTGATAAACTGTGTGCCCATAGTTTCCAAAAAAATTGAATTAATCGTTTTCACCAAATTCATTGTTTATACTTAATATTCTATCAATCAACACATTTGATCTAGCAATGCCTTTGGCATCGCTTGCCATTGCCACAGCACTGATTATTATCAAGAGAATCATTCAATGCAGAAGATATTGTTTTCTAAAATAAAGCAAACATGAATATTATTATAATTTCACGACCAAATTATTATTCATTGGTGCTCTTAAGAAAGGTACAATATCTTTTTCATCTTAATAATTAATGTAGCGATTTCTTATTAATTATTTACATTAGGTGGAATGAAATTAAAATAAAAACATAAATATATTTGAGTAAAGTCTGAATTTAAATTAAAACACATTTATATCTAAATCGTACAAATTTATATAAAATATATTCATATCTGTTTTTTCCATAAAAATTCATATTAATATATAAATTCTAAGAATAAATGTTAGTTAAATTTTACACAACAATATATTGACGTGATAAATAAAACAAGTCAATTATATCATTAATATATAATTAATTTTCAATTTTTTATGAATATAATATTTATTTTTAATACTAATTAAATTATGAGATTAAAATAAAATTTAATATTTTTATAATTTTAAATGTAATTTTTATTAAATTTAACCCGTGCCACACGGGATCACACACCAGTATTTCTAAAATAAAACAAGCATGAACTTTGCTGGTCATAAATTATTAGATGGTGAAACTTAGTGATAATTTGTCTTTGATTACACTAGTAAAGTAGTAATCAATAATTTAAAGAATTTATAAATTTCAACCTTAATGTTGACATTATACCAAAGAAACAAGCACTAATGAAAATTAGTGCGTAAAACCTTGTTAGGTTCGCAATTATTTAGCACGTAATAACATACAATTAGCATAAAAAATTGTGATTAAAGTTACAGAAGAGGGTTAAGGTTGTGACTTCGTGATTCTGAACACCCCTTTATTTTATACATGTCTTTGAAGTGACACTAACGTAGAGGGTTGGCAATCCGAAGCTTTAGCATGCAGATAACTTAACTACATCTAAATGGGAGAATACCAGAACATGGAAACAAAGTGACAAAAACGCATGCGTTTAAACTCCATTGCGCCTTAGGTAAACGTGACACCCTGTTATCAAATCTGACCAGGGTGTATAGTGCTTCCATACCGGCAATGGAGAATGAACTTAGACCTAATTCATTCAATTAACATAAAATTACGCTATAAATATGTAGTAGTGCTAATAAAACAGATCATCACTGTGGATTAAATAATTAAATTCCATACATGGAATATTCTAGATTTTGCTGTCTGTTGAGTTGGATATATCAAATACAATGCCATCTTGCCCAATTACCATTGAAAATGATAATCAAACGGCCGAGTGCTACCATTTTGCAAATTAAGTTTTCAATTATTTTCTCTAATTTAATAATGAAAAAAAGACAGGTTTAAATTGAATTTGAAAGGCATAAGGGGCCTATGATAACGAGAGATTAACCTAAGCATTAAAGAAACAAAAGTTTGTAAGACAATGCCTTATTACACAAAATTTCATGGTGTCCAATAATTTTCATAATTTGAGAACCGATGTGGTCGTAATAACTCACATTCCTCAATTTGAATCCATGGGCTTAGTGGGCCTTACCAATTTCACAGTCGCACAAATTTTGATGACTCCAAAGTTCATTGGCATCCAATGATGAGTCTGAATACCATGTCCCGCGTTTGCTATTATGTCAATTATTATTGAAGGTGTCTAGGGATTATATAATCAACTGTATAAAGAAATAGGCCCTTATCAAGAGTAAATTTTTATTCTACTATAATACACACTATCTTAAATTATATTTATTGATTTGATAATTTTCTCTTTACTTTTAATTTTAAAAAATAAACTAAGTAAAATAATAAAGCTAGGTATGGCTATATAAAGAGAAAAAATGTGTATTCGAGGAATACTGAATTTTTTTTCCCTTATCAAAAAGAGGAAAAAGGGAATAAAGAAATTGGCATTTCATGAAAGGTCCTTAATCAGAATCGTCGACAAATTGTGAAATCCAACTCATGAGATCAATTAACATGATTCTGTACCGATTATGGCACCACAATGTTCCAACATAAAACGCTTGCTTTACTTGTCCTACGCATGACTGAGTTTTCTCATTTCTTTCATAGAAAAATGAAATATTACATTTTAAAGTAGTAATTCCAGGGAGTCATACACGGTACTACAAAGGAGAATTGTGATATTTAAGTCAATGTACAATTTCGACAGGAAATGAGAAAAACAAATGATATCTAAATTAACCTTTGGCACCTAGTCCTCGAGACTTAGGTAGTCTAACAGCGGTCAATGGAGTAGTAATGCCTTGTGATTCTCTACCCAATCCTGCGCCATCAACAAATCCCATCTTTGCCATCATCTTGGATCCAAAGCCTTTGGTATGCTTTTCAAAAGCACCAATTTTTGAAGACTTGTTCCTAGCTGGCTCAGTAGCAGGCTCAGCAAGGTTGGTGGAGAATTCCACACCCAAACCAAGTGATTTAGGCCTTCGAATAACCTCAATGGGCTGTGCCATACCTTGACCATCTTTTCCCAATCCTCCTCCCTCCATGTATCCCATTTTTGCCATCATTTTTGAACCAAAACCAGTAGTGTGTTCCTCAAATGAACCAATATTAGCAGAGCTGGTGACTCCCTTCTTCTTATTAGTAGTATCAATCTCATCAGAACCAGCATCTGTAACCTGTACAGTTTCTGAATGGATTATGCCACTTGATATAAATGACACAGGCTGATTAGCATATGAACCCTTTTGTCCTCTCCCTTTCTTGTCCTTTGCTTTACTGCTGCCTTGGCTGGCTGAGTACTTTGATGTCTTGTTCAGGGAAGATTGAAGTTCTTGCTGTCTAATATCATTCCTTTTAGCATTTTTCTTTCCCACTCTTCTGTCTCCGCTCCCAGATTTGTTATTTATATTGCCAGCGACAGAAAAATCAGCATCGTCACCTTCAACTCCCATTAACTGAAGTTCATGGAACAGTCAGTCTCAGCTATAGTGCAACTTAAAGTGCAGATAATTCCAAATATGTAACGACGTGTAATGTAAAAATTAAAAAAATCTCATGTTTTGAAATAAATGTCCAACGGTTGAAAGAGTAAAAGCTTCAAATAAAGATCTCAAAGTTTCAATTGTATTGGACAGGAAGAGTGGAAAAAAGATGAGAGGAGGATGGGTCCCTCTGTATTGCAAGGACAGGGATTAAAACAAGAGGTAAAGCCTAATTGTTATGCAGCGCAGAAATAAATTTCAATATGTAATTAGTGCACCATAGAACCTTTTCCAAGCGCTGTCTACCAGTTGAAGATGGCATGGACGTAGACTGTGTTCGCGTCACAGTCACAAATCTGAATCCACAAATCCAGACTAAATTTATTAAGTTTTCAGACACTTAACATTCAATTCTATAAATGTGGGAAGATCATTATCACCTTTTTTTGCCAGAACCTTGGCTGTTACTACGCAATTGATAAATTGCTGCTAATCGTTGTACCTGTATTCATTGAGAACCAAGATCGATATGAGAGCCATTCCAGAACCCAGCTGTTATAGAAAAGCAAAAACAAACGACACACAATTGTTCTCTAACAAAATCAACGGTAGTGGCAAATGCATAGAAGTTTTCAGAGTCATTAATATTTGAATCAACACTGGAGCAGGATACATAAAACAGTTTTACCAACCCAAACTGTTCAAATGTTCCAAGCTTTTTATGTCAGTAATGTGACTTCCCAAAATCACTCAAGATTACTCCATGATTCAAGCATTGAATCATTCATGATTAATTTTCATACAAACCCCAATTTTTTTATGAAAAAAATCTATTTGACACAAACAATGGACAGATGTGGAATACAATGATGAGAGCTTATAGGTGTGCTCATTTACTTTAATAAGCAATAGTAAGCCACTTAGGACATCCATGAGAGAGAAAAGGAATATAGACAAGGAAATGATGCACACCTGTGAACAATCCCGAGAATGCATAGGCTGAAAAGCGAACATATCCACTTCCTCCAAAACAATCTGCTCTAATTTCTAGAATCCAAAAAATGTTATAATGAGATGAGTGTCAAGAGCAGATTGAATATTCATAAACTTTGAAAAGATGAAGTTACACCCAACAAAAAAAGATATGATTTAATAGTATACAGCAATAGATCACAAGACTTGGGTAGGGTGACTACTGGATACTCATAACTCATTCTAATCATACTGGAAGGGGGAGAGGGGGATGAGTTCTACAATATTGCATATTATCAAGTAGGTTTCAAATACAGATAACAGAAACTATCATAATTCATCTTGATCTGGTGTCATCTTGCAGAGTACAAATTTAAAATCCTAATAAACCATGAATGCTGGTAATTTCTGATTATATTAATAATACAAAGTGACAAGTGCCACAAAAGAATAGCGTGAATTTAGGTGCTCATGCAATTTCTCTTTAATGATTCTTCCATTTGAGTTTGACATGCTTTCAAAGGTATACACTTCATACAGCTACTGTGTAGGCAATGCAACACACACACTCACACATGCAAAATATGATACCAGCCAGAAATACATGCAACCAGTCCCACTCCTAGAGATATAAAATAATGCCCAAATCCATAATAATTGTTATCATATAACTTTTTTAACCATAATTATCAAATATGATCAGTGAAAGGTCTTCAATATGCTTCTACATGATAAGAGAGAAAAATTGCAGGCAAAAGGCTTAAGTGAAGATTCACTGGATGTATGTGAAAAGCTTGTAGAATCAAATACAAGATGCTCATATGTACAATTTATAAAACAAAAGGGAAATTTTTTTTATAATCTAGACATATTTAGAGGTGTATTGAAAATTAATGTGCTTTTGAAAAATAAAAGGGGAAAGGTGAAGCAAAAGAAAATTATCCTGGAAATAGTGCAGAAAGAAATAATTAGGGTATATCGTCAAAGATGCAAAATAACTAATTTTGTATCCCATACCGAATTAATTTTCTCAAGATCAACCCCACGATGCAGCATTCTTTCTCTGCGCTTGGCAGAAATCTTTTCTTTACGAAGTTTCTTTTTTTCACCTGTATAGAATCTGCATTAGGAAAGTGAAGCAGCTGGAATTCTACACTACCTCATCAAATTTAAAGAAATAATGAATGCATATACACAGTCACACACACACAACCATTCCCTGCATCAAACTCCATGGACTATATGTTCCAACCAGTTATTAAACCAAGGATTTAAAAGCTTACATGTAATAATAATACTAATGCAACGAGATTTGTGAGAATTGTGACAATAATATCACTTGACTGGCAAACTCAATGCTTTCGAGGATCAAAAAGTAGAATGTAAATTCAATAGGACAAATAGATTTACTAATATTAAAACTTAGAACTAAGAGAACAACAATGGATCTTTAACATGACTGGATGCATAATAGTGGTACCATGAATTTTTTTGGAAGCTTTACTCTTTTGAGTATGCAGAGGCCATGAGTGAGGGAATCGAGGAACATGCTTCTTTCTAGCAGAAACAGTTCTTGGATCCTTTTCCAGCATTAGGTCATCCAAAGCTAAAGTTCCAGAATCTACAGAGCGTTTCTTCCATGGTTGTGCTTTCTTCATGCCATATTCCCTGGAGGCTTCTTGAAGGGCAAAGCCACCCAACTTCTTCAAAGCCTCGTCATAGCAACTGCTAGAAGAACTATCATCATCTGACTCATCCAAAACAGGCTTTAGCAACCATTTTGCATCAATGATGTTGTCACTACCACCAACTCCTTCCATATAATCTTCTGCAACCTCTTCATCAATGTCTGAATCACTGTCAGAAGTGTCTTGACAATCATTGCTTCCAGATGATCCAAGTAATTCTTCTGGCTCAGAAGATGCATAGCTGTCCTCATCCGCTGATTCTTCATCATTATCTTCTTCACTTTCATTATCTGAGATGTCCTGAGTGTACAACTTGAGACCTCCAATTGACAGAAACCCTGAATTTCTCTCAGCAGACACTTTTGATGGCAAGTTTTCTGTCATCTTATTGCTTAACTCACAATTCATACCCTCATCAGAACCAATATCCTTCTCAAATGATGATGAATCTAAAACAGGAGTTGATTGGGGCATCTGTTCAGACGATGTGCCAATGCCACTTCGGGTTTTGTCATGTTCAGCAGGGAAACCTAATCCTCTATGAGAGCTATCACCCAAAACAAAATCTGGATCATAACTGTAAGTATATTTCACATTGTTGGGTTTTGAGGGAGGTGTTTGGTCTATATGAGCAATCATTTGATTCTGCTTGGAGTCCAACAAAACAAAAGGTTGCATCTGATTTATATTACTATCTTCACCGCTGTTCCCATTCCCAGCACATGAGTCCTCCTGGTAATATGCCATTAAATGCAAGTTACTATGAAGTGAAGCAACTATAGACATAGTTCATCAGATCTTTTATAAAAATTAAATGCATGCTCTACCAGAGACATTTGATGAAACTATGCTGAAGGATAAATTCAAAGATGAACAATATAATTTTCAGCTATTTATCAAGAAGTTGATACGGACAACATATTCCTCCAGGATACTTGCGTGGATGAGTAATGTACTCACAAACTTGTGGATACACATTGCAAGAGTTCAAATATAGTATCTATTTGATTAAGAAGCATGATTCATTTTGCTCGCTTATGAAGACAAAGAAAAAATTGTTTCACAGCCCACATTGAAGTATCGCTGAGGACAATTTAGGTTGTAGCCTAGAGAGTCCCAACATGTCATTCACCTTATATGAATAAAATTCTCCCTTCGTGATCATAACCTTAATTAAATTCACACCGGCATGTACTATGAGAGCAAAGGCAGAACAAATAAAAACATTATGAACAAAGTAGATAAGCAAATACTTCCATTTTATATGGAAAATCCATAAATATAAGCAGTTTTGTTGGGAATGACAAACCTGAACATCAAGTGAAGGATAATTGTATCCAATAGTAGCTCCCAAAGATCTTGCAGAGGCTTCTACTCTACGTTGGGTCCCGGATTTGTTATCGGAGCTACCACCACTTCTACCTGCAACCCAAATGCAAAAGAAAATCTAAACCAAAACAAAGCATAGAAGGATTCCAAATTAATTAATAATAACTATAATATGGAAAAAAAACAGGTCCTATTTGGTAGCTCAGAAGCATAAAAAAGTTGCAGAACTAAATCATTTACTCAGATTCAATTATCATATTTTACAATAAAGAAATATAAAAAAAAAACTATTTGATAAAATAAAATAAAATTTTGGTTTACATTTCTGGGGAAGCAAACAGAAAAAGACAAAGGGAGGACCTGAATTTTGTGTTGGGGACGAGAGATTCCAATCAGACAAGAAACCCCCTTCGATAAAGAATGCTTCCTTAACGGTTGAGCCTCTTTTCCGATATTTAGGATTGTTGTTGCCACTTCCAGTGTTGTTGTTGGATCTTCCTCTTCCCTTTGATTTTCCTCTTCCACCGCCCATGATTGGTTGAAGTGATGAACAATTGCTGAACCAGAAGGACAAGGAGAAGGAGAAGGAATTGCAGTACCCACCCACCGTGTCTTTCCGGGTTTAACCCGACCCAATCGAATATTCCCCTTCCAATTCAATTATACCATACGTTACGTAGTTGGGTCTACTGTTTAGGCCCAATTCAATCCCATCCCACAAATTAGAAACAATAAGAAAAATATATTTGACCAAAACAAAAAAGAAAAAAAATATTTTTTCAGTTTGACTTTGACTGGGCTGAACGTGTGCCCCAAGAAAACATATTTGAATAAAATTTAAAGTTTCTAATTACTAAATTTAACTCATTTTTTATTATTTTTAAAATATAATTATAATACTAATTAAAAATAATAATCATGCTTTAATAGCTTATTTTGTAGATAATCGTGGTTTTACAACGTTGTGCATTATCTTTTCAAAATACATTTCTTATTTTTAGAAGACTTAAATTCCAAAATTATAAGTACATCTCATGATTTATTCAAATATTTAAACTTTAAATGTGAATATAATTATTATAATAACACATATTATTACTCGTTTAATGATTAATAAACAAAACAAAAACTAAAATTGTAAGTACATTATACTCTTCATTTATGTATAAGATTATAATAATTTGACGGTTTAATTAGGTGTTAATAAAATTATTTTTATTGTTTAACCTTAATTTAAAATTTTAATATGATCTTTTAACTTTTTATTTCGAGTTAACTTTGTACATGTTATCATACTCTTTCGTCCATATGATAATCAAAATTTCGAATAAAATGCCTCCAATTTTCTTGGTTTCTTAGCTAAAAGTTAATGTTCCTATTCCACATGCCATAATCGCTTAGTTAACACAGTTAACTTTAGTTATCCAATTGACCAGAAAATGCATTTCTTGTGCTTCCTCTTCCTAGTAAGCCATCATTTTTTGTAGGTGAAAGTTGTTGAAATTCGTGAAAAAATAAATATTATGGCATGCTTTTCCTACAAGCACTGCATTAATCATTCCTCATTGAGAAGTTTTTTCTAAAACTAATTCAAACCAGTCTTCCTAATTCCTCGACAAGAAGTAATACATAGTTTAATCACACACTCAAGCAATCAAGGCTACATCTCATTCCCATTTATAGTTTGGAATTGAGAAAACTAGCATTATTGGGAAGCTAGTTTTATTTATTTATTTAATATGTAGAATAATAAAGAGAATGCACATTTATCTTAAATGAGCAAAATTCTTGACTTTTTAAAGGGAGTATAAGGGAGTTTGAAATGAATTATTCCAAATTAGCAGAAGTTAATGGTTTGAAGAATTAGTTTGGTTTTTAAAAATATAAAAACTGATAAACCTGACCTGATGAATAATTTTAAGTTCTTTTATTCCACATTTATCTTCATATTGTGCTCCCTTTCCACTAAAATACAAAACCATCGGATATTATCAAGAAGAATCAGAAGTTGTCAAAATTATTTTTTAGAGTAAATAATTTTATTTTGAATGCATTAATAAAATATTATATCTAAAAAGTTAAATAAAAAATTATTACAATTTGTAATATAATATTTTAATTTCGTTAATCTACTTAAGGTGAAACTATTTATTTGACAAGAGAAGTCAGAGAAATGCGCACAATAGTATAAATTGGGTGCACGACCAAGTAACAGTGACATTACCACCTCGTCGTTGCCCGAATGCGCTAATCACGAAGAACTCCAAAATTACGACCCATAGAAAAAGTGCAACTAAAGCCATAACGTGTAAAACTCAAACACTACAACAAGAATGAAAACAAACATGTCACTTTTGGGGCCATACATAATTCCATATTCCTAAAGCGAGAAAAAAGAGGCCAAATTGATTTTAGTTAACCAAATACCAAAAAAAAAAAGTTCAAAGTGAAAATTGTTTTATTTGGGGAAGGCAATAAGAAAAAGAAAGGGCATTGAATAGGTAACCTAAGAGTGTCTTGTGGGTAACATTACCCAATTTTGGTTTTTCATTTCTACTAACAGTTAGCTACAAACTACTAGATTATAATGACCCATCCTAACATCATGTGTACCATGAACTGACCAACAAGACACGCTTCAATGAATTAATTTGCATGCCGTTAATTTACTCACAACTAACTTAGGTCCATACTGGCATACACTATATATATTAAATTAACTACCAGCGCAGGGTATTATATAAATGCCCACGATTGTGTTTTAAGGCCTTAACACCTAGAAAAAAGAGGGTGCACGTTGGCATCATCAAGGTAGCTAAGAAAAGCTAGAGACATGGCCACTGGTGCAGTCCCAGATGGGGTTTTCAGGTCAGTTTATGAAGGGTGCATATCTTGCTATGACAATTGTGTTGAGCGTCGACCTTATCACCGTAACTGTGGTTGTGCCCTCCATAACAAGTCTCTTAAGAACTGTACCCACAAGTTGCTAAGTTGTAACAATGTGTCATACCCTATGAAGAGGGCGTGGAGTGATGGCAGCTTGGTCTTGGCTGCTTCTGCTCATTCTCTTTCTTCTTCTTCTTCTCCTTCTCAAGTTGTAAATGGGGGCAGGCCTTGATCCATTGAGGTTGCAGGAGCATAAGGAAAAAAAATTTGCTTTATATATATATATATATTTTGTTTTTATCCTCTAGTTTTATTTTTTATTTTTTAATAGTTTGATTCATGTTTAGGTACCTTTTTTTTTTCTAATTTGCTAAGTTGATTTGTCGAAAGGTTTGTCATGATGTTTTATGTTATAATTCATGGACCTTAGGGAGTAAACTTGATCGCTTCTTGCCTTGTGTATATTAGACGATTCCGTTTCTTGGAAAATGTAATTATGCTAATTGAATTTCTTTATATATATATATATGATGTTCTTAATAATCTTTTAGCGTAGATGTATTGCACATGTTTCAATTCCATTGATCTTCGGTTGATTGAGTTTGGGAGACTGGGTTGCTAACCATTTCCTTTCAAATAACCCAGTTCTCTTGCTTCTGTTTTCACCTTTTTTATTTTCAAATCTTTTATAAATACAAAATAAAATAAAAATAAGGTGATAGATTTATAATTAAAAAATGAAAATAGAAAATCTTTTGTAAGCCCCTAAATTGGGTATAGAATATTGATTCTTACAAAGAAGTTGGGCCAGTCCTGTAAATGTTTCTTGATGATCGAATGAAGCACCCATGCAACCTGAACTGTAGTTTACGAACAAGTGATTTGTCAATTTGGTTTTGATTTCACCATCAACCAAAAGCAGCGTTCGAAACTGTGATCCAAGAAAGGATCTTGACATAGTTTCGGGGTTCTTAATATCAGCATGATCAATTATAATAATCATAATCAATATTATTTTATAAGATGTGAGACAATAGAACTTTTTAATTAATTGACGAGTTTATTCTAATTATTGATGAAATTTATAAATTGCTGTCTTTTTATAGCTTGAAGAATCTTCACACCGTCAGATCAGTTTATCACATGGGATGGTCAGATGCTGGCTAGCACTTTCAAATAGGAACAATGAATTTAATGCATAATTTTGTTTTTTCAAAAGGGAAAGAATTGCAATTTTTTAATATTCCAAATTAAATATCTAATCTGTAAAATATGGGTCAACAAAGACCTCCTTTTCCAAGTAAGATAGATGACAAAAGGATAAAGAGGCAAGGTCCTACATGTGAACTGTGAATGTGATCAATCAAAACGCAGAAAAATCCAGAATGCAGCTGGATTGAGAATTTAGTCGCTGTTATGCTTCTATGGCATTTGTTCCACATTTTGAAAGGGAAAAGAAAATGCCACTTTTGATGACAGCACATGATCTTACACAAATGAGAGAAGAAGCACCCAACTTGCTCAACTTGGACTATAGTCATAGAAACAAAAGATGCTTAGATTAATATAACAAGTCATTCCAACTACTTTTCTTTACCAAAAAACGTAAACAAGTTTCAAGCAGATCCTTCCTTTCCTTTTAATTGATATCGTACATGATAACAAAAGGTAATAATAATTTTCCTACTTGACCAAATTTAATTTGGTTCAAATCCGGTTATTCGGGAACGCCTGAGAAACACTAGATATTGTGGAATGTTCTGTGACGCAATACCACCTTGAATAATAGACATGAATACAGTATTTATTTTTACAATATGCAGAGTGTAACATGTAAGCTTAGTCTAATTTTAATTTAGCTAATGTAATTGACATTTTTCTCCCAACTTTACCAATCTACATAGACACTGAATATCAACAATTCCACCATAAATCAGCTCCAATTCATAAGTATGATGCAGTCTGATGCTTAAAGTTTTCTTTATATATAGTAATGTACTGAAAGATCCTGATTTCTGACTCATCCTGGGAGAGTTAAAACTCATACCTTTTTAACATTTCCCATTATGACTAGCTATTCATTTGGACACACAGAAGGGGAGAGTCAATCATCAAACCAATATCACAACCCAATAACAGAATCTAAAAATTAGAAATTTAAGTGCCACATTTTGACTAGGTAATTGAGTAAAGTTAAAGATAGAACTTTTGCCACTTAGAAGACACCGCCTACCTCAGCGTATAAAGTTAATATTTTGGAGAATTTTATAGTTAGAATGAAATAGCAAAGGTATATTACAAGACAAAGTGAGGTAGATGGGTTTGAAAAACACACAAAAGAGAGGCCAAATCGCTAGCTTGTCTACTTCCCTAGTTATGTATGTATAGTTTTAAGTGTCCACTTTAGCTTGAAGCCTCAAGACTAAACTTTTCTCGAAATTTACGGGAAAGAATAAATACAAATTTACCTTTCTCCTCTTGATTTCTTCATGCTGTCCCATACACTACATGCTATATATTTATATATATACGTGCTTGAGAAAGCATGGCAACATCACTAATAGATTGTAACATACTTGCCTTACAAGTGAGGAAGAAAGAGGGGAAAATGGCCACAGGAGCATCTCACATGATGTTTCGGTGTGTTTTTGAAGGAAGTTTATCATTGCATGACATGGAGATTGACCGGAGGCCATACCATAAAAATTGTGGATGTGCATTGCACAACTTGAATGGTATTTGCTCCAAAGCATGCCCTCAACAAAGATATGTCTCATTTAACAAGAAAACATCATGGGCTGAATTTTCTATGCATACAACAGCTTTCAAGTTCTCCTCCCAATCTTTTCTTTCTAAAACCATACAATGACAAACAAGGAAGGTGCCTCTATATATGGTTAGAAGAAAATGGTTAGAAAGTGAGAAGTTATTTTATTTGTTACTTCTGTTTTCAAGCCATCCATACTCCTTGTGATTATAAAATCAAGGAGTGAGTGCAGAAGTTCCTTCTAGCTGAATTTTTTATTTTCTTAATTGTGTTCAATTTCATGCAAAGATTGTAATTCTGCTTTGCTTTTTCTTTGCCTTCTGAAATCACACTGAAATTACTGTAAACCAATGCAGATAGCTTCATTGGTACAGCATTATACACAAATCAAAAGAAACTCCTTTATAATCTATTTTAAATTCGTTCCACCAAATATTATTGATGAGTAGTGACTTATTACTGCTGTGTTGTCTGTGACAAAATCTCAATTTCAAGGTTCCTGGCATGATCCAGAACACGAATTTAGAAAGGACATATACTTTGAATCTCCTGAGAACACACTTGCTTGTCACTTCATACCAAATACTTTCAAGTGCTAATACAACAGGAGAAATTTTCACTGTAGACATCACAGAGAAAAGTTATGGTACAAATTAAGGAAAAGGATTATAACGGCTGAACTAAATTCAACTTTTTGGTTTAGACCAAATATTCTTCACTAGAAGGCAATGTTGCTTGAGTTATGTAAGACCATTACAGCACTAAAACTTTTTCTTTAAATATTTAATTCAACTATGAACTAAACTCAACTGAGAAAGAGTAGAAAGGGGGATACAACATTAATTCTTTTGTGTCTTACACATTAAATGGGAGGAGTGTGCTCATAGTTACGTCTAAATTCAAAATACATGACATAAACTACTTTTTCAAAGATAGAATCTCTTTTAAGAAAAATGGTCTAAGTTTACAAAAATAAATTATTTCAAACACCATATAGTGAAGTAGTCAAACTGCTACAAGCTTTTAATTGCAATCTTCAAATAACTCTGAACTTCCTATCGTTTTACTTTTGTGCACTAAAACATTTATGAAGCTACTATGAGTTCATAATCTTATTGGTATTAGACAGAACCGTTATAACACCCTACCATATACTTGAATCACAAGGAGATGGTATAATCAGGCTCCCCCCAATAATTGCATTTTCAGTTTGATATCATGAAATATATGTACAATGCTAGGCCCGCTCTCTGATAATTGCATTTCGACGTATGTTTATATAAAATATCCAGAGGATGGATAAATGAATATGATTAACAAGGGAAGGAAGAGGTGGGGAAGAACTTACACGAAGCTAAATTTTTTTACTTAAGAATTAAGCTCATTATTCCCCCGAGCTCTATTTAGTGTAATTCAATAAACTTGATAAAAATTATTAAAATAAAGCTTATATGAAAGAGTTTATTTAAACTTATTTAAAGTGAAGTTCTTTTTATTTGTTTTCTAATTCATTTTAATAAATTTTATGATTAAATTTATAATATAAACTTTTGCATGATAAAAAATTAGTAAATAAATATTTAATTAAATTATTATCAAAATATAGTTAAATGAAATACAACTCGGGCATGGGGGAATATATCTTTTGAAGTGTTTGCTGAGAAGCATTTTAATTCAACTTTAAAATAGTAAGTTGGCAAGTATATTTTATAATTTTTATTTTTTTGTTATGTTCATACGTGGTGCTTTCTGTCTTGCATATTTTCTGCCAAGAAAAGGGACTTTGTTATTTGCACACAACTGTTCCATAGTGATATCACAAAGCCCACACCAGTGACAGAAATGAAATAGTGAATATTGGACCCAAAAAAACCTGTATGTCTAGCCTCTAAGTGATAAAAAGAATGCTAGAAAGTTTATGGGAATTTTCCCAATGATGACGCAGGGTATGTTAAAACATGAAATTAGTATGAACAAGCCAATGCAAGAGTGAACTCAAACTAAAACTAAAACTCCTACAAACGGCCAAGGCTACCTAGGAAAAAACATTAGATATCTTCAGTTCCTCCACCACTAGTCCACTCTTTGGCACCTAGAAGCCACTGATCTTCGGGTTGCCCAAGTCTACAAAAGCACGCACAAACGTACCATCTAAGAAGCTTCACTATAATAAATATAATAATGAATGATAGAGAATAACATTGGATTTGGTGCACTGCAAAAGATTCACATTCCCAATTTTTCAAGTTGCTTAATTAGCTTCTATTTATCATCACCACTATTTGAAAAAAAAAAAAGACTTAAATTATTTTGACTATTCTTAATCCATGCGGAACATTTTAACAACTGTCATCTTTCTTTGGTGGCTTCTTACCATAATTTTTCCTAAATTTCAAAGAGTTTTGAGCGTATAATTTTACACACACCAATTTATATGAAGTCGTCTAATACACACACTAAGATTTTTATGGCAGAGTAGGCGAGAGGAAAGGCTTTTGCTAGTTACCACTCGTATCCCGAATCATCTATGTAAATGTACTGCTTCACTAAGACATGATACATCAAATATAAAAATAAGATAATAATCTATCTTATTTTATCTGTCTCTTACGTCTTATCTTTTGTTTTTATCTTGTGTTGTCTACTAAGTAGGCTTAGGTGATATACTAATAATTTGCCTATGACCCTGTCCTCTCTTTTTCCCTATGCAAGGTTATTAACAAGTCTTTTGAGGCCCTCAAACACTTCAATAATGACCAAGGATGGTTGATAACTTGGTATTGTAAAACATAAAGAATCTGTCGATTCATTGTTTTTGTCGAAGAGTTTAAAGTCAAGTGGGCTTACTGAATCCCAGAATTTGGGCTAAACCATTTAGGAAAGCCCATATGAGACCCAACCACAATCTAACTGATTTTGCATTTAATATTTTAATGATCGGGACCACTAAACCATTGGCATGAATCGTGTTTCGTGTGTGTCCACCTCAACTGCAGGCACCTTTTTCTTTATTTTCTGGCCCGTATTCATTCCTGAAAAGGCGTCATGAATATACGTAATTACGGGAACAATTTAACTTAAATTCACTAAACATACCCACAAAGGGACATAATTATAAAAATCATAAGCGAAGCTCAAGATTTGATCGTATAAGAACAGGCACCTCTCTGTGTGTGTCGTGAACGGGTGATGAGGGAATAGCGATGCATGCATCAGCGGTATGGAGTATTGACCATGCTGGAGGGGCCCACAGAGGAGGCATGTGTACGAACCTGATGCAGTCGCACGTTGGGCCCGCAATCCAAAATCTTGGAGCAGAGATAGTGGTCCATGAATCGTGGGAGCGACACGTGTCGGTCGTGGGTGCTGAAGTCGCTTTCGGGTTGGGTAGTGGGCAGCCCAAGTTGAGGAACGGCAACGTCGAGTGTGGGCCTTTAAGTAATGGGCAGTGGGCAGTGCGCACCCTGACAGACACTGAGCATTGTACCATAAAAACATTTGTTTTACAACGAAAACGATGCCTTCCCTCAGCGTTTTCGATTAAAGAGATTATGAGCATAGATGGAAACTGGAAAAGTAACTTGTCACTTCCAACAATAAAAAGGTTTTCCCCAAACACTGCACTAACTAGTAAAGTAAATATCTCCCACCAACACGCCAAAAGCTCTCCAACGTTTTGCCTTTCCCCCTTCCTTCCTATCCTTATCTACATACAATCAATCACCCCTTTTTCATATGCCTATAACATTTTCTATCATTGCCCATTTCTCTTCTCATGCCTACTTAAATTATACCCTTAAATCAATATCTCTTCATTTAAAATATTGCATAACACTCTTAATTTAAAATTTAAAATTTACCCTTCTTTCCAACTTGACTCTCCCATACACATTTTAAAAAGAAAGAGTTGAATTATTTAATTTTGAACGTTTTACAAATGATATCTCATAATATATTTTTATATAAAAAAATAAATTTTTGAGGAAGAAATAATTAATGAAGCGAGACAGAGTAGACCATTGAGCATTGACACAGTGTGTTGTTTAGAAAGAGAGTAAATATATTATTATTTTAAAGGTGGAATTAAACAATAATAATGTCATGTAGCTGCCTCCCACATCATTGATCAATCTATGCTATTTATCTATGTTTGTCTCTATTATCAAAGAAAATGTCCAATGAGCATTCACCACAAATCCCTCCACGTTATCACCAATCCCACCGTTGGATCTCCATCGCTGCGTCAACCTTTCCAAAAGTCTTTCCATAAAAAGTGCTTTTCCAAACCCCTTCTTCCTTCTTTCCTTCTCTGTCACCGCTCTCACCAACACCAACACCAACACCACCACCAACACCACACCCCTTCCCTCTCCCTCTCAAACCCTCCTTTTCCTCACCGCAAACCCTCAAATCCGTACCGCGTTTGGATCTCAGTTAAAAGAAAACCATTAAAATGTAGCGAGAGAAAAAGAAAACACTCGTAGAGAATCAGTGATTAAGTAAGCAAATGGCTTTCCACGACCATCTCCACCACGAAATAGCGTTCCAGCGTTTCACGGAGCAGCAACAACTAACCGAGAATAGAGACATGCAACAGAGGTTGCCACCGACATGGCTCAACAACGTTAACGCTGCGCATCAGCGTCAGCAGAATTTTCTCGACAGCACCGAGAAAAGCGTGGATCGGAACCTAAACGAAAGTAATTGTGAATCCGAGGATTTAAGGGGATACAAAGCTGACATTTTGGGACACCCTCTCTACGATCAGCTTCTATCAGCTCACGTTTCGTGCCTGAGAATTGCCACACCCGTCGACCAGCTTCCTAGGATCGATGCTCAGCTTCAGCAGTCACAGCGCGTTGTTGAAAAATACTCTGCACTTGCAAATGCTGTTGTTGATGAGAAGGAGCTTGATCAGTTCATGGTTTGTTAATTCTTTCTCTACTTAAACCATCTCTTTTGTACTTCAATTCTTTCTGTTCTCTCGTCCCACTTCTTTAATACACTTCCTAGGAGCAGTACTTGTTCAAAGATTCTTAATTCAATTAATTAACTTCACCTCTCTTTAATCCCTTTTTTTAACTCACCTTCCTCCCAAGCTTTCTTTCTGATTTTGGGCATCATCATTTTCATCGTTTTTGTCAATCGTTCACACATTCACGATGTTTTTAAGAAAATGTTAATAAATTTTTATTACAATTTAATGTTAATAAACTTATAATTTTAGGTATTTAAAGTCAGATTTAAACAGTGGGATAAACAAAACCCATGTTTTTATTATGTTCATGCGCCTTGAGTAGTTTTTGAAAAAAATTATGAAAATAATTTAGTCTTGTAATTTTTTTTTATCTTGTTTCAATAAATCTTATAATTAAATTTATAAAAACAATATTTAATTAAGTTACATTCTTAAATATACACCCTAAATCATAAATGTCAAACTTTTTAGTGTTTCTCATTCTTATTCTGCTGGTCTTAATTATACCTTTGTTTCCTTATTTTGTGGAGCTTGTGGTTTAAAGAACAATTGCTACCAGCTAGCACATATAGAATTCACAAAATGGAGAATAATGGTGATAATAGGAAAAGTAATAATTTTTTTTTTTTTTAGAATGAATTTTGATGGACGGTAGTACGAGGCATTTGGGTTGTAAAAGTGAGTGAGTGAATCTGATTTGTCATGGAGTGGCTCCGGTTGAGGGTTCTCATGGTGCTCCTTTCTTCAATAACGCTATAGCCTTTAGGAGTGCTTTATAGAATCTTTCTGTTAATACTGTCATGGTCTTCCCACTTGTTCACTTCTTTTCTCTTTTTGCTGAAAATTTGTTTAATGGTTCAGTTCATGAATTCTTATAGAATATGTTCTGAACCAAAGTTGAAGCTCTCCTCAAGCTTTCTCACCCTTTACTTCCTCATTAACGTACGTGTCTGGCTTGCCCAAGTACAATAATGAGAAGATATGGGACCTTAGTGATTCTGTACGTATGAACTGGTTATAGTATTTGTCCTGTAGTGTATGCCAGAATCTATTAAATGCATGAATCAACTATGAGTTGATGATTTTCAACGTTGATTCTGACTTGATATCCACTTTACATAATGATTGGAGTAGTGAAGCAAGTATATATATGTGTGTGTGTGATAGAAATGTTAATGTCCAATCACTACAATATTTTATTAAAGTTGTTGAGACATTTATGTAAGTTTGGCATCTTGGGGTTCGTGAAATTTTACAAGTTATAACCCTTAGTTGTTCATCTCAAACTCCTTTTTGAGTTTGGCTTTTTTGTTTGTTGTAGACACATTATCTTCTATTGCTCTGTGCCTTCAAAGAACAATTGCAACAACATGTCCGTGTTCATGCCATGGAGGCAGTGATGGCTTGTTGGGATCTCGAACAGTCTCTACAAAGCTTGACCGGTAACTTTTTAACATCATAAACATATATTTTTCTTCCTATATGTTACCATGTTTTTTGCACTCATATTTGATCTAAAAGTAGAACAAAAGAAATAGGAAATAAAAGAATGAATGAATTGCATACCATGCACACTATCCACCGCGTATACCATGTTCTTTCTCCAAAACTCTGTGTTTCACTCGTTCTCATCATGGAATGCTAGTTATAAAGAGCTACTCATACTTGGTCATCACTATTTTAGCGTAATGAGATACTGAAAATACTTTTTTATAGTTTATTTTCCTTCTCTTTGTTTTTTATCATTACATCACGCATTCTATTTAATGCTTTTTCTTATATCTCCAATTATAAAATTCGACATTTAAAAGTTTTTTTTGAACAACATTGTCCAATATTTTATTCCAATTAAACTATGTTGGTGTGAGTGTCAATTTTAGAAATAGAATTGGTGAATAAATAATACAATATATTTGAGTATCGCTTTTTTAAATCACATATTTTATTTATATGTTTAGTTTAAGTGAAAATGTTTTAAAATCTAGTTAAAAATTCTATCGAAAACTTTTATACAAATAAATATTTAGTAAAACAACACAATAACATGCCATTTTCATAATACCATATGACCCGTAAACTCTCATAGTCTCGTGTTCTTATTCACTCACATATGTTAAAAACATATATTGCTGAAGATATTTTAATTTTAATTTTGTCACACACTTCTCTTAATTTTTATATTATTTTTTATCTCTTTATATAATTATTTTCTTTCTTTTTTTTCTTTTTTCATCACTCAATACATCTTGAAATCTCGATTTCCTTTCATTCTTCTATTTGTATCTTTTTCTTTTCTTACATTCAATCATATTTAAGAGTAAAATTTTGTATTAATCATGAAATTGTATATATTACACATTTTAGTTTTAAATTTTAAAAATCTTTCATTAGTTTTTTTTATAAAAGTAATAATAATATTTTTAAATAGAATAATAACGATAAATAAAGCACAAAAATATATAACTAACTTTTCTAAAAAAAATTAACAAACTTAAGATCTTGAAATCTTCAACAATGAAAATGTTAAATTCATATGATCTTTAAAACTAATTCAAAGATTTGTTTATTTTTTAAATGTGTTGAGGTTTGCATCTATATAATAGAATTAACTATTTTAAAGTATAATAGAAAAGTAAACAAAAAGGAAATAAAGAAAATTTTATTTTGTAATATCAGTTATACATATTTTTTATTTCATCTATTGCAACTTTTGATTTTTGATTTTTATTTTTATGCATTGTTAGTATAAAATGTCTATAATATTAATTAATTGAACTATGCTTTACATAAAATTGTAAAATTAATTATTATAAATCAATATTTTTGTATTGATATGATAATATATAATTGATAATGATGTAAAATATTATATGTGATGTTAATTGAAAATTATTTACAAAATAAACTTCTGGTCCAATATCTGGGAAATGGGAGCATGTTATTGGAGGAAGAAAGCTTGGTTGAGGCTGCCTAACCCAAATCCAAACGTGGAGGGGCTTGATGACGCTTTGAATAGTCTAGTCAGAGAGATAATGGGGAAACGAGTGGGTAAAATGAACCCAGACAAAATTACAAAGCAAAATCGATAAAATAGCATACATTAACCTTTGGCCAAGAAAAAAAGAAGATAAACTAAAAGAATAAAAATTTGACTAATTAAAATATTCTCATTCCTCCCACTCGTGAAAGTGGGGACTAGTGGGACTCTGGATCATATTTTCTTTCCTTCTTTCATAAATTTTCATTGAAAATAAATTGATTTTATCAATATTATGACATTGAAAAACATAAAAGAGAAATACATCCATTTAATAATATTTTTTTTTACGTTTAGTTGTTTAGGATTATTTTCTAAAATTTATATTAATAAAATCAACTTTTTTTGTTCTTTATAAATGTGAGAAATTTTTATTTTCTCTCTCTTTCTCATCAACTTTAACTAGAGTATTTTTCCTCCTATATACCATCTAAAAGGTTTACTTCAACGAGAGATGAAATAAAAAAGTTATATAAGTGTAAGAAATGAAATAAAAAAATTATTTAAATAAGTGAAAATAAGAAAAAAATTAGGAAAAAATTACACTTATTTGAATAGAAAAAGTGTAAAAAATAAGTAACTTCTTTTATATGTGTGTCCCCCTTTCTTCTATATATTTTCTCCCAATTTAAGGGATGGTTTTTCTCTATAGGTTTAACTCACTTTGTCTTTCCGTTCTTCTTGGTTCCCTCGTGTACAACCACAAAAACCAATTTCTAGTCTTTGACCTGTCATTGAATATGTAAAACACGAGTAAATGAAAGAAAACTACGAAAAAAATAAAGGTTCGTGTTGCTAGTGTTGAAAATTGAAACAACGTAAAATAATAGTAAAGAGATTTACAAATGTTGATAGCTAGAGAGAGAAACAGGTAAGGGCTTCACATTAAAGGAATACGATCTTTGAGCATTCACTTTTCAATTTGCTTTGCCCCTCGAGGGTGTTGAAATGGAATAGATCAAAGGAGCAGTTATAATGGTTTAGCTTCTGTGTATGTGTAAAAACCAAAGAAATAACTGCAAATAGTTAGAACAACTTCAAGTTCAAGTATCATTAATCTATCACTGAATGCATGCAAGGTTTTAATCAGTATTATCATCACCGTTCATATATATTTTAATAGTAAAATGTTAACTGTTAGCTTTCAATCCCAAGAGTTAGGGTAAAGCAATTAAAAATGAAAAATAAATGTATTTATCATATAAGAAATGTAAATGTATAATAAATAATATTTTTAATATAATTTTATTATATATTTAAATATTTAAAACTAATATTAAAAATTGAGATTAATATATAAAAATATAAATGTACGGATATGACGTATTTTGATCAGTTTTCAAACACGATGACGATTCTATGTTTCATGCTTCACTTGGGAAAGTGGTTGCTATGCTGTCCAACCCTGGCCTTAAAAATTCTACTTTCTTTGATTCATGGAACAAAAAAACTTGCAGTCTTGTAAAATCTATGAATGTATAGCCCATTAATGGCAAATATTTTGGAACAATGTACGTATAATTAATGCATGACTATTTTTTGTTGTTCTTCAGCAAGGACATGTACATTATGTGCATACAAAATAAATGAAAGTGATTATATATATGATTAATAAATAAGAATGAAATGAGCTAAAGTAGAAAATGATGATGCATGTGTACGTGCAGGTGTATCTCCTGGTGAAGGAACGGGTGCAACAATGTCAGACGATGAAGATGATCAGGCAGAAAGCAATGGGAACTTATACGAAGGAAGCATTGATGGCACTGAAACTCTTGGCTTTGGTCCTCTTGTCCCCACTGAGACTGAAAGATCTTTGATGGAACGAGTCAGGCACGAGTTGAAGCATGAGCTAAAACAGGTATTTCATAAACTTAGCCATGTTGCTAGCATTCAAATTAATTACTTTATAAAAGATAATTCTACACTTTTTTTTAACACCAGGTGAAGCAAAAAAGAAGAGAGAGATATTAAAAAAAATTAATTTCAGTTTAAATACTTAAAAGTAATATTTTTTATTAAAAAAATTAATCACATTTTTATAACTCTAATATAACAAATGGGTTTTTTTTATTGCTTTTAAATTTTAAAATTCAGTTTCAAGAATCGAGATTACTAAAACTCATAAAATAATGTAACGAGAAAAAGAAGAGAAAGTTAAAAAAATTAAGGTGTTAGAAATAATTTAGATTATATGAATATTGTAGCTGTTAATTACCTGTTCTCTAATCAGCACATGGAAGAACTTGGATAATTTTTACATATATATAATTTATTCCTTCCTCATTCAGGGATACAAGGAGAAGATTGTGGACATAAGAGAAGAAATTCTAAGGAAGAGACGAGCGGGGAAGCTCCCAGGGGACACCACATCCCTTTTGAAAGCTTGGTGGCAAGCACATTCTAAGTGGCCTTACCCCACTGTAAGTTTTGGACATTAATATCATTACTTATACACATGCATTTTCATATATGATAATATGATTCTATGTGAACATTGGTCTAGGAGGAAGACAAGGCTCGATTGGTACAAGAAACAGGGTTGCAATTAAAGCAGATAAATAACTGGTTCATAAATCAAAGGAAAAGGAACTGGCATACTAACCCTTCATCTTCCACCAACTCCAAAAGCAAGCGCAAGAGGTAAGTTATTAGTTACTCCTTTCAAATTAAATAATATAATTCCTACGGCTAATTAATTTTGAAATGTTTTGAATTTATGCAATTTATTCACATTATATTTTACTTAATATTATTAAGAGTTTGATTATGCTAACAATTGTATATATGAAAAGAAAAAAATAATAATACAAATGCAGCTCCGTATCAAGACTTCTTTACTCTTTTTATACTCACCCTAATTTGTTTCTGTTCAATTTAATTAATACTTGCCACACTATTTGTATATATGGTGTCGGCATGAACAATTCGAGTCAAATAACACAACTCTATATGTTAAACTCATTAAGTAATATCATATTAACACGTCATTAAATAAATGTTTTTTTAAATATAGTATATTTAGCAATTTATCTTGTAACCTTCGTGTTGATTAATTAATTTTAACACTGTATGAATTTTATCATCAATTTTAATAGCATAAATAATGGGGGAAGTAATCAAATTACACATAAAGATAAATTTCTCTATTAAAAATTTAATAGGAAACTACATATACAATAAAAGTGGATTACTTTTTTTTTAAAATCCTAATCTTTTGTGACTACATTTGAAGTGTGATTTTTTGGATGGCAGCAGTACAGGAGAAACCAGTAACCAGAGCTTCATGTGAATGGGTAGCATATTTTGAATAAAAATTATTGGTATTCTCCAATTCATGCATGCTCGTGGGATTCACCGATCTTAGCGTACGTCCTACCTGAACATGAAACGAGGGAATCTAAGATGTAAAAGGGAAATTCATGATAAAATAACTGTTGACAAATAGTGTTGGTTTAATTACAGAAACCCTAGTTGTTGTATATGAGGTTGCTGCTGCTTGATATCTGATATTGATGCAGGCACAATCTGTTCGATTTAATGGGTAGCATGCTGATACATTTTTTTTCTTATTGAAAGAATTAGAATTATCTAGAAGTAAATCTTAAAAATTTGAATTCTTATTAAAAACATAATAGCCATCTAAAACGTTATACCCAAATCAAGCAATACAAATGTGTTAGTTTTATTTTACCCACAACTATTACCTCTGCGTTCTCAGGTATATGATTGAAGCTTTTAGTTTAGTTGTGACCTTACTTGCATGTACATGCAATATACAAAACTCTTGTGAAATAGATGAGAGAACATGATAAAAAGTAAGAAAAAAGCTTCTTTATTTTTTGTTAAAATTATATCAATTCATGAGCGTAGAGATAAGATATAAGAAGCTCATATTCGATTCGATTTTGAAAAACTATTTTTTGCACCTTTCAATAAAAATATGTGCTTTTATATTTAAGATTAATATATTAGACACGCATCTTAATTAGTTATGGATGTATAATAATTTAAAATTATTTTTTATTAAAATGAACTTTATTTAACTTAAAATTTAGAAACTAATAATTGGAGTGTAATGTCCAATTTAAATAGATTGACATGATCATCTATAAGTTTTTGCATGATTACATTGCGGTTTGTAGGTTCACTGTTCACGTGGTTTAAAACTTCAATCTAATTTTGTAATGTACAATTTAAAAACAATGGTTACACAGCATGACCAAAATCGTTATTATTCAATAAATACGCATTTTATTTGTGAGTGTGAATATATATATAGCTATTATTACTTTTTTCGACCTCAACCTACAGTCATAAATGGGACCAGCGGGATCCACTGAGTAGAAGTGAAGAAAAAAAGCAAAGAAAATGAGAGTGGTGACGGAAGAAGAAGAAAAAGATGGGTTTTTTTGCCCCTTCATCTGATGAGTAATTAAGCTGCTTCTATTTCTAGTGAAATTTTAATATTTTGTTCATGGTTCTGAGAGCTACATTTTGGTACAGCTTGATTATTGCTTTGCCTTCTCCTCTGAGTGGGTTGTGACTTTTAGATATCTGTTTTTGTGGAGTTTTTCTCTTGTAGCAGGACTGTATCCGCCTAATAGGTCATGTATTATATTGATTTGGTGTTTACCAATTAAGTACGTGTGTAGAAACATTTTGAAATTCACGTAAATATAAAATAAGTGTAGAAATTATAACTAATTATGTTAGAAATAAAAGTAAATTTATGATCATTCAAATGTTAATCCAAACAAGTACTAATGTTTGTTAGTAAAAGTTTTTGTTAGACTTTGTCCAGTGATTTTTCTCTTTACTCTGAAGAGTTTTTCACTTTAATGTACCAACTTGTTTGCACTGATGGGGGGAAATATTTTACTTCGTAAAAGATTGGCGATTATCTACACACAAAATAAAAATTTTTGTTAATATATTCTTTACTATTAAATGAATTTTTATGTTTGTTTCAGTAAGAAAAAATGATCTTAAATTTTTTTTGAGTGAAATTCACATAAAAATAAAAAAAAAAAAAAAGAGGGAATTAAAAAGACTATGTAATAAAAAGATTTTTTGTAGGACTAAACTTTAACGGAAAAAAGCAGATCCCATGTTGTTATTATTATTAAACTGATTTTGGGGTAATGCTATTTCAAATAAATAAGCATGTATGATTGCTAATATTTATTGAGATGCATTATCTCAATATTTTTTTATTTTCGGGATTTGGAATTTGAGTGACAGTAAGGGATAAGTGAAGGGTTATTAATTAAAGATTTGTTATAGCCAGACATAGGCCTGCAAGTTGCATGAGGGGACAACTTCCAATTGCCTTCTTACAACAAAGGAATTGGTAGGGACAAGGATTTGGCATAAAACTTAGGAAAAGAATAAATTATTTTGAACGGGTCCCCATAGGCACGCGTTTACTTTGAGAATACATCTGTTCATAACTTTTTGGTATGGAATCACTTCTTGACTTTGTGTCTTCAGAGTGTTACTTTATCCTCAAAACTAATGGTTTGCGTGTGGCTATTGTCCTGAAGAATCCAAACCCTCTCTCTTCCATTTCCATCTTAAGGAGAGGATTGTTTCAACTATACTTTGCCCACAAATCATATTTTTGGTGGGTGTCTTGCTACAACTTGTATATTTTATCTTTGATAAATTTTCAAGAGGATGAGATCAAGCGTGAAATTTTAGAGAGGAAAAAAACAAAGCAATGTTTTTCGCTCTTCACGTAATGAATGATAATTACAATATATATATATATATATATATATATAAATTATATAGAGGCAAACAAATTTAGGAAATAAAACAAGTTTAGAAACAAGAACATGCACGTTTCATGATTCTTCATATTGGCGACGTCCAGGAGCAGCAAACCTTGAGGAGAAACTGTGAGGCATGCCTTCATCCTCACTCTGAGCCCCACTATTGAAGTTGAGAGCATAGCTGTGTTCATCATACATGAACCTGTTCCTTTGTTGCTTCTTGCCATACCCACTTATCTTTCTAATAAAAGTTTTCCACTTGGGACCAGCAATCACTTCTGAAACCTCCTTCACCTTCTTCAATTTGTCTACCACCCATGACTCTCCTTCACCCTTTTGATCAAGTAAGAGTTTACCTTCTTCCTCATGGCCTGGCCACCATTTCCAGCGAAAGCATCCACACCCACAACCGCTACCGCTGGCCTCTTCGAAATCTTCTTCTCGTTCCATTTCCATCACCAATGGCCATCCTTCATAAGCCGCCATGTTTCCGTATGTATGAGGTTGGCGGCTTTAATAATTGTGAAAACATTTATAGGACGAGAGAGTGTTAAATGGAAGAAAAGTCAAAGAAACCGTAGGAGACAAATTTGAATTTTGAATTTAGAAGGTTCCAAGCAAAGTTAAAAGGGGTATCGCAAGTGACCTATTACGCGATTTCTCTAGCATGTTAGACGCTGACACTACTCAACAATGAGATATTTGCAAATAAATAAATAATAAAAAAGAAGTGGAGAAGTAAAGTACTATTAATTAATATTTTAGTTTTTTACAGTATAAGACTTCAATTTCATGTTTTCCATATCCCACACGCCGTCATTCTCAATTGTTTGTAACACTTGAGACACATTCCACTTTGATAAGACAAAATGAAGACGCGTCTTCGATCGTACTATACAGGCGAAATTTATGAAGAAATATCAATGGATGGACAATAATCAGTCAATCAAACTAGGGATGTGGAAGAATGGGGATTATAATAACAATAACCGGTATAACTCTTTACAATATGCATTTTAAAAAGATCAAAATATTGACAATGAATTTCCTTTTTTGGCACACTCAAATGACACATTTCATAATGTTCATTGAGGGTTGGATGTAATAGAAGAATATGCAGCAAAGCTAAAAAAAAGCCTGACACTTATTAACAACCTTAGTAAACTATCTGTCTGAACTAATTAATAAATTTTCCCTTCCCTGTAATAGATATTGAATAATGCATCGGTCAGTCAATTGGATGAAAAACACAAAGCAAAAATTATTTCTGGACTTGAGTCTGCAACGAAGAGGGTTGCAACTGTTGGTTTTGTCCTTTAGGAGAGATCCTGGCTGCCATAGAACGTAATTCATTGGCAATATCAGTGAAGGTAGGTCTCTCTATTGGCTCCGATGACCAGCACCTCTCCATCAACAATCTCCATTCTGGATCACAAGATTCAGGAACAGGAGGGCGCAAAGTGTTGCTCACAATACCACCTGAATTGTATTTGGAAGACCCCACATGCAAAACCTCTCAATTTAACTGAAAGCAAGATAATTATATCATAAATATGAATTCAACATGAATATTACCGATAATAGCACCATAATGCAAGTCGGCATACGGCTCTTCTCCAGTCAAAAGTTCCCACATTACAATGCCAAATGAAAACACATCAACCTAAAACAACAAATATCAAAACACGAAAAACAAGCTTAAAGAGTGACAAAATGTGAAGGTATCAAAATTCATCAACCGTTCAGGTCAAGTTAAAGAATAAACCTTCTCTGAAACAAGGTTACTGCTTCCGTTGAGCAGTTCTGGAGCCATCCATGGTAGAGTTCCTCTAACACCGCCAGAGATCAGCGTTTTACATTTTACTTTGGACAGACCCAAGTCACCAACCTAATATCAGAAGTAAAATTGCAAAAAGTTAGCAAACTACTGAAGGATCAATAATGAATTCCACCATGCTAAAAGTAGAGCTCTGTTGACCAGGAAGCAAGTATTGATGACCCTAAAATCAGTTACAAGAAAATTCAGGGAAAAAAAAGTGCTTAACGTTGCAGAAATGGAACAAATTCTGAATCATTAACTGAATGGCTGTTCAAATTCAATGCCAATTCATGGAACAGCCAGTATTGACAACATTGTTTTGTTTATGGATTAGTAGTTTGGTACAGTGATCATATTTGTGTAGTTGTCATTTGCTTTGTGGTGCAAAACACAACGACCGAGAAGATTTAAATCTAGAAAAAATTACCAGAATAAGGTTTAAACTATAAAATATTATGGAGATTTTCGCTCCCAATTTCGTCAAGTATAAAGCACAGCAACTTAAATTATTTTCAATATATAAAAAATCACAAAATGGCTTATGGTATAAATGCAATTTCTATATGGTTCCCAAAGTTAATAAAATATGGCTTAAATATGTTTTAAATCCGTCTGTTTTAGTAAATTTTTTGTTTTAGTCCCTTGGGACGAATTATTTTTGTTTTGGTCTTTACATTTTTGTGAAGTTTTGTTTTTAGTTTCTCTGAAAAACTTGGTCTAACAAAAAATTGACGAGAGCCTCTTCATGAACCACATTAGCGATAGGGACTAAATTTTTTTTAAAAAATCGCAAAAACATTGGGACTAAAAAAAATTTTCAGAGGGACTAAAACTAACAATTCACTAAAGAGTGTGTGTAAGAACCACAATCCAATTTGCAGAATGATGAAAGAAGACAGCTCAACAAAAACACCAGCTTTTAACTCTTCGCAGTCATATCTACACTTTAGAAAGTGCAAACCTGGAAGATAAACATTAAAATCTAGCCTAAAATTATTTGTGCATACCAATAGATAATCTTATGAGTAAATCCAGTCTTACACATCCATACTCATCCACAAATGAATACCCATATTCTCTATTTTGCTCATGTTGCCTATATCTTGCCACTGCAGTGCAGGTGTGCAATCACTAATTGCCCACCAAACGCTAACGTTATAAGCACCTATTCCAAATTTCTAATTGACGTATGACAATCTCCTTTTTGTATGTAAATTTTCACTTGTGCCATCACAATCACAGGATGCCAAACTAAACCTTTAGTACAGCCAGCTAGTCAAACCTATGCCTGGTTAACTTGACAGGTATATCTAAAGCCATTCTCTTATAAAAGGGGTATTCTAAAATATCACTCGCCATATTTTAGAAATTTTGATGAGTAAAATTCCTTATATCAGATTAAAGCAGCAAAAAAACTGATCAATCCGTCTCACAGGGTCCTTCAAGGGAAACCGAAACACCTCAGCATATTCCAGAGACTTTATTAATCTACACAATTACAGCAGAGCAGAAGTATGTTGCATAATGGATGTGTCCCGTCAATGCTCAAATAAATTAACAAGAGCATAAACATATATGGAAGGCAATGTGCTAACTAATTGTATATCTGAATATATACAATATGATGCAACAGAACATGATTCTTGATATGACCACACCAGTATCAAGCATTTAAACCTTGCATATTGGACGGTGTGGATCTCTGAGATTCACAAGCAAGTTGTCACTTTTCAAGTCAAAGTGTACTATGTTTTTTCCATGCAAGTACTCCATACCAAAGGCCACATCCATTGCAATCAAAAGACGCCTGCGCCTATCAAGATTCCTGATATGATTGCATTAGCATCAAGGATTTAGCATTATGGAAACATTAAACCTGGATAATGCAAAAAGACTAATATCCCAACATGAACATATACATGGAAAATGCACATACGCATGCACAAATTACCTCTCACTCTTCTGCAAGACATTTCTCAGAGAACCGTTAATCATATATTCGGTTACTGTTGCCACAGAACCTCCAGGGCCATCAAGCACAACACCATAGAAAGCTACCACATTTGGATGGTGCAAGTCGGCAAGCTTGATTGCCTCATTCCAGAAGTCATCTCTCTGATTGATGCATGAACCAAACCATTGGGAAGTTAGTCTGTCAATCACCAACAGGAGTTGCAGAAAATGGAAATCATAACAATTAGTAATGAGATACAGACCATGCGCTCTTGCTCTGAAGGCTTTCCAGCAAAACACCTATCAGTAATCCGTTTGATTGCAACATCAGAACCCCTCCATTTTCCATGATATACAGTCCCAAAGGTACCAGAACCGAGTTCTGTCAGTTCTTCAAGATCACAATTCTTTATAACCTAGTAAAGTTCCAGCAGCAAGGTGTTAGCTCTACTGTGCTGGCAGCATAAAAGCATAAAAGAGGAAACATATGAAAGACATTCGACCTGTAATTTTCCAACACCTGTTGCTGGAAAGCCAAAATTTCCCTTTTCCAGTGGCTTGCTGTTGACATCCTGAAAGGAGAAAAAAAAATAATGTTAAAATAACTTTAATAAAACAACACAGGAGAGTGGCATACAAAATGTTTTATTTTGGCAACTAATTCTGCAATCATAAAATAAAGTAGATAATACAAATGTTGAGGAATATGTAAACAAAATTACCTGAGTTTTATCTCTGCACTTCACATCTATCGGATTATTTGAAGCATTGCCATCCTCAAACTCTTCAGGATTTGAAAGAGTTCTTGAGTGCAGAACAGAGGCTGCAACATCTTCAGCAACAGCTTGAAGTTGTTGGTCTTCAGTGGAGCCTTCAATAAAGAAATCAAAACATAATGAGTATATGCTATGAGCTCCCTCCTAACCATATTTTAGGACTTTTAACAATTTACAACCTTTGGCAGACCGACCATGCTCAAAAGTCAAATTTTGTTTGAATGACTGGTAGAGGTCATCATCCAATTGTGACTTTAAACTTTGTTCCGCACTGTTGCCCGGATTTTCACCAAAATGATCCTTCCGAGAAGAGGTTTCTTTCTTTAATAAAGCTTTGCTAGGCATGACAGGTGGAAAGAAGGTACCATGCTGTATACTCCAGGGATCCTGATTGCTGAAAAGTGAGCTTGGAGTATCCTGCACTTCTCTAAACCTGACAGAGGGTGATGTTGCGGATGATGCTGTGTCATCCTTTTGGTGGGTTCCAATATTTGATTGAGGATTTGAACCAGGAATGCCCCAAACAGGGGCATGTATGGCCTCATATTCACCTGGCCTGGAATTGTGCCCATATGAAATTTCAGTAGAAGAACAAGGCAGCACACCTGTAATCTTATTTTGATTGGGATCAACTATCAATTTTGACCTGACAAAGTTATCCAGAATCACCTCTTCCTCTACGGAATGGCGAGTGTCGTAATCTAAGTTATCATTCCTACTTTGGAGAAAACATTGATCATTACTTACATAAACTTCAGGATTGCATAACTTGCAGGTGTCCATCCTTCCATCAATAGGTTTTAGATGGTCTTTTCTAATCCAATTATCTACTACGTCTGACTTAGAAACAACACCAGTAGGCTCATTAGTATATTCTTTTAGAGATCCTTGAACCATACACTCTGAAGTTTGTTTAGCTGTTCCATCAACGACAGTTATATCATTATTGACAGTTTTGTCAACAAGCACATCATGTTTAACCCAGTTTTCTGTTGGTACTGTGTGCTGGTCAACAACATCTTCTGGATAAGACAGTGGTGCGGTTCCCATGAGCCCATCATTGAGAGACTGTTCTCTACCTGTCCTTCCAATCTCTTCCTGGAAAAATGAATTCCTGGGTTGATCAAATTCTTCTAGCTTTTGTTTAAAGACCCTCCCGCCTACAGTCTGTGGCTCAATATTATGAGAAAGGTCAGTTGTATCAGTACGATTTACTCCATCTGGAGGTTCCAATTTGCCAACAACCCTTGGCCTGGTCCCAGCCCCTTGTTCAACAATGCCTTCCTTCAAGGGTGCAGTCACCATAGGCATAACCCAATTTGTTGCTTGAACTTTCATACTGTCCTCCATTGGGAAACTACGGTGACTTGGGGATAAATCATGAATTGGACCCACACCACTATTACGCTGATCCTGAACCAGAGGAACGGGATCTGAATGTGCATGAGGTAGTTTTGTCTGACACATAAAACAGTCCTCGACTCTTTGGATATTCTCAGGGATCATTACATGTTGTTGAGGTAATAACCCATCAGAGAAAACGACATGCTCTTGTGGAGGAACCTGAACCCAGCCATAATTACCTCCAACTATGACAGATGGGACTTGATTCACTGGAACCTGGTATGCGTTATAGCTGCGTTCAGCAGGAAGCTGGACAATCCTTATCCCTGATGCATTTTCATCATTATATTTATCCAAACGTTGTTGCTGAGGTTGCACCAATGGTTGTGGTTGAATAGCATTGGGCCTTACACCAACATGAGAAGATGATTGCGTCATTGTCATTCGTACCCCAGGGATGACCTGATGGAATGCTAAACCAGGGCTATTATCATGAAACTGCTGTTGGGTGAAGACAGGCCCAGTCTTCCCTAAAAGCTGATTTGTCATCCCCATCGAGGAAGGCAGCTGGACATAATCTGCATGGTTCACAACCTCCTTGCCTGGATCAACAAATGGCTGCAAATAACGTGAAGGTATTGAAATTTCCGTTCCAGATGGCTGCAATCCATATGGCTGCTGGGATACAGTAACAGGCACAGACTTTTCTAACTCTACCTCTTTCTGGAAATATGGAGTTTGTGTTGGACTAGTCTTAGCCACAGGCATGGCCGATGAAACCGCAAAAGCACCTGAGTAAACTGCTGCACCGGGCTCCAAAACTGCCAAATTTGCACTCGTGTCTTGAGAAGCTGCCACATTCTCCTTAGGTGGCGACACAGGCGCCCCACTGACATCCCCTGGACTAGCAATTGAACCGTCAATAATCTCATTCCCACTCAAATCAGAATTCTGGGTTGAAGCTGCACTGGCGATGCTCTCCTTCCTATTGATTCCAGCACTATCCCCATTCCCATCCGCAATACCAATTCCATTCACAGCATCAAAATACTTCTGCCCGGTATCTTGCAAGTCCCCAAACTGCATCCCACCAGAAAGTTCAGTCTCCGAAGCCGAAAACAGAAAAACCCTCAACTTTGCAGAACCATCCGGAGATCTCTCAACCAATTTTTCATACTCCTCCATCATATTCTCAACATCATCAGGGCATGAAACAGACACCAAAGCATCAAGATCCTCCTCGGGTAGCTGATACTTGATAACCACAGGCTGGCCATAAGTATCAGCCATCTTCTGCGCCAAATCATTGAAACTAACATCTTTCCTAACACTAATGATCCTCGTTTGCCCTCCAACATATCTCAACATTCCATCACTAGGCCTAGGCAATATCTTCCCACCAAAACTACACAAAAACTTCACTTTCCTCCCTGAAACCAAATCATCCCCACCCTCATCACCGACCTGAACCTGATCAACCACTCTATTCCCCCGAAGAGCAGCACCACCAAAACCATTTACATCATTGCTAACCCTATCCAATCCATTAGCCCCCACCCAGTTCCCCAAATTCATAGCATTCCCAGTCACAACACGATTACCGAAACCAGAACCACCGTAGTTAAAACCAAAAGGAGCAGAGTTCGCATTGGTATGCGCAATGGAGCAAACGTGCCACGTTGCGGAGACCGCTGGCTGGTAGAAAAGCTCGCGAGCCGAATTCGGAGTCGGTGGTGGCGTGACGGTTACCGGCGAAATGAGGGGTTCCTCCGCCATCCCCGGAACTACGTTTAACGGACGAAGATCCATAGGAACGGAATTTTGATCAAACGCCATGGCTGCAAAAAGCTATTAATTAAGATCCGAAAGAATGAATGAATAAGGAACGGTATCGTGTGAGATTGATTACTGCATTGAGGGTGCAATTAAACCCTAGTAAAATTGGAAGAAAAAAAATCAAAACAGAAATTGAATTGAAGGTTGTAGTAAGAGTGATAGATTAGATAGATAATGATAGAGAGAGAATAGAAGAATTGTGGAATCCCGAAATGGAAAAAAGAGGGAACGGTGACAAGCGCAAACAATGAATTGCTTTCACTCTCACTGCCCCAGAAATCAAGGGCTTTTTTTAGTATTTATTTAAGGCTATTACTGGATTTAAATATATTAAAGCGGATTCAATAAAAATTAAATATATCTATTAAATTCTTTTTACAGTCGTATGTTTTTTAAATTGTTGTTGAAATATTTTTTTCAATTATTGTAATTAGACAAATAATTGCGTGATAATTATTTTTAATGTTGAAAAACAAAATTAAGTTTTAAAATTATATTTTAATTCTTTTTTAAGATAAAAGGCTACAAATAAATTAAACTCTACATAAATATTTATTGTGTTGTCAAAATTAATTAAATTTTTTTAATTTATAATAAAAAATTATACGTGTTTACTAAGAATAATTATAGATAAAAAAATTATTAAAAAAATGTTACCATCACTACAGATTTGAGCAAATTCATAAAAAAAAAAAATATTGCCATCAGTTTCTAAACACATTTATCTGACATTAGTTATATTGTTGAAATGATTACGTTTTTGCGTATTTTTATATTTGCATGAAATGGAAAAATAAAAAAAAATTATACATTGATAAAAAACTAATTTTTAAAGTAACATAATTTTAAAAAGTTATTATTTCAAATAATTTCAAAATACAGCATATTAACTATCAGTGTTTTGTCTTTTAATATAATTAAGTTTTTAAACATGACTACATAATATTTTTAAAAAGAACTTATATTTTAATTTATTAATTTATGAAACTGGTCTTTGCAATCGTTATATACGTGTCAAAACAATGTAAAACTTAAATTCATACATGTTAAAATCTATCGACTTTTGAAGGCAGCATATAATAATTTTTTTATTTGACCCATTTACACTCTCTCTGCCCTTTCTGCATCAACTAAACCTATGCAATCAAATTGTTATTTCCTTTTCTTTTTTATTTTTATTTAAATGTTTGAAATTGAATAATCCCCCCTTTTACAATTCCGTTAGTGCGCACGTATATCCTACAAAGAAAAAAGGGGCGCGTTTTTTCGTATTTTCCCGGGAAAACGACAGGTACAAAACGGCACAACGAATGACCAGGCTTTGCTTTAACCCGAACCTTCATTAATCGCTTTATTTTATTTAATCCGTAATATGTACCCTTAATCATCAAATAAAAAGATTAATTTTATCATTAGTTCAAAATAATGCATGTTTTATTAGAAAATGTTAAAAGAAGTAATTTTATTTAATTATAATTACTTTATTAAAAATAAAAGATTTGATGAAAAAGATGGGAGGCATGGCGTGTGTGTTTGAATCTGAGACACGATTGATTACGAAGGAGCGTGTCAGACTGAGACAGGACCCTCATATCTCCCCCCACCAAATCTTTTTTTCACTACCAGACGAAACTCTCTCTCTCTCACATGAATGCACAGATAGTGGATAACATACAATTATGCAAACGTTTGCATAACAAAAAGTGGGTTTGTTTCTAATTACTTTTATCGGCAAAACAACAGTTAAAAAGTGTCAGTCAAGGATGAAGAATGAGTATTCGTGGATCCAGTGAGTGTTAGTTGTTCGTTATGTCTATCTTTAGGTAGGGTTGGTTAGTATTTTTATTAGAAAGTGACATTTTAAAATTCTTCAAGCTTCAGTTAATAGGATTAGAGTCCCACAGGGGCAACGAGTAAAGAGATGCTTGCTTTCTAATTAAGGGCCACAAGGAGAGACAATTACTACTGAAAGTGGAGAAAGGGCTCCACCTAAAGGTAAGTGGTGTAGGTGGCACTGAGGATTAACTTCCGTTCATGCACCTCCATTAAGACTAAATTGATACCTTTTTTGTCGGCAAACTCGTCATCATGGTAATGTTATTTAAATTTGATTATTGCTTTCAAAGATTTTTATTCACTGTGTTAAACTTTTAACATTTTATATTAAAAATATATATTTTATCACAATATAAATTTAATATCTGAAGCTAATGAATCTTGACTGAGGTTGTTTTTAAAATATGTTTCCACAATTTTTTTATAAAACAAAGAAAAAAACACTGTAAGATTGAGTTGAGTTATTAAGAAAAAATGTCATTATGCTCTACGTGGAATGCATGGGATGGAAAGCATTTCAAACTAACGTAATCGGCTTACCCCTTTTCACTTTTATGAAGAAGTTTATTATTATTATAAAGAAAAGATAAGGCACAAACACAGTGGTGATATATCTAGATACGCGATTTAATTCCATTTAATTTTTTTTTCTTTTCTTTGGTCAAAACCCTTTTACTTTTATAGTAAGTAGTGAGACATCTATGACAAAGTAAAAATAAATAAATTAAAAAAGAAAATTTTTATGTATTTTGCTAAAGTTATATTTTGCTTTTTTTTTTAAGGTATGAACATTTTCATGTACCGGCACTTCAGGGATTAGGACCATTAATTTTCGGCAACAAACAAACGAAGAGGAAAAAAAAATAGTTAAAGTAACCAAAAGTAGGCAATGGTGATGAGTAAAATGCTGTAAGGCATGTGAGAGGAAGGCAGGTTAAATAGCCTTTTTTTTTTAATATGTTTAAAGTTTATGTAAGTGATCTATATAAAATGCTGATATTTCTGCATTTATCTTAATTTATTCATCTTATTTTATATACATCCTTTGTCACATTAACATAAACAATCTTAGATTATTTATCAAACTTGGCATGTGTGAATAAATAAAGTGAGATAGGCAATCCATAGTTATTTTATTGTTATTATAACAGGATTGTACATTTTTTGGTAATGACTATTTCCCAAAGTTAATCAAAGATCCCCACTCAATTCTGACCAGATAAAGTTTTTATAGCTATACGCTCCAAATAAAAATCTGAAAATTTAACAGAGTCACACCTAATCTCTATTTACTTACCAATTAAAGGTTGAAGTAGTGGACAAAGTTTAGAGACTGAAAATAAGAATTTTCCTAGTTTTTGTGGGGTATGACCATGCATGTATACAGTGTGATGTGTCCAAATCTATTGGCCTGTGGACATTTTCAATTTGAATTCATTTAACTCAATGAGATATGGATTGAGATTTGATGAGACACACACATCATGGACCCAAAGGAGCATTTGCGTCTAGTTATTAATGGTTCTTTCAAACTTTTTAATATATGACTAAAGGCAAAAGCAATGAAAATGCTATTTTTCTGTTCACATAAGTAATCCTGCTAATAAAATGGCAGGTAAGCAAGCACCTAATGGAATAGACAGTGACAAATATTAACAGCAGAGTAATGTACTTCAATTTATTGTTTTCATATGAAAATAAATAAATGAGTTTGTCTCTAAATTAAGGAAAGTTTTTCATTTTGATATACCCCTATAGCAGCTTTGTAGATATTTACCCAACACCTTATATGGTTAAGTATCACCATAATTAACACTTATCACTGAAATCCACACTTCAATTATGATTAATTGATTGGTATAACTATAATTATATTATCGCATTTTGTGTGCAATATGTTTATATATTTAAAAGGACAAGTTACATTTACCTTGTAATTAGATTTGAAATAATTTTTTTAAAAAGTTTTACCGTCTAATCCTAATAGACTATACACAATATGTGTGATAAAAAAAATGGACTTATAAATTGAATTGATTTATTGTGATGTCGTGAATTCTTTATCATAGGACATGTCCACCACATAATTTGCTTATCTTACTTTAGGCATTGTTGGACCTAACATTGGAGAAATGTGCACTTGAATAAACAAACCCAGTAATGGGACCAAACACACTACTAAGTTTTTCAGAAAAAGAAGCCCAAAAAGTCTTGGGTGGCGTAATCTGTTTCTTAACTCTCCTTTCTTTCCTATGGTGTGATGGACTGAGAGGGAAGAAAACAGAATAGCTCACATTTAGCATCACAGAACAGAGCTGGCAGAGCTATAAAATGATGCTTCTCGGGTTGATGCAGTATCTCAGATTAATGAAAATTAAAATCTTTGTTTTAATTTAAGAAATAGGTATTTAAGAAAAAGTTTATATACTTTTTGTTTGTGAATAAACGATAAAAACACAACATAGTAAATAAAAGGGTAATTAAGAGAAGAAAGTCTGATAATCACATGTTAAGAGACAGACTCCACTGTGAACCATGTGATGTTCTCTACCTAATAAAAGAGGAGGAATATTCTCTGCACTTGGCGGTTATATAGCCATAATTATGAGACAATCTGAATTATAATTAAAAGAAGTTATTTACTGTACACTCGAAAACATGCCATAAAAATAAAAGAGTAGGATAGTTTTTTTTTTTTCAAAACATTGTTATATTAACACTTAAAAGCTAATAAACTCTTTATTCTTTTAATTTTGAATGATAACTACTCTTAATTTTTTATAAGAAATAAAAGACTAAATTATTAAAATTAAAGAAAATAATTTAAATTATTATATTTTTCATAATATAAATTTTATTTTAAAAATATTCATAATATTAAACAGCATAGTTAATAATTTATATATTTAATAATACTAATAAAAAAGTATAAAATAAATTTAACAATTAATATATCTCAAATTCATCATATATTTTTTATAATTAAATAAAAAAATATTATTTAAAAAACATAGTCCTTTTTTAAACTAATGATTTTATTTAAAGATAACCAAATGTCTAGTTCTGGAATCAATCATCCATCGTAATGTTTGAAATTCATTTTTAAAATTTTTAACTTATTTAATAAAATATGTTTTATACTTTGAATTTAGTTTTACATATTTTTATATTACCAATCAATCACAATGCACTATTAATATATTTTTTACATTAATCTTAATAACAAGAGTAATACATAACTATTTTATTTAAAGAGTAATATAAACATGATTTAATAATTAAATATTAAATATATATATACAAATACGCCTGTGATAAAAATATTTTAAAAAATTAACTTAATTAACTCAATTATATAATTACGAATAATATACATTAAACTGATAAATATAATTTATTTTAAAAATATTTTTTTATATAGCATCAAATAATTTTTTTAATTAAATATTACTAATTAATATATGTTAAAGAATATAAAATTAATTATTATAAAAATAATGATTTTTACCCTAAAAAGAATTATACTGTAAATACATTTAATTAAACTCTTCTGCTTTTACTTCATTTTAGAATATGCCCTTTGGACACGCAAGAAAAAAAAATCCATTAAAAAACATCGTTTTTCACAATTTTAAAAAAAATAAAAAATCATCTTTCAATTGCTTGTTCACCATTAGTCTCACTTTGTTCAGCTGTGATCCACGTTCAGAGAATCAGTGTTTAACTAGTGAGTTATGGAGCGGTGTGTCAGTGCTACGAATCAAAGTACTATTTCTACTCGACTCATCATTTTAATCCCTGTGTCACTGTGTGTGTACAGGACTCACAGGGCTACTCTTTCGAACAGTTCAAAGGTTGTCGATGTAAACAATGATTTTACTTTATAGTATTTGAAGTGTGTCCCCTTAGTTATGTCCACCAGTCTTCAGTTAACTTAATCATATAACATTCCGGCTTAACAATGAGTCAATGATACATCTTTTAAATCTAGTGCAATTTAAAAAGATACATATTATGATTTGGTCTAGAATTTTTTTTTTCCAAAGCTGTTAAGGAGTGTTCTTAAAACACTTGTTGAAAAGTAATAAATAAAGTTTTATTTTATTAAAAGTAATAATAAAGTTATATTAAACACTGCAATAAATAGTAATTAGTTTATAATTTTTATTGAAAAAAAGTTAAAATTCTTTAAATAGCTTTTAAGAATAGTTGTTAGTATTTTTCAACTACATATGGAAAACATTCATGCAATTAAAGAACATTCATGAAATATTTTAAAGTCATTAAAAGTTGTTAAGATCTTAATTAAATATTTTGCAAATACCAAAAACATTAAATGCACGCATATTTTTAGTGGATATTGCTACCATTTGTATTAATCAAGTATATTAGGTAAAAAGCAACAATTAGAATAAAATTTATTAAAGATCACAATATTCTAATTTGGCCCGATTTAATCTAATTTGGTTCAAGCTTTGGATTCTATTAGACTAAGCTAAAAAGTCATCTTTTATTGTAAAATTATCGTAAAAAATATTCTGTATTTTTATGATGAATCCTCACTGCTTGTCCCCTGAACGAAATTAATATATGAAAATGCCTTTAGGTACATTTGTTTTTCACAAAAACGTAATTGGTTCAAAAAAATTCTCTCTTATACTAAATTCGCATTATTTTTTTAAGTTGATTTTCATTTTCATTAAAAATAGTTTTCACTTATTATCCAAATCAAATAATTAATATATTGCAAAGAATAAAAAAGATGTACTTATGAAAAAAGATGTAAAAGAAATATTTAAAAAATGGTGCGACAAGTATTTTGAACCAAAAGAAATATTGTAAATCTCAGTCTCTCTCTCCATGGAACCGTTTGCAACAAGAACGAGACAAAATTCCAATAGCAATGGCGTCGTCATGTGTCAGAGTTTCAGTTACCAGTTCGCCACTACCTCTGCGTCAAAGCGTTTCTTTCAAATTTCAATGCTCTATACAAAATATCCAACTAACAAACAAGGTAGAGGAAGTGAAAGCACGCTATCATCGCTTTCGCACCTTTCTCTTTTTTATCGCCACTTTTTTGCTTTTTCTTATTCCTCCCATTTGCATTGCGCTGCATTGGCGGATCTCACAATGACGTTATCAGCCAAACAGGGGACACACACACAAACAGCAAAACTAAACTAAACTACTTTAAAACGACGCCGTCAGCACCGTTTTGATTGCGATTTTAACCGCGGTGGTTACGCTATGCCTGCACCGCCAAAAAACTGTATCCACATTATCAGATCTCCCGATACATTTTCGATCAACTATGAGCGACGATTTCCACGGTAGTATTTGCCGGAGAATTCGAAGACGGCTTCGGCGGCGGAGAGGCCGGCAATCTCGCGGAGAAACTCCTGAGGTCGTCTACGGACTTCTCGTCGCCGGCGTCGTCTTCGAAGTTCAGCGCGTAACTGAGAGGGTCGTAGTGGAAATCGGCGGAGTGGCGGCGACGGTGGCGTCCGATCCGGGAGATGAAGTTGCAGCACTTGTCCTTGAGGTGAGGGAAGGGGAAATCGGTGGAGCGGGACTTGCTGTGAAGCGATGCGCTTCGAACGAACCTTGGCCTCACGCGGTGGTGAGGGAAGCAGCACGATAAGCAGAGGGAGGATCTGAGTCTGTTCTTGAGAGAGTGAGGGGATCCGGAAGTGGAATCTTCTTCCGCCATGAACGCGAATGAGTGAAGCTTTTGGAATGGAGAGAGAGTGTGAGAGAGAGTAGTAAATAGGTGAGAGGGAAAGGGAGAGTGAGGAAATGACGAGAAAGGATACGAAGGTTGCGGTGGGTGGTCACGGAAAAAAATGGTCTCTTATAAAAGGTAACCCTTTCTATAGAAGGGTATTTGAGTCAATTCAGTTGATAAAATATTGTACCATTTAGTTGCCACTTCGGTGCAGTAACGGATTGCATTTGCATAAGCATAACGTTACCAACGTGGAAAACTTTTTCTTTCCACGTCTTTTATAATTAATTTCAGTGTTTGTTATTTTGATATGATATTTTATATTTTTTAAAATTGAGTTATAATTTTTTTAATATGTTAAAAATTAATAGATAACTATTTAATTTTAAATTAAATAAATTAATAATTTAAACTCTCTATTATATATATTTAATGTAAAATTAATTACAATAATAATTTCACATGTAAAAATGTATGAATACTCTCTTAGTTTATAAGGCATTATAAAAATTATTTAACTTTTTAAAGATGCATATAAAATGTGTAAGAAAAAATTATCATATTTTTTATGATTATAAAATTTAATAAATTAAAAAAAATTCTGTAATTGTATATTATAGCTTTAATAAAATTATTTTATTTATTATTTTATATTTTTAGACACACGTTAAAATTGTATTTTTTTATTAGTCACCTCGAATATTTTAAAAAGATCAATACTTTTATTTTTAACGGTTTTTTGTTAATATATTATAAAAAAATATTTTTATGTTATTAGTTTTATTTTTAAAGTCAAGTTTGAATAATTAAAAAATGTATTTATTAATAAATATATATTAATATTGTATTTTAAAATAATATTTTTCAATAGAATATTTCTATCATTGTTAACCTTATATCGACTCAATTAATTAATTTATAAATTATAAATAGGCACATCGAATCTTTACAGTATATTTAACCGATTTTACATATTCTCTAGTTCCCTCAACAACAACAAAAAAGTTCTGAAACATAATTTTCAGTTTTAAAGTTATATTTTATACACACAATTTTCAAATTTAAGACGACACACGTTGTCATTTTTATTATATAAATATAACGACTCTCTGTAACTCTGTTACCAACATAAACAAACGAAACATCTCTTTTATTAAATTTAGTTGTGTTATTATAAAGTAGCATCTTTCACATTTATTAAAATTTATCATTACCTAATTAATTTTAAATATAAAGATACAATAAATACAAATTATTTAAATTTAAATCGTGCATTTATTAACCCTATTTTGTATTCATATCTCATTTAATAAGTTTAACTACATGCTATGAAATATTAAATAAATGGAATAACACTGATTAAATTATACTACTAACGTTCTTATATCCCAATTGTGCATTGAAATTAAACTCAGACTTAAAATCTGATTACTTTATAATTGAAACGATTTCCAGATACTCATCTCCCTTTATGATGTTTAAAAAATATATTTAACTAGAGTTATCTCTTTATTACTTTTTTTATATATAAAAACAGTATAAATTAAGAAACATGCAGTAATAACACAACGATAGTTCTATTCAAAATACGAAAAATATTGGTAATATATATTTTTTTATAACCTACTATTTATTATTAATTAAAATAAAAAAATACCAAGAAAAACAGTAATTTATGAATAAAAAATAATGAAACTTTTATAATTTTTATTAAATTTTAAAAAATATATATGTTATAAATAATGTGTTATAAAATATATAGTTAGCATTGTCTTTGAAACAAATATCCAACTTACTCATAAATTATTTACGAAGGATAATTATGTTTTTTTTTTCTATGTTTAAACATGATTCGTTATGATGTAAAACACTTTACATAATCAACATATAAAAAGTAATGCGTTACCTTATTATAAATAGATATATTTTTTAAAGCTTTTTACAATGTCATTTTATGTAATATTAGCATAATTTACTTACACACGTGTCTGTGATAATGCACGATTGAAGTGTAATAAAACAAAACTAGAACAATTTTGTAATTTTAAAGTACATTTCACGCATTTAGTTTGTGATAATTTAAATCACAATTTCCTGATAACAAAATCAAATTAATTGATAATTTGTACGTGTGTTCGAATAAAAATTGCAAAAATATTTATTGTAGGTTGTTGAACAAAATGCTAAGCTATATTTTATATTATGCATAAAAAGGAAGGGAAAGAAAAACACCATTGTTGAAGAATCAATATTGAAATTGGAAATTGATTTTTGTAAAAGATTATACGCATGTCTTGTCACCACTAACAAAGGAAAAGGACCATTCACCAGAGACAAGGAAAGGTAATCTTCATAAAGGGGCCAAAATAAAGAAAAGGTTAACTCTCTTCCTTTCAACTACAGCAAATGGATTTTCATTAAAATAGTCCTTCAATCTTTTCAACCATTCCTAATGAAAATCTCATCTACTTATAAAGAAACACAAAAAAGGTATTTTCCCCTTAAACTTTTCAATTTCTTCATTATTGTCGTATTTTCTGGTGCATAATCTTATCCGAGAGGTTCTAAATATCAATGGGACCAGATTTATATTCAGTGTCAACTGTTTTCCTTAGCCAAGCACCGTTAGTTGGTTTGATATAATTAATTCGGTTGGATTTTTTTAAAATATGAAGTTTAAAATAATTTTACTTCTTTTTTAATTACGAGTTTATGTTTTATTAGATTTATATTTATTTATTTTATTTACATATAAATATAAGTTTGATTATTTTTATTTTTATTTTGGACTTCAATAAAAAAAATTAGTTTTTTTTTTAATTAGTTTGATAGACCTCACAATTTAGACTTAAGCACTCGAGTCGAGCTAAATAACACTGTTTTTGACACTTTTATTTTATTGTTTATTCACTCGATGAGCAAAATATCATTTATTCTGATTTTTATTATTAAATTTATTAATATTCTACAATAAAAGGAGTTATTTGTTTTTCAATCAGATCATTGAATTCACCTGAATTCGTCTCTAAAAATAAAAATCAACAATATATGAACCAAATTAGGATCGAATTTAACTAATGTAACTGAGTTTATCGAAACGAAGGTGTTTCTGAAAACAATATACTGATACAAACAATATTCAAATTGTTTTATCATGCTACCATTTAATCAAAAGGATATCTTAAATTAATAGTTATAATTATTTAAATATTTATAAAATAAAAATATTTATATATTTTAAAGATAAATTACTTATCTCTATTATGGATATTTAATATAATATTAATATTTATAATTATTTTACGTAAAAATAAAAAATATTTTCTTTATATTCAAGATGCCGTAAAAGTTATATTTAATTAAATGTCAACATGTTGTTAAAATCGTTTTATCTAAACGCGTTCTATTAATGATTTTCTTAATATTTTAATTGTATATATTTGTTTAATAATTTTTAATACTTTACAGGTATTATTGAAATTTAAAAAATAAAGGTATATTGTATAATATTTTATAAATTTTTTAAAAATAAATATTCAATTGTTGAAAAACAACATATCATAATTAATAAAATTAAATAAATAATAAATAATTTGTATATTAAAAATAATAAAATTTATATTTCAAATTTAAAATTGTAAAATCAAATAACAAATACAAAAAAAAAGTTACATGATGTAACGAGAAAAAGAATAATTTCTATTTTTTAAATTATAAAATTTCCATTAATATTTTTTAAACATTTAACACAAGTGTATTCGTCCAAAGGAGTAATTTAAATAATAAATATTTCGAAACTAAAAAAGGTCTCATTTATAAATATTTCAATCATGCAAAATAAAATAAAATATTAAAACTTAATTATATATTTTCTAAGTATCAAATTTAAGATTATAGATTAAATTGAAAAAATATATTTATTATAGATATGCAAATATTTTTATTTAAGAATGAAGTTTAGATTTACATTAAATTGAAATTAATTAAAAAAGGCAGAGTTTATATTATTAAAATCAATTTGAGGAAATGCCATTTATGATATGTCACAGCAAAATTTATAGGAAGATGGTTAAGTGACAAAGTACGTAAGAAGATATTTGATCGGTGACAAAAATAATTTCATTGGTTAGGAGAGGTATCGATGATCTAGTCCTTTTGTTTTTTTAGTGTTTTTTTTTTTTTTTTTTTTTTGTCAACATCCAATTATGTTTAGGCTGGCTCAGGCCTAATATTCACAAATGTTTTGATTTGAGATGTGAATTGGATTAGAGGCCCTTTAATGCTAGAAAAAAAGTCCCTTTGTTTTTAGTTCGTAAAATATTTATTTTATTATGTTTTCATACAACTAATAAATTTTTGGTTCCTTGTATAAGCATTTTAAATTAAAGAAAAGTTTGTGAATCATCATAAATTAAGGAAAATAACATGTATTTGCTAGTAATAATATATTTAATTTTAATGTATCATTTTCCATTCCAAGCATGTTAAGACGAGTGGTCAATTTTGGACTGAAATTGAGCGAAGCAAAACAATTAACCTATTAAAAATTGCGACTCATAACACAATTGTAGCAACTTGAGAAAATAAAAAATAAAATGGAAAGATCCATGAATAAATAATAACAATTAATTGAAGTATTGATTAGGTTAGGTTACAGAATTTACATTCCATTTGTTTGACTATGCTCGAGATACGTGCGTGGAAAGTGGAACATAAAACGAAAGTTCGAGGATGTTGCAAAGTGCCTTCCTTGCATCTACTTTTCTTCGTGTCGCTGTCCCTCATTTCTTATTATTATTCCATTCTCTTTGTGTGTGAGCAGAGACAACTACAACAACTTCGTTCTCAACCAAACCAAAGTCATGAGTGGAATGCTTCCAGGAGTTGAATGTGCTCGAAGGAGAAGGTTACATCACAGTGGAGGAGGATCCTCTTATTCACCATCCATGCCCACTCGCGATTCCACGTCACGCTCTTTCTGTTTGTATATTAGGAACCTCCAAACCCCCTTTTCGTCCTCCTCTTCAGTGGAAAGAAGCGCGTTGAACGGGGCATGCCCAGAAGAGAATCTGGGAGGAGCCGCCATGGAAGCCAAACGGAGATTGGATGAGAGGTTCACGGCGCATATGAAATCGGAAAACAAACGCTATAGCCGAAAAAGGAAATCCCTTTTTCATGCTTTGTGGCACCAATTTACATCTTAGAAGGAAAATGAAAATCCTTTTATTGTTTTCAAATAATGTTAGCATGTAAAGTGATTGAGTGTGGAGGAAGGAAGAAGAAATGAAAATCCTCTGTTTGGTCTTTTGTGAATCTTCTTTAACTTTCATGAAATTGTTGTACTCTATGGATTGTCCACTTGGTTCATTTTTGTTTCTGAACCATACACCAATTCCACTCATTCAATTCATCTCTCTATCCTTTTATTAGGAAAAAAAAGAGGCTTATTTATGTGGATTTCCATTTCTTTAAGTTTCTACTGTGTTTTCTCCTTTTAGTTTTTAGCCCCCCCCCCCCCTCCAAATACGTGTCATTTTTCAGCTGACAATAGCAGCATAACATTTAATAGAATTTATTTTTTATTAAATTTATTATTATTATTGTTATTATTTAATTTTCGTTTTGGACTAAATAGTAGTTAAAAAATAAGATAAATATATAATATATGGTTATGAGAAAATGATAAATTTATTGATAAAAAAATCAAATAAATTTTTTAAAATAAACACTGGTACATTATATATTCATAAAATATTATGAGGAAATTTAAAAGATTATATAAAAATATAATAGAAAATATTATAAACATGTTATTACAAATTTACTCAATTGATAAATGACTATAATATAGACCATAAATTTAATATTTCAAACTGAAAGCAATTTATAATGATAATTAATACAATTTAAATGCTATTAAATATCATAAATAACGAGTCAGTAATATATTTACAAAATAAATAAATTTAAAGTGTCATTTACATATTTATTTTAAATTATAATAATTGTTTTTATATCATAATGAATAGGTAATTAGTTTAATTGTTATATGTCGTTATATATGTAATTAATTAATTTATTCAAAATATTTAATTTTTTATTTTTAAATTATATTTAAATATAATTGCTTATAAATATTTTTAAACAAAACAATTTAATTAAAAATATAAACGAATTCATATCGGGGCAAGAATGCATTTAGTTTTCCGAAAACGATGCCGTTGAAACAATCGAAATAATGAACGAAACGACGACGTTGGCGCTAGGCACGTGTGTTTAACAGTTTCACCCCATTCTTCACAACGGCTAGTTTGCAGCATGAAGTGACCGTTTTAGCTCAACGCCCCGAAATTCAAAATCTGAAAACACAGACAAGGCACCCATAATTTCCGACACCATTTTCAATTCTCCAAACATCACAAAGGATTATTACTCTTTTGCCACAAAAGTAGCGTTCTCTGTAGAGAAAGCAAAAACACCTTCAACCAAAATGGTATACTCCTACTACACACCCACCTACTACTCAACCCTCCATGACTCAATCACTTCACTGTGCAAAACCATTCTTCCCTTCAGCTTCAAGAAACGATCTTTACCTGCAGCAGAGCATAAATTGTCAAAGCTACAATCAGATAACCTTAAGTGGCAGCAAGACTCTTTCCACCAAGTGTTGAACCTGATGGGTCTTCACAAAGAAGGGATTGTGCCTGAAACTGAGGTTTCAGCTTTCAGAATTCACATGCTTGAGACCCTTATTGCTTCTCCTCCTGAACAAGAACATCCTGTCATATTAAGAGATAAACTTCTCTTTCTACAGGTCAGTGTCATTCGCCTCAATTTTCAGGCTCAGAATACTTCAACAATGTTGTTTAACTCGTGCAATATTGGATTATATAATTTTTATTAAAATTTTGTTATATATAATTTTTTATTACGATGTTGGGCAGGTTAGAAAAAGGGTTTCTAACAATTTTAATTTTTTTGGCTTTGTTGGTTTCAAATTTTAACCTTGCCAGGAACTCCTTTATGCCAAGTGCATTTCTGAAGAAGAGTATCATTCTTCTAAAAGGCCATTGCTTCAAAGATTAGCAGTTCAAGGGGCTCAGATTGAGGCAAGAGATGTGATCGTGGCAAGGCCTAAAGACCTAAAAGAGAATTCAGAAGAAGAGTGGTCAGTGATTGATTTGAAGGATGAGAAGGTGAACAAAGAGAACTTGAGTTCTAAGAGCAAATCCAATCAGGGATCAGCTATGAAGCAGATTAAAGAAGCAGCCTCGGTTTTTAGCTTTGTCTCTTCTTACAAACCAGGGAAAAATGGGACAGAAAAGAGCATATTTGATTCACCTTCTCCGTGTACCAGAAACGAATTGGGACATTCAAAGGAAAACCCCTTCTGGGATGTTCAGTCAAAGGGAAAACAAAGTGAAGGAAGATCAATTCTTATGGAGGAAAGTGGGCCTCCAAAACCCATGAAGGAAAGTAGTGGTTTGGACAAGTTGAAGAGAAAACCATTTAGGACTTTGTTTTATAATAAGGAGCACAGAGAGGGAGATGGTGAAGGCCTTGACCCAGATCAAAGATCAGGGAAATCAGCTAAGAAACATTGGGGGTTTGAAGGGTTCAAGAAATGGAAGAGAAATGAGTCAGATGATGAGACAGCTCCTTTGCCTCTTACTGAAAGGTCTGATAGTGAGGCCTATTTGGCTTCCTCTCAGCCTTCTGCAAGGACATTTGGAGAGGGACCTGACACCAAGTTAATAAAGAAGAAGTTGCATTCTGATGGTTCCCCATCTGATTTTTTCATAGACAAGGTTTTAGATCCTTCATCTATTTCAATTTTTTAGTTTGCTTTTTCAAAAAAAAAAAAAAAAAAAGAAGAAAGATTTGTGCTACTTGTGGACATGTTGAGCAAAATATTTGTGCATTACAACTAGGTTTTGGGGGACAAGATAAAGAAGGAGTTGGCAAGAATCCAGACAGAACTTAGCAGCACAAACCCCAATCTTAAATTTTCGTAAGTATTTTCTGGTCGGGTTTACTAAGATCAATCCTTCAAGCTAATTTTAAGCATATGAAAATATTAAGTTTTTATTAAAGATAAGTATTTGTTATTACCCTTTTATACTTTTGATATAAATACTTATTTTTCAATAAAAGTTCGCTAGTTTTGAATTTTTAAAATCGTATCTTCTTGACATTTTCCTTAGTTATAGCATAATTTGCATTAAAAATTTGATACTAGCAGTTTGATTTTGTTGTGTACAAACAGGAGTGATCAGATTGAAGCAATTTCAACCAGAATTCCAGTGGACAAGGCCGAGTTGAAAAATTACTTTCCCAAGTGAGTCAACAAAACTTCTCTTAATTTCATATATGTATTCATTCCGTTATCAGTGTTTTTTAGTTAGTGTTGCTTATGGTGTTTTTTCATACATGTCAACTATATTTGAATGAAGATCGTGGTGTGACCGGTACGGTGATGTTGTGCTGGATGTGGTGAAAAAAGAATTCAAAGACCATGTTGCAGAAATGGAAAACATGCGCAACATTGCTAGAGAGAAACATGGCAACTCAAAGCGGTGGACAACAACATTTGAGGATAACGAAAACATCCATCCAAACCTTTTTGTTAATCATGATAATTCACTTCGTAGCAGTAACATCAACCCATTTTCTCATGGTTACTAAGCTGAGGTCTGGATCAGCTTCCACTAGGAAATCCTTCCGTATAACGTGTTAAGTTTATATCAATTATTCTTCCACTAGGACTTGTAATTAGTAATTACTGTCTGAATTATCGATGATGATCCTACTTTCTTTATATCAATTATTCTTCCATTCTTCAAACATTTATAGTGATAAATCAGCTTTCTTCTTCATTTTGTCACCTAACAATTTTTTCAAATTTAACGTTTGTTTAAAAAGCGTCATTGCACATTTTGTAACTTGATTCATTTCACACATGAATCCATGTAAAGTGAGCATGTTTAAGTTTAACGTTGTAACCAGTAAAAAGCCATTGCACACTTTTAAAGCCACCAAGGAGAGTACCGTTGAACTCTTCGAATCGTCTCTTCATTTCCTTAGTCATTATTTTTGCTCCTTCAATGGTCCAACATAATTATTACTTGATGTTTCCTAAATCATCAGAACATGCACTATAACAAAACCTGTTTGACGTAAGATGATCATGAAATGGATTCAGCCATGGACAAAGCACTAAAACAAAACCACACACTTCCATTCCATATATACTTACACCATGTTTGCGCATTGAGAATACAAGGGAACATTTCGTATGTAAGATCTTGTTTTTTTCTTAAGAATTATATTTCCTAAGAATCATGATTTGATAACTTTATAAATGTTTTAACAAAATCCTCCAGAATATTTTCATGAGTACTAACAAAAAAATTCGACCTTAACAAGAATCTTTTATTGGAACGTACAGTTATTTTTATTAAATATTTAATATTGATATTGAGCATGACAAGTCTATTATTCACAATTTAAGATTCTTATTTTAAAAAAAATTGAACGAAACATTCCTTCAGAGAAATAGAGGCAGGAATCAAGTGGGCAAGTCCCCTTATTTGCCACAAGGGAGGATAAAATTCGAAAATCATTTACATGTCCAAGTTCCCTGTTGGGGTTGAATGAAGGAAAATTAAATGAAATTCCAATTTATTTCTTTACTCTTACCTCTTTTCATGTTCTTTTTTTGTTTCTTTACAATTCATGTTGCTTCCTTTCATCTCATTAATGGAAAAAAAAAACATAATATTAGTGTCTGTTTGGGAAGATATTATTTTTTAAAAATAAACTTTTATTGTCTAGAAGTTCTCTCCAAAAGCTAATAAAAATATGCAATTATTTTCCAGAATAAGTTGAACTAAACACTTTCTAATTATCACTTTTGGCTATTCAAAGATACACCTCAAAGATTTGTTATGTCAAAATAGTCCTTGAAAAAATTTAAGTGACATCAAAATAGTCTTTCAGTAAACTCATGTGACATTAGTTTACACCATTTTGATGACACAAATATTTGAAAGACCAATTTGATGTCAAGTGTATCTTTAGAGGACCCAAGAGGGAGTTTAGTCTGAATTTTAATATTTACATTCCTATATACAATGTCAATGAGACGGCACTTCTGAGTGGGCAGAAGACTCTGTGAACCCTCCACAAACATTGCCACGACAAAGAGGACATACACTGTAAAAGAGAAAAGCAGAATAAGTAGTTATTTATAAAATGATAACTGCAAAACATGAAAAGAATGAGAAAAAATGACGAGTTTTGGTTCTAATGACAGTACCCATGTATTTCTTTAAGCCACTTATCGACACACGACATGTGGTATTCATGATTGCAAGGAAGAACTCGTATTTGGTCCCCTTCTTCATACTCTGCCAGACATATGTAACATCTACCAAAATGATAATTACTGGTTAATAATATTGGAAAAAAGAACAACTTTGAACGGCTAAATAAATAACGACTTTCATGTAAGCGTTCAAGGCCATAACAAACTATCATAACCACACCGACATTGAGTAACATGTTTAGATTGACTTCAAACATCAATTCATTCTAAAACTACAAGTTATAATTTTTACGTTTAAAAGGTGGTTTAATGTGTTTTTATGGGGATTTAAACTTGACTTTGAATGAACTTGATTTTATAAAATTGGTTTCACTTAAAAATACTTTTAAAGTGATAGAATTTATGTTTGAAACTTTTTTCTTAAAAGTAAGTTTGTAACAAAACAATATAAATTTTCAACGTAAATGGAACAATTTATCACAATTCAAATGGGAGTTTGAAAGTAAAATTAATTTTAGTCAAAAGCAACCAAATGTCAAAATTTTCTGCAGAATTACGTTACAATGAAATGAACGTGATTTTGTAACATTTTACCGTGAACCCAAACATGCAAATCCAATGACTAACTAACCATAAGCACAGTGACACGTCTAATGACAATATTCACGCCCACCTATATGCTCAAGATAATTGGGATTAGGAGACTTACTGTTCAGTATCATTGCCTCCATCAGCTGTATCAACCTTTTTGTGAGATTTCAGAGGGAAGGAGTCCACAATTGATTCAGGTGCAGGGAGCGAGACCATGGATAGAGAAAGTGATACAGGTTGCCGATGGATTTCATCTAAAACCTGCATAGGAAAAATGTGGCAATGCGTGAATTGGTTTTGGTCCATACTTAGTCCACTAGCAAAGTACACGGCCATTTTGAGCCAAATGACTGTGCCTAGACAGGCAATTTACAGGAAACCAGAAAACAATTGATTCAAATCAATTATTATATGAAAAGCAGAAGTCTTCACGCACAAAACATCTGTACCTGACGTAATAAGGCAATGCCTACCACCATTTTATTATCTGAGTTGAAGGCTTTCCACTTAAGGTACAATTTTATTAAGAGTTAAGACACTTAAAAATATCAAACAATCGCAGCTAGATTTTACATCTTACTAAATGTAAAGAAATTATTACATGAGAAATACTGCAGACAATAAAAAAGGATATAAGGTTAAGAATATGAAGACCACTTTACAGAGGTGAATATTATGATAAACCCAATCAAGCCTGGGTGTTCATGATGACAAGAACTAAAGCAATTTAGAACATAAAATAGAACAACATCCTAAATTATTTGATCATTTATTCTACTAGAAATTTCTGTATATCCATTCTTAATTTGCAGAATAGGGGGAATGGCATACCCCATCCTAAAAGGTCTCCAAACATTAGATGACATCTAAGCACTACAAATCATTACCATAACTACATAAGGATTAAAGGAATAAGAGTCGTTTTTTTCTTACAGAAATCACCTGATTAAAGCAGACCAAAATTATAGTTAAAATGGCCTAACTTAATCATGAAATCCAAAATCAGATATCCAATGATCAGGAAATATGAGACTGTAGAAAAGAGGATGAAAAACAAATCTATTAGAGCATCTGCACTCAGAACTCTCTTATCCAATAAGCACGCTACCCTATCGATGGTATTATAGTTAGATTTCACCAACTAACGGCAAGAATCAAATGTAAACTAAATTCATAAAATATAAAGCAAAAGATTATGACAAACTTTAAATTGTGCAAGAAAAAATTAGGACAATGGTGAAAGCTAAATTGAATTAAAGCTAGGAGCAAGCAGAAAAGGTATGACATTTGAGAGAAGGTTGCAACCTCAAACAGAGCCTCAGCTAGCATGACTATTCTTGAAATACTTGCTCTGGTGCTAGACTCCTCAGCCATTGGGGAAGACTCACATGAGCACATATCATCTGCATGGAGTCCTAATGGACATGAAGAATTCCACCGACCAATCTCATCAAAGCCACCACGAAGCCTTTCCCAGATCTAGAAAAACCAATTAAACAGCTTGAGTAACATTAAGGGAATCACAAACACAATTAACAAAAGCAAGTAGGTGACATAAGCAATTCAAATGATTCTATACACATAATTTTCAGAATCACCTCAGATCTTGAGTGCTGCATTCGTTCATTCCATCTGTGAATTCTACTGCCCATATATCCAGAAGCACCTCCAACCCCATCATTTGACAAATCACCACCAAAATCAACCATCCATCGATCCATCGATCCTGGATCATCAGCACCTCCAGTGGAGAAGACAATGGTTGGAGAATCACCAAGCCTTCTAGAACTACGTCGTGAAAAAGCATCCCAAAATAACCTTCTACCATTCCTTCTGGCATCATGATCATTGGCATCAGCATTGCTCCCAGACAAAATGTTGGAAGATATAGTGACCACATCAACTTGAAGCACACTGTCATTTCCCTGCCCTCTTTCACGATTGGACACAAGAATACCTAAACCAGAAGGTATTGTCTCGCGACGGAGTTCATCTTCTGGAACTTGAGAAGTTGCTGCTAAGTTTGAAAGTTGAGCAACGGGATTGGAAGACGAATTCTGGATAGATATGAATGAACTAGTTTGATTCTCAACAGAAATTTCACCAGAACTTGAATTCCCATGCACTTGAGGGGTTGAACTTCTTGGAAGCGTTGTCTCAAGAGAGAATTGAGAGGTGCCACTAACCACTGGATCATCAACATCATTGACTGCATCCTTGTTAGCAGAAACATTTACAGAGACCGGATCTGAAGACTGCTGTTGTACAAATGAAGTACTAGCTGCATTGCTACTATCACTATATGATTCATGACCACTATGACCAACACTTACCTTAAAAAGAGGGACTAGCTCCTTACGTTCAGACAAGAGCTCTCTCTGACTACCTGTTGAAACATTTAAGGAAGAACCTTCACCAGTAGTATTACCGTATAACTCATTTCTAATATCAGGGGAGGTTGAAGTTTCAGCACGGGGACCAAAGCTAACTCTAGCTTCTGTACGTGATAAAGATGATTCCTCAATGTCTTTCTGAATTTCACCATCAAATTCTCTTGCTGAATCAACCTGAAATTCAGATGAACGTTCTTCCATCTAAAAACACAATATAAGATTGTCACTTCCTGTATCTATCACTCTCTGAGTATTTATTTAATGCAACATGTGTGAGACCAGTAGAAATAACATGGCTTGTGCATAGAATTTCAAGTCATACTCATAAATTGTTTTCCTCGCGAGAGTAGTCAACAAGTTAAGAGCAGATATGATTTTTTATATGCATCGTTGTATAGATGTGAGATGCATAAAATCATACACCTACATGCCTCCAAAAATTTAGGCAGATCAATAGAAAGTAAAGGAGTGCCACTACCAGCCAGTGAATGGAGAAAGAGTTGAATTCAAAAGCTTATAAATTGTGATATTTTAATTTCTCAAGATGTTCGAGATTCGAACCATTCCCTGAATCAATCAAATCAACTTGGGAGATACAATAACAATACGCTAAATCCCATATTTCCGACAAAGAACGATAACATAAACATCAGCAGATAATTTCATTGACTAAGCTCATATGCTATGAGTCAAACCGGATTAATCATTAATCAATTAAAAAATTGTCAGATTCTAAAAACTCCATCAACTATGATAATCACTACAGCCCATAAACTGCAAACAAGTTCATGTACGTAAGATGATCTACCACAACCAATTCAAAAAAGAAGAAGAAGAAATCAATTAGTTTATCAAAAAGCCTATACTTTTACAAAATAGCCATCCATAACTATAAGCCAAGTTCGAATGATTGACCCTTCAAAAAATTAAATTTGCACATCAATTTCAAAGAAGAAAGGGCTACCAGGTTTAAAAGCAACAGACTACATACGTTTTATCCTCGTCCATGAGATAAAAAAGGGGATCGGATGGATCAACCCCAGATGATAAAAATCAAATTTTTGAATTGAAAAAATGTCCATGAGCATGAAAAACGAAATGGGTATTGAGGAAAAAGGACATAACAAGGGATTTGAAGGAAAGAGAGAAAAGGGCACCTGGCAAATGGAACGAGAAGTGGAGGTGCCACATAGAAGAGATGATAAACTGAAGCGGTTGACCCTCGGAGAAGAAGGGCGAGAACCAAGTCGACTTGAAGCCGAACCCATGTCTTGGAGAGAGAAGAGAAGATGAGAGGCACACAACACAAGTAGATATGAGATGTGGATGCCTGTGAACGCTTATTGTTATTGCTTGATGACAATGGAAAGCATACCAACTTGGAGCTTTTCTTCAATTTCAATTATTTCTCAACTTTCTTTCATTTGAGGCAACAAATTCAAACAGTGCATGCAGTGTTTTTCTTTTCTTAACGTCTTTGCCTTTTTAATTTTACCATTTTCTTTTTTTCTAATGAATTCAAACAGTTTCAAATAGTATATTACCTGACACCGTTAGGTTTAAAGAAGAATGTGAAAAAAAATTAATGACATTTTTGACCGGACCAAAATGGATATAACATGAGGAAATGAGGAATGAGGTGCTTTATTTACGTTGGACTATGTTTGGCTTAGAAGGAAAAGTAAAAAGAAATAGCCAAATATTATTAAGAGAAGACAGTTTGGAGAATCATCAAATTGAATCCACAACAGCTCATACCAAATAAAATTCTCCTGTGTTTTTTGTTTTCTTTTATATAATAAGGGTTAGGTGTGGTGGGCAATATTAGGAGATCGATGATAATGGAGCATAATAATTGCCACAGTGGTCAAAACACAGTTGTTTAGCTTCAATCAAAATGGAGTTATTTGGAGACAAACAACAACACGATACTACTTCCTATGTGCGAAACAAGACGATGTTGTATACGGGACACCATTGACTTTGTCGATTAATATATTTGTCCGTTTCTTCTTTTTACCGTAAACAAAGCATTCGTGTCACTTTATTTCAATTAAATTGGGTACAACGTCGCATTTTCTTTTGTAATTTATTCAAGAAACGTAACAAAAATGATCACTGATTTTTTTTATCTTTTTACTTTTTCCCTTTGTCCTTGTTTAAAAACTATCTTCTTCAATCCACAAAAGAAAAAAAAAAAAAAGTTTATGTTACTGTTCAGAACTCGAGGTTTACCTTATAGCTAAATGGCCAAAGATAATTTGGGTCATATGATGAACGCTAATGATATATTTAGCCATTTACTTCAATAAGCTAATTTAGTTGTAAAATAAATTGATGCAAATTAATTTAACTTAATTTTTTGTGGGTTAGAATAAAAAAGTTTATCATATAAAAAGTTCGTAATACCAAAAAACCTACAAGATTAAACAAGTTAATATTAATTAATGAACTGATTATTTTTAAAAAGTAATTATAATTTATTAAAAAAATATTTATACAATTTTTTTTACTCTAAATTTATAGATAAATAAGATTACTTAATAAATAAATAAATAAATTTATATAATATTAAATTTTTAGATTAAATAATTGTTATTAAACTATTACATAAATTTAATAATTTATTATCAAATTAAGTTAGATATTTGTTGAACTTTTTGTTTGTATTATAATAATGACTAATTTATAATAAAAAATTGTATTCATATAATTTTATAAATAAATATTTTTTTTAGTATATTATTTTATAATTTTATTTAAGGATTAATTATGAAAATTTTTACATTATTATTACATGTTCAATAAATATTTTTAATATTATAATAAAAAACAAAATTAACAACAAAAGTATTACAAATTAAATTTGTCAAGTTATATGTTATTATTAAAATAATTTAAATATTTTATTTAAATAAAATTTAATGAGTTAAAAATATTAAATAAAATTCTGTCATTATAAAAATTATACAATGTAATATTTAATACTGTAAAATTTATAGATAGATGTAAATAAGTTATAGACTTAACAAAAAATTAATAAATATTTGCAAATTTATAATTTATGTATATTATTAAAATAAAATAATTTAATTAAAATAATAAATATATATTTTAAAAAACTAACATAATAATTATTAATTACTTAAACAAAATCAAACAACTTGCTTTTTAAAATAGCTTCATATTTGTGCGCCGACTCAGTTATAGCATGCTACGTGTTGTTTTCGTTCTTGTATCACACTAATCATGGTCCTGCAAAAATATTTGTTAATGAATTATAAAATTAAAAACTTAATAAACACATGTAGTGTATAACAAAACAAAAAATTAAAATGTTTTTTATTCAACATTTGTTTTTGCATTTTTAACAAGTGATAGAAACGTGTTCCACGTCATTGATGTGGTTTTTTCTTCCTTTGAGATTAAGTTATTTTAGCAACGACTCTAACTATTAAGTTTTTATAAATATTAAGTTTTATTAATTTAACTATTGAATAATATTTCATGTTTATGATAATAATATTTTTTTAAAATTTAGATAGATTGAAATTTTTTAAATATGTAATTTTATTATTGATATTTGATTATATTTTAAATTTTTTTATTAAATATTATAATAAATATATAAAATAATTGTAAATTAGTTTTTGAAACTCGTTTGAATTCCACACCTGTTATGAATGTTAGTTACCCAACTACCAAAAATATACATGGACATTGACTAGTAGATTGTTGAAGACAAGGGTTCATTTACTTCTCTAGTGTATTGTAGAAAGCATAGGCTTAAATTCCTCCATCACTAACTATATTTCAATAACGTAGAAGGCCACTTGTTCATCATTTCAAGAACAGAGAGAAAGCAGCAATCAACATGCACAATCCACCACCACCAGGTGGCCCAGGCCCACGCCACCACCCCGGGCCACCAGGGCCCCCACATACTGGGCCTGCTCCGCCACCTCCAGCTGCAGCAGCACCTCCACCTCCTGGACCCCGACCACTTCCTCCTGGGCCTCCTGGGCCACCCGGGCCTCCACACCACCATCGCCACTGATGTTATAAACTTGAGTACATTGATAATTATCGCGTGTATCCATGAATATGTGTTGTTGAATGTTTTAGTGCTTTTGAACTCTTTATCCATTACAACGCCAAAATCGTAGGTTTAGTGCCACTTTACGCTTCATAGTTCCACCACTGTCAATATTTATCATATATCTCTCGTGTGATATACTTTTATGTTGTGTATATCGCTTGAATAATAAATAAAGGGATATGCTTTCTATGTATATAGTTGCATTAAATATATTGATCTCCGAATTGCATGTAGGAAATTATAAAAACGGTGCTACGTATGATTCTGACTTTTGAGTTTAATTATGGTAAGTTGTTGTATGTACCTGGAATGTTTGATACCGTGATATGCATCATGTTGTGAAAGAGGACAACTGGCGTAATAACATGGGCAACGATGCTTGTCAACAATCATCATGATCAACAATGGTAGATAATGCGGCGATTATTATTATTCTGGAAGTGAAGGGCACAACAAATTTTAAGAACTCATACCAAACTACAATTTTTTAGTCTGTCTATTTTAATCTTTCTCTGGGAATGCATGTATCTGTGAAATGGGAGCTCTAGCTAGGTTTCATTTTTGCGAGTCTGGATTTTACACATTCAACTATTAACGTGATATGCGCAAGCTAAACCAAATTGTTGATAAAGTTTAAACATTAATATGACCATTGATTCGTCTTCAAGTTAAACAGATCTATCTCTAATAATATTTTTCTGGTACAATAGGGGTGTACAAAACATTATAACACGAGAGAAATAGAAAAAGAAAAGAAAAGAGAGCAAGATAAATGTCTCATGTGATGGAAAAAAAGACTGCATTGTAAGAAAATTTTGTATAACGAGTTTCTAATGTTCATTTTGTGTCAAAATACTATTGCAACGCTCATTCCTTGGATTAGTTTTAAGATAAACATTAGCAATAAAAATGTTAAATCACCTAAAAGACTTTTTTTTTTTTACTAAAGCGATACAAATTTTGTGTGTCAACTGGTAAATTTGTTCATCTCTCATGCGTATTAGTCATGCCATTATTTCTTTCAATATCCTCTAATCAGTAATACGCTCTCGAAATAATGTGTGAAACTCAATAAATTAAAAAAAAACGATTTTATGAATTATAATTAGTTAAAATTAAATAATAAAAACATGTTAAAACTTTTTTAAATTCTACTATTTATTAACAACGGATTTGAATAATTTTTGCGTTGATTATTCAATTTTTAGTGTCGTAACTATTTAAAAGATTCAGTTTCATCAATTTTCCTTTCAACAAATCACTTTGATTATTATTAAAATTATAATTCTTGAATGTTCACATGGTGCCTACCGTGGGCCGTAGCCTGTATCCATTGGGCCTGGGCCAGCCCATTTGAAATGTGATCTCCCCCACCGTCTAGTCCCTTGGTTTCTCGTTACCCTAAAACCCCTCTCTGCTCAAAACGACGGTGAGAGCAATTCCCGCTTCTTCTCTCGCGCTTTCCACACTCCACATTCCAACATGGACGATAGCTTATACGACGAGTTCGGCAACTACATCGGCCCCGAAATCGACTCCGACCAAGACTCCGACCGAGATGCCGACGCCGACGACAACGACGACGAGCCCCACGACGCAGACGCTCAATCGGACGGCGAAGGTCCAAGCAACGGATGGATCACAACAGCCTCCAACGACGTGGACATGGTGGACAACCAAGTAGTCCTCGCGGAGGACAAGAAGTACTACCCCACCGCCGAAGAGGTTTACGGCGAAGACGTCGAAACCCTAGTTATGGACGAAGATGAACAACCCCTGGAGCAACCGATTATCAAGCCAGTGAGGAACATAAAATTCGAGGTTGGAGTGAAGGACTCTTCCACGTACGTTTCCTCGCAGTTCTTACTTGGCCTCATGTCGAACCCTACTCTCGTGAGGAATGTTGCTCTTGTAGGGCACTTGCAGCATGGGAAGACTGTGTTCATGGACATGCTGGTGGAGCAGACGCACCACATGTCCACTTTCGATTCCCAGAGTGAGAAGCACACGCGCTACACTGATACTAGGATCGATGAACAAGAGAGGAGGATTTCGATTAAGGCTGTTCCAATGTCACTTGTGCTTGAAGATAGCAATTCTAAGTCTTATTTGTGTAATATTATGGATACACCTGGTCATGTTAATTTTTCTGATGAAATGACTGCTGCTTTGAGGCTTGCAGATGGTGCTGTTTTGATTGTTGACGCTGCTGAAGGAGTGATGGTATTGCATTACATGTGATTTCATTTTTGTTAATGCTTGTTGATTGCAGCTGTAGAAGCATCGAGTTTTTTAGTTCAACTTATTGTGATTTGTAGGTAAACACTGAGAGGGCTATACGCCATGCCATTCAGGAGAGACTGCCTATTGTTGTTGTAATCAATAAGGTAAGTGATTTCTTGTTGTTAACGTTAAGGGAGAGTTTGAGTTGTGATCTTATTGTTGAATGCTTTGGTTTTAGGTTGACAGGCTCATAACTGAACTTAAATTGCCGCCCAAGGATGCTTATCATAAACTGAGGCATACTTTGGAAGTTATTAATACCCACATATCTGCTGCTTCCTCAATTGCTGGTGATGTTCAAGTTGTGGATCCGGTTGCTGGGAATGTTTGTTTTGCTAGTGCCACTGCTGGATGGTCATTTACGTTGCAATCATTCGCTAAATTGTATGGGAAGCTGCATGGGATTCCTTTGGAAGCTAATAAGTTTGCTTCTCGTCTTTGGGGAGACTACTATTTTCACCCAGATACCAGAGCCTTCAAGAAGAAACCCCCTGCCAGTGGTGGGGAACGATCTTTTGTTGAGTTTGTGCTGGAGCCGCTTTACAAGATATATAGCCAAGTTATCGGGGAGCATAAAAAGAGTGTTGAGACGACACTTGCTGAACTTGGAGTCACTCTGAGTAATGCAGCTTATAGATTAAATGTTAGGCCCTTGCTAAGGCTGGCTTGTAGCTCAGTTTTTGGTCCAGCTTCAGGTTTCACTGACATGCTTGTCCAGCATATACCTTCACCAAGGGAAGCTGCAATTAAGAAAGTTGATCATACGTATACTGGGCCTAAGGACTCATCTATTTACAAAGCCATGGCACAATGCGATTCTTCTGGCCCCCTAATGGTTAATGTGACTAAATTGTATCCAAAATCTGATTGCAGTGTGTTTGATGCATTTGGTAGAGTTTATAGTGGCAAGATACAGACAGGACAGACCGTACGTGTTCTTGGAGAAGGATACTCACCAGATGACGAGGAAGACATGACTATAAAAGAAGTAACAAAGTTGTGGGTGTATCAAGCTCGCGATAGGATGCCAATAGCTGAGGCTCCTCCTGGTTCTTGGGTTCTAATTGAAGGTGTGGATGCTTCAATCATGAAAACTGCCACCCTTTGTAATGTTGATTATGATGAGGATGTATATATATTCAGGCCTCTTCAGTTCAATACTCTCTCAGTAGTAAAAACAGCTACTGAACCATTGAATCCAAGTGAGTTGCCAAAAATGGTGGAGGGCCTGAGGAAAATAAGCAAGAGTTATCCTCTTGCAGTTACTAAAGTTGAGGAGTCTGGGGAACACACTATATTGGGGACTGGTGAGCTGTACTTGGATTCAATTATGAAGGACCTAAGAGAGCTTTATTCTGAAGTAGAAGTCAAGGTTATCTACTGTTTCCCCTATCTAGTTCTTCACTCATTTACTTTTGGTTCTCTTTTGGGTTAGACATTGACTTAAAGGTGAAGCTGTTTCTTTGCTGAACATTATCCTTTCCTTTGCTTTTGTAGGTAGCAGATCCTGTTGTCTCATTTTGTGAAACTGTTGTTGAATCTTCATCAATGAAATGTTTTGCCGAAACACCAAACAAGAAGAATAAAATAACTATGGTAGGTAAATGGCTTTGTTCAAGAATACCTTTTTATCTGAGTTTGATCATTATTCTCATCACTCATGGTAACCTTGATCATTCTTTAGATTGCTGAGCCATTAGAAAGAGGTCTTGCAGAGGACATAGAGAATGGTGTTGTTAGCACTGACTGGAATAGAAAGAAACTAGGTGAATTCTTTCAGACTAAGTATGACTGGGATCTGCTTGCTGCACGATCTATCTGGGCATTTGGCCCTGATAAGCAGGTAAATCTCTCAATGGGTGTACTTTTCTCTGTCTCTACCAAGCTCTGTGTAACATCTACAAGTATAATGCAGGGCCCCAATATTTTGTTAGATGATACCCTACCAACTGAAGTTGACAAGAGTCTGCTGAATGCTGTGAAGGATTCCATTGTTCAGGGGTAAACATGCAATACTTTGAATTGTTTATATATTTATTGATTAATTGGTTGTGCATTGATTATGAGCTTTAATGTCATTTGACAGATTTCAGTGGGGTGCACGAGAAGGACCTCTGTGTGATGAGCCAATCAGAAATGTTAAGTTCAAGATTGTTGATGCAAGGATTGCCCCTGAACCACTTCATCGGGGATCTGGCCAGATCATTCCAACCGCAAGACGGGTGGCCTATTCAGCTTTCCTTATGGCTACCCCCCGGCTTATGGAACCAGTATATTACGTAGAGGTACATACTAGCTAAACTTCAGTGTTGGTTGCATATCAAATTTGATTGTAATCATTTATGGTATCTATCATTTTGACCAATTGACAATTGTGTAAAGACCTGTGTATGACCTAATAAGCTGAACACTTAATTTTAATTAATGATCAAATCTAATATGTCAGGAATAATAGAATTTTTGTGGAAACTAATAAAACAATTATTTTTTATTTCCTCTAATTTTAGAGTCTTGAGAACAATAATGTTATTATTTTCACTGATTCTTGCTTGGGTAGTGATGTTATTCTTCTGGCCTTTGCATCAGATTCAAACACCAATAGATTGTGTATCTGCAATCTACACTGTATTATCTCGTAGGCGTGGACATGTTACTGCTGATGTTCCTCAACCAGGCACACCGGCTTACATTGTTAAGGTTGGTGGCTAACATTTACCTATAAACTTTTTTAATGGATGTTGCCTCCTCAGACTGCCATGTTTTTAAGATATCGAGTACAAGCTTGAGTATGTACATCATAAATTTGATTTGCTGACTTTGTTCACCAATTATCTCAGGCATTTCTGCCTGTGATAGAATCATTTGGTTTTGAGACAGATTTGAGATACCATACACAAGGTCAAGCATTTTGCCTGTCAGTTTTTGATCATTGGGCTATTGTTCCTGGAGATCCTCTGGACAAAAACATTGTTTTGCGCCCTCTTGAACCAGCACCAATCCAGCATCTTGCCCGTGAGTTTATGGTAAAGACAAGGCGTAGAAAGGTACTGCCGTTTCCTTCTTATTTTTAGGACTCACTAACTTTCATAAAATTCTACTATTTTTTTATTTAAAATTTTTTCCTCAGACAGAGGTCTTATGAAAATGGTATTCCACATTTATGTTGAAACCTTTATAGTAATTATTTGCTTTTGTGAGAAAGAAAAGTGAAATAGAAAGAATATCTCTTTAAAGTTGTAGACAATCATGCAAAGTTGAAGTTAGAGGAATGCTACAGCGAATATTTGTGAAATATCTGGGGGAAGAGCATCTCTGTTTAGTTGCGACTGCAAAGCATTTAATACACAATACTCTTGCATTAAATCTTGCAGGGAATGAGTGAGGATGTAAGCATAAGTAAGTTCTTTGATGAGGCTATGGTGGTGGAACTGGCACAGCAGGCAGCGGACCTTCATCAACAAATGATGTGATTTTGTGTAAAAGCTTCTGTCCGATTTGATCTTCCTTTCATGCCTTTCTTCAGAAGTTCGGGCCTTCAAGCCGGTCCCATTATATGCGATGCAAGCTAAGTTATAAGTGCTTTGCTTTGCTTTGCGAGTTGCAGGATTTGGCGCAGCTATTTCGCGAACTGGGTCACTTCCTATGCTATTGAAATAGAGTAGTCTTTTGTATCTGTAATTCTTTGTTTATGATGATATTGATCGTGTAGTAGTACTAACATGTTTCTCTTTTTTCCTCGCCATATTACGGAAATTGTACAATGATTGTATTTTTAACGCCTGCATAGTGCATACTCTATAGGTTCAACAAAATTCTACTTTTAATGAAGTCAGTGAAACCACATAATGCACAGAAGCCGCAAAACACATTTGATAATTTAGTCCGGGCCCGTAATTTTGCAGATGGTAGAGGCGTGTCTAATGTGTCATTGATTGAGATTTGCTGAAAAAGCTCTCGATGTTTATATCGCTTTCTCACTAATAGCTGATGGTTAATACAAATGTACAAGCACATGATTCGTTTTCATCAAGCCATTCAGCAACTGTCAATGATGTAACCTTTTTTTGCACCTCTTATTGGAAAATAACTCGCCCACCTATTTCCGGGTTATACTCGCGTGATAGACTAGTCTTCACGGCGCGTCAATTTATGCTGGCTTTCTATGTTTACCTTCAAGACCGCTTTGTGATTAGGCCGTAGATTTTATCTTATTTTTATCATGATTGGAGGCTTTGATAATCATACATAAGAGCATTTTGGAAAATTTGCATGAACAGAATAATGCAAGTTTAATGATTTTTTGTAATGCCATTCACGTTATCCATCGAAATCAAAAGGAAAGTCACGTTCCAAATGTGGCCTGGAAATTTTCAGCTCCGTACTATCATTCCTGTTTACCTATTTTGATAAAATAAAACCATCAAGGACAAAAAGATATACATAGAAGTTTCAGTAAGAAGCTTCACCGTAAAACAAAGAAAACAGTAGGAGCACAATACAATGATGTGCACACAAATGACATTGTACATAATATGGACAAGTCATGCCTCTCACTTTCCCAACAACAATGGGAAAAATAATTATACGATTTTATGATGGTATTAATGTTCCTTACTTCTATCCCCTCAGGGATAAGTGACAAGAGGAAGCAGGAAAACACTTATTTTCAGTGTCAGAGATGAATTTATGTACACAATCTTAGCCCAAAAAAATAATGTCTTGTAGACAAGAATGCTCTATCCTTCTAGAAAGCATTTAATATTTTGAAGTCCCTCAGCAGATATACTTCTTCTAAATTTAGGCCTTTCTACAACTACTGAAGGTGGTGGATCTGAGTGAAAACATATCATAACTACTGTCAAGTTGTCTGTTGCTCCTCTCTTTATTGCTTCTCCTGTTATCTCCTTGCAACACTGGTTCACATCATTGTGCTCTTGAAGCCTCCTTCTAGCAAAGTCTACAGCATTTTGGCTGCGAAAAACATCCCATATACCATCACTGCCAATTATCAAAAACTCATCTTCTTTGGTCAACGTCATCAATTTGAGTTCAGGTTCAGCACTCAATGGTCCATCCTTTCCGTTCATCTCCTTCATTCCTTCAAGATGCCAGTCACCTAGAGCACGAGTGACGCCTAACTGCCCATTCAGGTAATCATCATCAATGAATCCACCCAGGGACAAAATTCTCATTCTTTCTTTATTGCACAATGGCCTATGATCTGTGGACATTTCTATGGCCCCTCCACCACGTGACAATACAGCACGGCAGTCTCCTGCATTGGCTACAAGTAAAGTCCTATACACAAGATAATGAAATTCTCATTTAAAGCACTGAAATAGCTTCATCAAATGTCCATTCAAAATAATTCAGCGAGATGCTATGGTTCAATCTTTATGCAAGTCGTGCGCTATTAGGCACTGCATCTAACATCAAGGTCAGTGTGTCATTTTACAAATATGAGCTTTGAAGTTTATGCTGTGGTTATAAAGACCAGAAAACAGCGGAAACAAGCGCTCACCTTCCAAATATAATTGCTGTCAGTGCGGTTGTACCAGAAGACAGGGAAGACTCGATAGAACATGTTCTTGCAAATTCTGCATCAGTCTCCAAAAATGACCTTGTGACAACCTTTTCAAGTTCCAAAGGGAAGTCAACATCCTCAACAATCACCCGCGGCAGATGATCACGAACAAATTGTGCAGCACTCTTCCCTCCATGTCCATCAAATACCTGCCCAGCAAACCATTTTCTCTTTACATGTTAAATCTTGATTCCTGATTACAAGGGTGCATGTTTCTCCCCCTATTCAAAATGACTAAAAAGATATTTAGATCATCTTGTTCTGAGTGAAATTTCCAAGCTTATATAATTTGCTTTACTCACAAGATGTCAAGTCAGACTTGGAATAAATATACAACTACAAGTCCTAAGGGGGAGGAAGGGGATGACAATAACAATGAGGAAAAGTCTCCCACCCATCTCACCTTCAACAAAATTCAAACAAGGAAACACTCTCAACACTAAATCTAGTGAACCCGTTAAAGTATTTAATCTTAAATATTAGCAGCATTTGCGGCAATAGATAAATAAACAATGCAATCCATATATCACTAACTTTGACTCATAACATCATCTAATATTATCTGGTCATTGTCTAGTTCAATATAGATCCTTGCTAAATTTTTTGGAGAGTAAAATTTGAAGGAATGAATTCACATTGTGTAATGAGATCACTTCTACAACAACAGCATTGTGCAATGAGATCACTTTTACTGATGCAAAAACATATCTAACTATGAGACAATTTCTCATTGCGTACTGAATCTGAACACAACAGGATGCTCGACTTCTCTTTATTAGAAGGTACCTTTCTTTTAAGTTATTCACCACTTGATGCAAGAAACCATTGTCTACTTTCTTCTTTCTTGCTGGTTCCTATTTAGGGGTGAATTGAAAATGTTTGAATTTTTCCCATATATCATTACAAATACAACATGACTGTGGATGGGATAAAATGAAATTTATGAACTGGGAAATAGCAAAATCGGTTAGATAGCTTACACCATAAAAGGAAATAGCTTCCTCGCTGAGCACAGTATTACCAAATTTCTTTGCTAAGTCTCCAATGCATATGTGGGTATCCTCCATGGAAGGGCGGTTTCCAATATCAGACCACTCTCCAGACCGAAGAGTAGGGACAAAGTTCATCAGGTTCTGTCTTTTGTCCACAGTCTCTGCATCCTCACATATGCTTTCCAGCTAAAATGCACCACAGCAGAAAATGTAAATGAGCTAAGATAACAGGAGCCTTGTACAGCAAAAGAATTAAGAATCAGAAGATGATAAGCTACCACAAGAAAGCCATGAAGGTAAGAAACAGATAAGTATTCTCACGAAGTACACAAACAAAACATAATCCTGAAAAAAGTATTCAGTTTACCAGTTTATAACTGTCATATCTGCAAAGTAATCATTATGAACCGAGTAACCAACAAATTATGCTAACAAATAAGAATATCTTAGAAATACCAACGCAAAACAAAGGATCATTATTAACACGCCAGCAATGCAAGCTGATTCAATTGATAGCACAATCAACATATGCGTTTATGTTACCAAGTACACAAAATTTAATCTTCACTACATCCCCGAATACTATTTAATTTCTAACACAAGCAGTTCCAGCAGTTATCCCAAGATAATCCCATCTGAGAGAATTTTCAGGATCACGTAACCCTAAGGACTCATATTTCATTCACTGGTTTTCTTCTACCAAAGATACACAAGAAGCATCAAAGAAAAGGATGAACAACCATAGGGATGGATACTGGGTACAAACCAAAATCTAATTAGAGAAAAAGACAATTAGAGAAGAATCCATGAACTAACCATAGGAAGAAAGGAAAAGAAAAAGGTGAACATGAATTAGCAAATAAGTATTATTAAAGTGTACGAAGACTAATTGAAATAGTAGCCATAAATTAAAAATAGCTCATTGCATAGCAAAAAAACAGAAGATAAAAAAAAAAAGCTTTTCGTACAACTTTATTTCTTGCCTTATATCGTGGAGAATATTTTTTCAGATTACAAAAAGGATAAAAACCAAAATAAGAGATAGAAATGATTATCAACCATATAAAACTTCATATGAATTATTTGGAAAGAATCAAACTAGTAGAAAAATGACACCCCATGAAGGAAGAAATGGACAAAGATGATCAGGGAAGCCAATAATTACTGGAAATGAATTTGCAGCGAAGATCCTGTTAGTGGGAGCTCCAAAAAAAGCGTCCTTTTCTCGGTTTTCCATGTGGGCATGCAAGAGATCACAATGCAAAGGCCATGACATCCTTCTGTTATCAAGGTTGTTCTCAATAACTTGATCAACTTGCTCATCTTCTTGCACACACATGGTCACAATAGTTATGGGCAAGTGGTAACTTCAACTCAGCAACTAGCACTTGCACTCGCAGGCATGAAAATTACAAAGTAAGAGTCACAAACAAGTCCACATGTTAAGAGACCTGATGCAAGTTTGTTTGTGGCTTACACCAAAGAGAGAGAAAGAGAGAGAGAAGATTCTTAGAATATGTCGGGAAAATGATGTTGGTGTGTGTGTTTATACTATATTAGTGAGTGGAAAGGAGTGTGAAAGAGAGAAGGGAGAGCCGTTAAGTTCCAGATTTTTCTATGAAAGCGTGGTCCAAAATTGTTGGTTGGGTTTATTAGGTGGTGATTTTGATATTATAATGTTGGTCAGAAAAAAAGCTTGGATTGTGTCGCTTTCTATGCTTACCTTTCATCTTGTCATCACACCCTTTATTTTTTATATTATTTTCCTTCTCTTTTTCTGCCTTTATTGCACTCTCATAAAATCCCATGTGAAAAATCTTCTGTGATATTTATACCAAAATTCTATGTCATATATCTACTTGCTTTCATTAATTTTGTGGCTTTCATAAAGTGAACCTAATTAGTAATTACTCTTGCAGGGGATGTGGGGATAATTTTCCGTGAAAATAAGGGAACTAGTGTGAGAAGTTGGAATACATCCACATCGATAAATAAAATTGACTATGACTAATTGAACCAGGCTATTTCAAATGTCAAATTTCCTTTTATGTTATAGCTAAACATTGTTAAGCTAGTGAATTCTGTTGAGGATTTCTTAACTTTTAAAGACATTTGTTATCAGTCCTCTAAGTTATTTTGTTAATAAAATAATATTTTTATTTGTTTAAAATAATCTTTAAGATTCATATTTCTTTTCATAATATGATAACTTTAAATGATGTATTGAAACATGAATGAATATTTGTGTAAAATAGTTTTGTTTGGGGTAATCTATAATTACATTTTTTAAGTTTACTAAAATTTTACTTAATTTTTTTTTGAATAATTGCACTTTTTTTTATGTGTAACAACATAACATGGTATAATCTTTTTGATAACATACTTTTCCCGATTTGTTATGCAATTTAAGAACTAAGAGAGATTCAAATAATATTAAAAAGAGAAAAATGTAAATAAAATAGTGTTAAATTTTAAAAATTATAAATATATTTTTTATTTAAATTGAAATTAAAAATTAATAAAAAAATGTTTCTTTTTACCATCATTAATTATCTTCCCTATAATGATTTTATGCCAGCTAGAGACACCCTTAGCTCTGCTTGTTAGGTAGTAAACATTCAACATCCGCCAACTGGCTTAATTGGGAACAATTAAAGTCTTTGTTCTGTAAATTGTTACAAAAAATTAAAAGAATATCAACAGCGTAGGAGTGAAGGAAATCCATCAATGTTATAGATAACAAGGTAAATGTTGACCCATGACGTTTTCTTTAAAAACATTGTAGTAGCAAAATAGCAATAACCTACCAAAGTGGTGTGTAAAGTATAAACACCCATAATTTTTAATTGCCGGAAATTATTTCAGGTTTTTCCTTTGAGAACGGCATTTATAACCTAATAATTTCCTTGGTATGAAGCAACCCCAAAGCCTTTTCTAACTATTCAAGATCATCTTTTCTATTTGCTTAACTAAAGGAGGCTTTTAATTCATGACTTAGAAGCCAAATTTATCTTTAAACAATTTGTCTACAAGAATGTGATTAAGCCAACCCAAAAGTTTTTTTTTTTATTTAACATACTTATATTGACTAAAATTTAAATTTAAAATTATACACTAAATTAAGATAATCACTACTAATTAATCTACGATTTTTTTGGGTTGACAAGGTTATTTTTGTTTTATTTTTTTTCTTTTAATAATCAGGCAGAGGCCATAATAAAACTAAGCAATCAATCTTAAAACAAAAACAACCTACCATGTCAAATAAGACAGATGACGAAACAAAACTTTTTTTTCTTCCTGTTTTTTATTTTCAAAAAACTCTCTCTCTCTCTCTATATATATAAAACAAGTTTTTGTGTTACTTTTACCTTTTTTATACTGATATTTAGAAACGAAATAAAAAACTGATATTTTTATAATATCTGTGAAGAAAAAAATAAATTTTTTTTTTCTCAAATCAAACAAACTGTCTGCATCTTAGATTTTAAAATAGTAAGACTTTAGGGGTAATACGAAATAGGAGTGCGGGTTTATCACACAAATACGAGTATCAGGCACTAGGAAAGTTGGAATATATCATTAACTTTGAAAGTATATATGTGTCTGTGTGTGCCATAAGCTATAGAAATGATGTAATATAATAAGTTAAAAAGACAAGTTGACCAGAGAGGCCTGGACTTTGCTATATTTTATTAACTACCAATCACCAATAATGATGCAAAAGGAATTGAAGGCAAAGTTTTACAAAGTTGATTGGTTAGTGCTGACAGAATTTATTCAATGAAAACATAATAGGTTAATGACATTATACTTCTCAATTTTCTACAGTAGTCACAAGTCAGCACCAACTTTAAATATAGCTCTATGATTTTATAGGCTAGGGTGCTGCATGACACCCCATCTCTCATAATATCAATCAGAGATAAGAATCAAAGTGAAATGACTCTTTTTTAATTCGAAAATGAACTTTACAAATTTAGTGGCTATCCCTACTAGGATTCCATCAAGGACCATAATCATAATGTTCATGTATCATAAGTCATTATGGTCCAGTCAAGCATACCCAAAAGGAAGGAGCTCTTTTGCACTATGAAGTTGTCTAGAAATTACTGAGTCACTAGCGATGCACAAGCCTTTTGGACTTGGACGTGGAACGACATTGTTCACTGAAGTTTTCTGTGAATTGCGTTTTGGTATCAATGGAAGGGCTTACAAAATTCCATGCCCCACTGTGAGATATTTTTGAGAAGTAATGGCCAACACCAAAAGGGCCAAAAAAGAGAACCAAAAAAGTAGTCAACTAAGCACCAAACAAAAGGAATTAACGAATTTTAAACTGAACAAAAAAGTAGGCTCTTCTAATTAATCGTTGAGAAAGAAATGAAATGAGAGTTAAGTACTTTAAAGCACATCACAAGCATTTGTGGGACATTATGATCGACTTAAAACAGCAAAAATAAAATAAAAATTCTAACAAGATTTGGAGTTTTAAATTGGATAATTTCAACGTATTTCTTTAACTTTTTCTTCTTAGTTATCAAAGTTAAAAGCAACGGAGTTAAAATCAGGCTTTGAAACTACGAAGAGCAAGTGTATAAAATGATGTGGGCAACTGTGGTCACAAGCTAGGCTAGACATAGGTGACAGTTTGATTATTGATGTAGTCGAGGCTGAAGCTGTATCACTACCATACACGAACATAGTGGTTTCTTATCAACAAGCACAACTGCACCAAGTTGGGTCTATTCCAGCGACATCAATAATGCCATTGCCAGAGTTCCAGACGCATGCAACCCCTCACAGTCAAGTCAAATTTCCCCACTGAGTTACCAACACTGTCCTTTCACCAATATAAATATTGATCGCTACAAAGATTTACCAATTTAGCAATTTTCTCTTCGGAATGCCAATGATACTTAATTATTTATGCACTAAAATTACATCTAACAATTACTTTCTCCGGTCTTAATTATGATGATTCTAAATATTAACCCATTTAACATTATTTAATGATATTATTATCTTTAGTAATTTTAAATTAAGTTGCTAAAATTTAATTTTCTTCCATTTAAATTGTTAAATGACTTCTTCATTTATCATAAGAATTTAAATTATCAATTAATGACATTTAATGCTGACACAAATATTAATTTTTTTGTCAAATAATCTTAAAAGATATATTACAGAATGTAATTTTTTGAATTAAAATAATTTAGTTAACTTTTACTTATATTTAAGAGCTAAAAGTATAAGTAAGAATAAAAATAGATTAAGATAGGCTTTCTATAAAGAGGTTTGACCTATTTAATAATTTTGAAATCTATATTTAGCTTATTATTTATCATAAACTTTTTATCAAGCTTAATATGACTTTTTTAAAAGTTTATTTTAATATATTAACCTTTTTAATAGTCTATTTGGTATTAAAATTTTTAAATAAGTCATTAAATTTTTATATAAATAAACTATTAAACTAGCTATATAGATATATTATAAAGGCAATAAGACTTATATAAATAAGTTAGAAAAAAATAGTTTAATATATTAAATATGTGTGTAAAAAAAATATATTTTTATTTTATTAAATAATTGTGACACAAAAAACTTTAACAAGAAAGACTCTTTCTCTTGAGAGGGTCTAGGATATATAATAAAAATATTCTTCAACTTCAATAAAAATAATTAGGATTTATAATTTAAAATGTTTTTTATTTAATATAATATTATATTATAATTTTAATATATTATAAATTTTATTAGTTTTAAATAGATTATTCTAACAAGTTTAATAATTTTTTTAAACTTAAGTTTTATTTATTTAATTAATTAAGTCTTTTAAAAAAATTAAATTAAATTTATTATTTAAATAAGTTAAACTGAATTAAGCTTTAAAAAAGTTAAGTTGTACAATCTTTTGTGACCTATTTACATCCCTAAATATACAATATATTCAGTTAAGAAAATTAGATACAAAGGTAAATTACTATCCATACAAAAATTATATGGACCAGGAAAGTATTACAATATAATATAAATTTAATTAAAATACATTGATATTGTAAATTTTTTTAAATTATCATCTAATAATAAATTTTTATGTTAACAATAATTGATCATTTTTGAAAAAAATTCTATTAAAATCATATATGTAATATATTTTAATTAATGGACAATGTAAATTTTTTGTACACTAACAATATTCTAAAATTAAACTCATATATATATATATATATATATATATATATTATCAAATATAGATTTTTGTAGAGGAGTTAAATTATACTAATATAAATTATATATTTTTTATATAATTTAATAAATTTTTATCGAATAATTTATTTTGAAAATTAATTTTAGATAAAACTCGGTTGATGTTATTATTTCATTATTATTTAAATCATAAAAATAAAATATATCTTTTATTTTAAGTATACTCAGTAACAAAACTGGATTGTTAAAAGTGAAGTGTCCAGCAGATATGAAATATGAAACAATGTACGAATAATTGCCTATTTTTTTT